TCCTCTTTCTCCTGTTGCTTTTTTCCCCGTGTTATTTACTTGGTGAAGAAACCAGGTCATCCATCCCAGAGCCTCCAACAGACCAGGGCTGGACCTGCTTTTCTACTCCCATGTTCCCTGGGGTCTGAGAATCTGGAGGTTAGGCCAGGATGTGGCCAGGGCCGGTCAGTCCCACAGCTCCTTGGGTGAGCTGTGTCTCCCATCAGGAAGCAAATGGCGGCTGCCTGCCTTTCAGTGCTGCTCTTGTCCAGAGTCACGTGTCACCTTGGTGGAGTTGCAGGTGGCAATAGTCAGGAGACAGAACTGGCTTCAAGAAGAGTATTGGGTTTCCTGAGGTAGAAACAGAGCTGGGACAGGAGCGGTGGGGTAGGTGGTTCTCTCCCTTGTGGACAGGTTTCCGAGAATTGGGTTGGTTCTGCCAATAAGTGGCCAGTGCGTTTACTTTTCAAGTCTTTAAGAGTTGGTGGGTAGGCCCTTCCCCTGGTGACTGCTCACAGAGCTCTGGCTTCAGCCTCTGATAGGTCCTTTGAGTTGGCTACTGAATCCTTATTTATTTTTTATATTTGTTTGGAGATAATGGTAGCCATCAAAGAAATTAATTTTGAGAGGAGTAAGGGTTATACAATATACCTTTTCTGTTTTTTTGGTAACAGTTTTATACTGAGGTATAATTTACACACCATGTGCTTCAGCCATTTAAAGTCAGTCGTTTTCAGCCCTGGCTAGTGTGATTCAGTGGATTGAGCACTGGCCTGTGAACCAAAAGGTTGCTGGTTTGATTCCTGGTCAGGGCACATGCGTGGGTTGTGGACCAGATCCCGAGATGGAGGTGTGCGAGAGGCAACCAACAGATGTTTCTCTCACACATGGATGTTTCCCTCTATTTCTCCCTCCCTTACCCTCTTTCAAAAAATAAATAAAATCTTAAAAAAAAAAAATGCCCTGGCTGGTGTGGCTCAGTGGATTGAGTGCCGGCCCGTGAACCAATGGGTCACTGGTTCGATTCCCAGTCAGGGCACATGTGTGACTTGCAGGCCAGGTTCTCAGTAGGGGGCATGCGAGAGATAACGACACGCTGATGTTTCTCTCCCTCTCTTTCTCCCTCCCTTCCCCTCTCTCTAAAAATAAATAAATAAAATGTAGAGGAAAATAGTCACTGGTTTTCGGTATATTCACACAATTGTACAACTATCCACACAGTCAATTTTGTTATTTATTTATTTTTAAAGAGAGGTGTTTTTTTTTTTTTAAATCATTACCTGAGGATATACTTACTGATTTCAGAGAAAGAAATAGAGAAATAGAGAGAGAGAGGGAGAGAGAGAGAAACATTGATGTGAGAGAGACATTGATTGGTTGCCTTGTGCCCCAACTGGGGACCAAACCCACAACCTACATATGTGCCCTGACTGGGAGTTGAACCCACAGCCTCTTGGTTTATGGGATGATGATGCTCCAACCAACTGAGCCACCCTGGCCAGGGCACCACAATCAACTTTAGAGCGTTTTCATCACCCCAAAAGGAAAACCCATACCCATTAAGCACTCGCCTCCCATTCCCTGATAACCACTATGAATTTGCCTGGTCTGGACTTTCCATATAAACAGAATCATACCCTGTGCAGTCCTTTCTGTCTGGTTTCTCTCACCGAACATGTTCTCAAGGTTCATCTGTGTTGTAGCATGTGTCAGTGCCTCACTCCTTTTTATTGCCAGATACCATTCCATGGTGCAGACAGAACACATGGTGTTCGCCCATCCATCAGGGTAGGAGCGTCTCGGTCCTGAGTCATGACCTCAGCTCATGGTCACTGGTGATTTCCCTCTCATGTGGAATGACAAGATGTTCAAGCTCTCCCTCTGCAGCTTCCTCCAGGACTGGACTTGGCTGTTTCTTCCCAGAAGGGCCCATTGCTTCTCAGCCAGACAGAGCTAGATTATTATTTTTAAAGATAAAATACACCTCAAGTTCATACTAACATTTGAAATCTAAATGCAGGACTAGGCCACTTCATTGGTGAATAGTGTCTGTATTCCCTTTCCCCCCGACACCAAATATACCCATTCACACGCCTACTTTCTTCGTCAGTGCACACATGACCAATCTCGGGAAAACCACTCCAGCACCAGCGGTGAGGGCGAGGCCCCTGGAATGTTGGAATGGCCTGGAGCGTGTTTTGTGCTTCCCCCTCAGAATGCGTTGTCCCATCACCGCGTCTTAGGTTCTTTCAGAACAATTCTCTGGTGTCCCAGCAACAGGACAGCTGGGTTCAATGGCCCATGGGCTCCTTGGGATTCAAATTCTACCCAGGTCCTGTGCTGGGAGCACAAGGCGGAAGGTCAGGACAGTCTCTTTACTCCGTGCGGAGGCTGCTGTGGCCAGGTGGGCCTGGGAAGGAGACACGCGCTCTCATAGGAATGACCCGGCCTCACTGTGTCCTCTCTCTGCCTGAGGGCCCCGTGGCTGCAGGTAAGGCTGCTGGCTTCCTGCAGGTGAACGAGGTGGTCTTCAGCCCCAGTGAGTCCCACTGTGCCACATGTGGAGACGATGGGAGTGTGAGGGTGTGGTCCTTGGCCAGCATGGAGCTGGTGATCCAGTTCCAGGTGCTGAACCAGGTACTTAGGGCAGCAGGGGCTGGGGGTGTGTGCTTGGGGTGGGGCCCTTACCGCCCACTGAAGGGCTCTGGGAGCTTCATCCTTCAGCCTCAATGTCTGTCCTCGGCTTTGGGGTTGGGCCATCGTCGCGCTCCCCAGGGGAGTGCTGATGGCTCCTCACCGGGGGTCCCCAGAGCTGCCTCTGCTTGGCTTGGAGCCCACCATCCTGCAGGCGCCCAGAGCAGCAGCACTTGGCGGCAGGTTACAGCGATGGCACCCTGCGTGTCTTCAGCATCTCCCAGATCTCGATGGAGCTCAAGATGCATCCGCACCTGACCGCACTGACAGCCATTGCCTTCTGTGCTGACGGTGAGGGGCTAGGGTCTCACAGGGTGATGGCATGGCCCCACCTGGCCCAGGTCACACCTTTGGGCTGGGGGCTCGCAGGGTAACAGAGTGGCCCCTGCTTGGCTCAGGTCAGACCATCCTCTCTGGAGACAAGGATGGACTTGTGGCTGTGAGCCGCCCCTGCACGGGGATGACCTTTCAAGTACTGAGAGAACACTGGGGCGCCCCTATCTCTACCATCCAGAGCACGAGAAAGGAGGTGAAGTGACGTTGTGAGCCAGCAGGGCCCCGTCTGGGGGTGCTGGCTGGGAAGGGGCTCGGGCAAAATGGGTCAAGAGATAACCCACCTGCCCTTACCCCTCCCCCCCAAGTATGGAGACTTCGGGGTGGAGGGCACAGACCTGTGGTTGGCTGCCAGCGGGGACCAGCGGGTCAGCATCTGGGCCTCTGACTGGCTGCGGGACCACTGTGAGCTTGTGGACTGGCTGAGCTTCCCAGCACCCACCCTCATGAAGGTGAGGGTCCTGGGGGCACCTCAGGTGGGGACGGTGCCTGTCCACCCCACCACAGCATGCTGTGCCTTTCCTCAGGCTCCAGACTGCTCTCCACCCTCCCTTGCTGCTTTCTGCCCCTGGGATAGGACACTGCTGGTGTGTGCAGGCCTCGGCCCACATCCAGAAGTGGTCTTCTACAGCCTCTGCCAGAAGAAGGCATGTGCACGCCCCTGTGACCCTGGGAGAGGAGGGTCCTGGGCCCATGGGAATCCCTGCCTGGTTACTAACACTCACTGCCCATAGGTGGTAAAGAAGATTCCACTGCCTTTTTTTGCTGTGTCCCTGAGCCTGTCCCCCAGGGCCTGCTTCATGGCCATCGGCTTTGATGGTGAGTGCTCATGTTGACTCAGCCTATCTTGAGTGGGGCTGAGTAGATTCACTTGTGCCCCCACACTGAGACATGCCCCTCACGTCTGCACCCTGGTTCCTCATCTCTGAAGTGGGGTACTGAGTACAGTACCCAGCACTCAACAGAGGGACTCAGCATTCAGGTTGGGGCCTTAGAAACTGCATATTGTTAGACACCCTGACAGTGATGGGCTCTTCCTTGGCTCTGCTGCCCTAGTCCGAGTGACAGGTGGTGGTGGGTGTGGAAAACATAGGCCATTCAACACAGATCCTCTTATGCTGCACCAGCATCCAGCTGGAGACTGAGCCAGGGTGGGCTGGGGAACACCTGGGCCCTGGAGCTGCAGACAGGCAGAGGGCCCACGCCACGCCCACCCTGTACCTTTTGCCTGCAGAGCGTGTGCTGAGGCTGGTGGACTGTGTGTCGGGAGCTGCACAGGATTTTACAGGTCACAATGACTGGGTACAGCTCTGCAGGTTTGCCCCGTCTGCCAGCCTGCTCTTCACAGTGGCCCACAATGAGATCTTGGTGTGGGAAGTCGCAGACCGCTGAGCTGCAGTGGGGACCTTGGGGTCAGGTGTGCTGAGCTGGTTATGCTGGATACCTGGCCTGGCAGAGGGCTCTGCTGAGAAGCCCAGTTAGTAGAGGACCTCGGGCTAGACCAGGATGGCTGGGTCGATTCGGCTCCTTCACACTGGATGGGCTCGGAACTCTGTAAATCATCAAGACCCTGAACATGTGTAAAGTGCTTTTTGGCATCTCAGTGTTCTTCTGTGTTTTTACCTGTACAGTTGAAATAAAGGTGGGCATGCATTGCAGCATTGTCTGCTGGTCACTTCAAGCTCTTACTGTCTTGGACCTGGCTCTCCCGCCTGGCCTGAGCTCAACCTCTGCCCAAACCCCAGACCTCCTGCTCCCTGCCTGCTCCCTGTCCATCCACCTGCAAGGGCTATTGTGTCTGTGGCCTGGCACAGCGGGAAGTTGGCTGGAGCAGCCTGGCACCCCATACCTTGGCTCCGCCCCTCTGCCCGGCGCGGCTCCAGCAGTGCCCGGCATGCCCACCCGGTGGCGCCGCCGCGTAGTCCGGCCGCTCTGGCCCTGTAGTCTCACTAGTGCGGCGTGGGGATGGGGCCGGAAGTGCGGGCTCCGGGAGAGCGTGGGCGAAGGACCGGTAGCGGGCTCCGGCGGGAGTCGGGGCTGGGGCAGGGATCGGACTGCAGCTTTCGTCCGCTGCCATGAAGCGGGACGTCCGTATCCTGCTGTTGGGCGAGGGTAGGCACCAAGGGTGGGGCTGCGCGAGGGTAGGCGCCGGAGGGCAGGGCCGGGCCGATCTTACAGGGGTTCCTCGACCTTGGCTGCTGCGCTGACCGCGTTACCCCACACAGCCCAGGTGGGGAAGACCTCTCTGATCCTGTCGCTGGTGAGCGAGGAGTTCCCCGAAGAGGTGAGGATGGCGGAGCTCAGCGCCGCTCTCGTGGTTGCCCAGAGGAAGGGGCAGACCTCCCCGGGCCACCCTCACTGCCGGTATGCTTCAGGTCCCACCCCGAGCAGAAGAGATCACCATTCCCGCGGACGTCACCCCAGAGAAGGTGCCCACTCACATCGTGGATTCCTCAGGTAGAGCCGCACCCCGCCCCCGCCCCGCCCCACCTCATCCATCCCCATCCCAGGGTTTTGCCCAGTAGCCGCATTTCAGGCAGGAGGTCTGCAGTGTCATCTCTTCCGTCCAGAAGCTGAGCAGACGGTGGAGGAACTCCAAGACGAGATTCATAAGGTACAGTGTGTTTTGAGGGCTCAGGAAGAGGGTGCCAGGAAAAGGGAGAGAGGTGGGTTTGGTGCTTATACCCTGGGGGTGGGCTGCCGCCTAGGTCTGATCTTGCTTCTCTCTCTGTGGGATTGGGTTAAATTGCTCAGGGCCTCCATGGCCTCACTTAATTCTTCTATGACCTCTCAGTACTGAGTCGCTGGGGTTCCTGTGATGCACCTTGCTGGAAGTTGAAGAGAAAAGGGACCATCCCTTCCTCCTACTCACATAGTTGGCCAACCCCATGGCTCTCTCCACCTAGCATTCATTCTTTCAGTGGACACTGGGGGACAGATCTCATCCTTCAAAGTGACTCCTTAAAGAGTTGGGTGCCCTGGCCGCCGACCTCCTACCTTGTAGTGCAATCCACTATCATGGGCTTTTGGGCTACAGTGAGTGCTGTGTCCAGGACTGCAGGCTTCACAGTCCTCTGTTCACCTGCTATCAGGAGGACATGTAACCTGAGCCAAGATCATGGAAGGAAGCTGGCCCTGCAGCCTTGCCGTGTTCCTCTGCAGCTTCTGCTGTGTCCTAAGGGTGCCACTGGGCAAGGGTTCAGGCCACAGCTACTGAGGAGCAGCCTTCTTGCCATCATTGCCTGTTGTGCTGTTGTCCTTTTCATCTTCTCTGGCCATAGTGATATAGAAATAGAGAACCAAGGCCAGAAGCCAGAGTGCCAAGTTTTGGGGGTGGCTGTGTCTATCCTGAGCCCTTCAGGGGACCCACTGACCTGAGTTGCAGTGTTGGGACCTGGAAGTGAGCAGGGAAGGGCTTGCCGGAGGTTTGCACAGCAGACCCAGTGACATGGCTAAAGAGCACTGGCCGAGCAGTGCCAGTGATGGATGGCTTCCTGGGCTCTGAGCCCTGCCCTGTCCTGCCTGTGAGTGCTGGGGTATTGTGGACAGGAAGCCTCCTGTAATGCTGTGCCATGCTCCCTCCCCTACAGGCAAATGTGGTGTGTGTTGTATACGATGTGTCTAAGGAGGTCACCATTGAGAAGGTGAGCAAGAGTGCCTGTTTGTCTTGGGTCCCTGCCGTTGGTGCCCAGCTTGGTCATCAGCTTGTTCTCTGCACAGACCCCAGATAAATGCCCAGCTGATGGCAGGTTCTGGAGTGACTCACCCATGGCCAGCCCCATCTCCAACTAGTGCTTCAAGGAGCCTCCTGAAGCCACTGTGGGTGCTGGGGGCTTGTGACCAGGAACCCATAGCTCCCCGTGGGAGCCACCTCTGACCCCATTTTCCTGTCAAAAACGTAGACAGCCACAAGTCTGAACCACTTAGGTTTGCAGAAGGGGCTATCCTGAGCTGCTGACCACAGGTCCCTTGGGGATATTCGGGAATTGCTAGATGAGGTCACACCTGTGAGCTGCACTCTTCACTTGTTCCCAGTGGCCCAGTGGCTGGGACTTTGGCCCTCAGTGGGCCTTGAATCCCCCCCATCTCCCGTGGGTAGGCTCAGGTTCCATCAGGAAGCTGTGGGCTGGGCACCCCCTTCATCTCATGCCAGCCCTTGCTTTTCAGATCCGAACCAAATGGATCCCACTGGTGAATGGAGGGACTGAGAAGGGTCCCAGGTAATGAATGAGTAGGGGCCAGGGGAACTGGTCTCCTCCAGGTCCCTCATCCTTGATGACCATGAGCCTCTCCGCAGGGTTCCCATCATCCTGGTGGGCAACAAGTCGGACCTGCGGCCAGGGAGCTCCATGGAGGCTGTGCTGCCCATCATGAGCCAGTTCCCTGAGATTGAGACCTGCGTGGAGGTGAGCAGGCATACGCGGCAGGGCCGGGCCCTCCAGTCGGCACTTGTGTGTTTGTGGCCTGGGACATCGAGACAGACAAGCTGTCTCTTTGAGGGCTTTCTTGGGGCGGGGGCTGGTTACCACCTGTGCCTGTACCTGTGTCGAGGCTCTTTTGAGTCTCCTGGCATTGTGCTCTTCTCTGAGTCTGTCCTGGTGGCTCCCAGTGCTCAGCCAAGAATCTGAGGAACATCTCAGAGCTGTTCTACTATGCACAGAAGGCCGTGCTGCACCCCACAGCGCCGCTCTATGACCCTGAGACCAAGCAGGTGAGCAGCTGACAAGGATGGGGGTGGCTAACAGGTGGAAGTGAGGGGAATGTGCTGAGCTGTCTGTCCCCACAGTTGAGGCCTGCGTGCACCCAGGCCCTCACACGCATCTTCAGGCTCTCAGACCAGGATCTGGACCAGGCGCTCAGCGATGAGGAGCTCAACGCTTTTCAGGTGGGGCCCCCATCCACCTCTTTGTGGTGCTGGCTCTTCTTGGGCTGCAGCCAGGCTCCATGCCGTTAACAGCCAGGCCAAACAGTCGATGGGGTCACTGGCTAACAGCGACTTTGTCTCGGAGGCAGAAATCCTGTTTTGGGCATCCCCTGGCCCCGCAGGCCCTGGAGGATGTAAAGACGGTGGTGCGCAAGAATGTGGCAGGAGGTGTACGGGATGACCGGCTGACCCTGGACGGTGAGGCCTGGCACCCAGCCTGTCCCCCCGAGTCTGGGGAGGGGCTCGGGTAATACCCAGTGCCACCTTCTCTGCCCCTTTCTGAGCAGGCTTTCTCTTCCTGAATACACTCTTCATCCAGCGTGGCCGCCACGAGACTACATGGACCATCCTACGGCGCTTTGGTTATGGCGACACACTTGAGCTGTCTGCTGACTACCTCTTACCTCCGTGAGTGATGGATGTGGCGCTTATTGTCCAATGGTGCCAGGGTGGGGTTGGAGCCCTTGCTCAGGCAGAAGATGGCCTGTGGGCAGTCAAACTAGGGCTCATGCTGAGCAGGTGGCCCCTGGCCCCAACCACATTCCTGCCTGCTTTTCTGCTGTGGTGCTCAGCGAAAGGAGACGGGTGCAGAAACCTTCGGGGTTCAGTTCAATTTGTAGGGAGGGTTCAACTGCACAGATGGGAGGTGTGCTGAGCATGGTGGGAAACCGACGGCAACCCCACAGGCTCCACGTGCCTCCTGGCTGCAGCACAGAGCTCAACCACTTTGGCTACCAGTTTGTGCAGAGGGTGTTTGAGAAACATGACCAGGTGAGGGCGCTGTCACCCTGCTGTGCTACCTGTCCTGGCTTCCTCTCCTGGCCTCCAGCCATTGTCACTGCAGCCCCTCTGCCTGCAGGACCATGATGGTGCCCTCTCGCCGGTGGAGCTGGAGGGCCTGTTCAGTGTGTTCCCAGCAGCCCCCTGGGGCCCTCAGCTCCTGCAAGAGGTCCAAACCGAAGCAGGCCGGCTGCCCCTGCATGGGTACCTCTGCAAGTGGACGTAAGCGCAGCCCCCACCTTCCCCCACTCGCCAAACAATGTCGCCCTCTCGTGATGCTGCTCACCTCCCCAACGCCCCAGCCTGGTGACTTATCTGGATGTCCGGTGCTGTCTGGAGCATCTTGGCTACCTGGGCTACCCCACCCTCTGCAAGCAGGACTCACAGGCCCATGCCATCACAGGTGGGTGCCCACCCTCACAATGTCCTGGCCCAGCTCCTCCCTGGCAGCCCTTCACTCTCATTTAACCTTTCCGTCCTCCCACAGTCACCCGTGAGAAGAGGCTGGACCAGGAGAAGGGACAGACACAGAGGAATGTGCTCCTGTGCAAAGTGGTGGGGGCCCGCGGAGTGGGCAAGTCTGCCTTCCTACAGGCCTTCCTTGGCCGTGGCCTAGGGGTGAGCTTCACTGTGTGCTGGGTGAGGGGACCCGGCTGCCATCTGGGGCCTTTTGGGGAGGGTAGGGGTTTGGGGAGCATCAGGGCCAGTGAGCCTCCGGTAACTCCCTCCTCAGCATCAGGACACCAGTGAACTCCACAAGATGCCTGTCGTCTATGCCATCAACACAGTGCAGGTCAACGGGCAGGAGAAGTACCTGATAGTGAGTGTGGGGTTGGCGGGGGTCTCTGTGATAGACCCCAGGCACACACTGGGCAGTTCTGTCCCAGTGCAGCCTGGGGCACTGAGCCCATGGCCTGTCACTGAGGCCACCCTTTGTCCAGCTATGTGAGGTAGATGCAGACAGCCTGCTGTCCACCACGACTGATGCCACCTGTGATGTCGCCTGCTTGATGTTTGATGGCAGCGACCTCCAATCCTTTGCACTCTGCACCAGCGTCTACAAGGCAAGCCCCTGCCTACCCCAGGGTCCTGTGGACAGCATGGCTGTGGGTGGGGGTCCCCCAGCATCCTCACATTGCCTGCCCCAGGACTGTGCCTCATGTAGCCTTTCCCCACACAGCGCCATTACATGGATGGGCAGACCCCCTGCCTCTTCGTCTCCTCCAAGGCTGACCTGCCTGAAGGTGTCTCGCTGCCTGGCCTGTCTCCAGCAGAGTTCTGCCGCAGGCACCGGCTGCCTGCCCCCGCCCCGTTCTCCTGCGCCAGCCCAGGGAAGCCCAGCACAGCCATCTTCACCCGGCTTGCCACCATGGCCACTTTCCCGTGGGTACCAGCACCACAGGCCCTGTGGTGGGAGGTCTACCCCAGGGTACCGACGCCTCTAGCACCAGGAGAGTGGGACAGCTGGGGTGCCAGGACTGGAGTCAGTCGGGGTTGCGGGGCGGGCTTGGTCAGATGCTGATGCCATGGCAGAGCCCTCCGGGGCCTGGTCTCACCAGCTGCCCCGTGGTTCTTCGGTGGTGGCCACTGACAGGTAGCAGCTCCGTGGAGCTCTGTGACTTTCCAGTAGATGCGGGGTGAGGGGGGTATAGCAGGAAGCATCTAGGCAGCACCCTGAGTGTGTCTCCAGCCAGCCCTTCTCTCCTGCAGGTACCTGGTCCATGGGGAGCTGCACCCCACCTCCTTCTGGCTCCGACTGACACTGGGGGCGGTTGGGGCTGCTGTTGCTGCCGTCCTCAGCTTTTCACTCTACAGGGTCCTGGTGAAGAGCCGATGAGGCTCTGGTACCCTGCAGTCTGATCTCAGGGCCCCAGGGTGCTGATATCTGGCCACTTCGTGGAGTTTCCTTCTGTTTAAGCTTGGCTTCTGAGGGCAGCCTGTCCACTGCCCAGCCCCAGGGGTGAACCCCCAGGTGCCTTTGTGGGCGTAGTGTTGGAGAGACTGTGGGGTATGGGTGAGGAAGCCAGTGATGCCGACCTGAATTCTCAGGGCTCCACCCCTTCCTGGTCCCAGGCAGCCAGTGGGTGCGAAAGGGGTCAGAAGGCAGAGCTCTGAGCCAAAGGCAAGGAGTGTAGGCAGGAAGTGGCTGGACCATTGTGCTGGCACCCCCGCCTCCCCATCACCCCTGGAAGACATCCAGGGCTGCACCCCTCATGGAAGATGTGAGGTTGGATTTCCTGATTAAACTTCAGTCTTTTCCATCTTGGATCATGCTTTCTGAAGGCGGCTTTTCTTCAGTCACGTCCTTTGTCTCAGTGTGGACAGGAAACTTCACTCCTGACTCCCCCACACCTCCCCTCCAGGTCCCTTGTGAGATCCAGCGGTGGCCCAGCTGCAGCCTGGGAGCCTTTACCATTGAGGTTCATGCTTCCCTGAAAGGGTCTGGTTCTCGAGGGCCTCCTGGTGCCTGCCCCTTCCCCAAACCTCAGCATCTGTCCTGGCAGCCTGCCTGGGCTGCAGGGAGGATCTGGGATTCTGAGGCGGGACTGAGATGTGCCAAAATGCCTTGCTTCCTGTGCGCAGGGCATCTGCTGGCGTGGAGGTGCTGCCCTGTTTTCCTCACACCCTCCCCAGAGGCCTTTATCACTCACCAGACAGGGCACAGCATAAGAGGAGGGGCACATAACCCTTCTTGGTGAGGAGAGGGCCCTATTGGGGGTTATTTTTCGGTCTCTCATGTCCCAGGTGCTTGCTTGACCAGTGTTCTGGGTCCTGGAGTGAAGACAGCCCATGGTGGAGCTGGGTGGAAAACCCTGGCTACCCAGACAGGTGCCCCTCCTGCCATTAGCCATTCCGTGCAAGGCAGCTCCCTCCATATTAGGGTCTTTCCTGGAGCCTCTGAAGTGCTATTTCTAGGTGGGGGGAGCACCTACCCTGTAGGGATGAGAGGTCTGGGTTCAGACTCTTGAAGTTATACCTCCAACATCCTGCCATCCTCCCAGCTTCTGAGGTGTAGTTCTTGCTTGTTGGGTCTCCATCCTCCTGAGGCCCAGCTGCCAGGATTAATGAATGGCTCCATGGTATCGGGCTTCCGAGTGGCCCTTGAAAGGGTTGCTGTGGTAACACCCCTAGTCTGTAATCTCTGTTGTTGAAGGAATCTACCCGCCCACCTCAGGAAATGGGGCCCCTTCCTATCAGCTGCAGCCTTGTCCCTTGGGGGCTTTGCCGCAATATCCACGGATCTGGCTGGGCCCCCCAGTGCCTTCCTGGGGCTGGAGGCTCCACTGCCACGGTCCAGCATTGTGGCTGCAGGAGCCATCAGAGGACCTCCAGCCCAAGGTGTGTGCTGGGGGTTGGTCTGGAAGGAGCATGCAGGAACCTTCTCCACCCTTGATTAATTGCTCTGTTGGCCTTGGCACCCATAGGTGGGGCACTGGCGCTTTTTTAGGCGCCCAACTGCGGATGGACCAGCATGCCTGGCAGGCAGGGGCATCCCCAAAGAGATGGCGTGGGCGCTGAGGCCTCAACTCCAGAAGGGGCGTGCGCAGGAGGGGCTTGGATGCCGCCTGTGGCTGTTTCCCAGCTGCTGCCCCTTTAGGAGGAGCAGCTATGCCAGCGAGGGAGTCAGGGTTGGGAGAACCGGAGCGCGGTGAGTGGGCGAGGGGGACAGGGAGCTGGCTGGTCTGTCCCCATTCGGGAGCGCGTCTGTCCGCGTGCAGGGCACGCCTGTGTTTCGGCCACGCGTGCGGCGGGGGCGGGCAGCTCCGTGACGCGGCACCAGGCGGAGCGGGCGGAGCGCACGGGCCGGGGCGGAGCGGAGTCATCCGCAGAGCAGCCCCTCCCGGCCACGGCCGTCGACCCCGGCCCCCGGCCCCGGCTCTATGGACAGGAGCTCGCTGCTGCAGCTTATCCAGGAGCAGGTGCGTTGGGGAAGAGGGGCGCCGGCACCGCCCCTGCCGCGCCCCTCCGCGGTTGGGTTCGGCTGAGCAAATGGATCTCGCAGAGCCCCAGCCCAGCCCCCGCTCATGTCCACTCCTCAAACCCCTTCCTGCACGACCTTGGCCCGCAGCCTGAGACCCGCAGGAGAATGCGAGCCAGACCAGGCCTCCTGGGGAGGAGCAGGAGGGAGGGTGACTGTCCTCAGACCTTAGCCCTACCCTTTCAGGATGGGTAGGGCCAAAATGAGGAGGGGGGAGACCCCTGGAGGCTTGGGACCCAGGCACTGGTTCCTTGGCAGCACCTAGGACCATGTGGGCATAGGGATCTAGCCCAAAGGTGTTAGGAGACTGCTTCTTCCAGCTGGCCTGGTGCAGCTCTTTGGTCTGTGGGCTCCGTCCACCCTCAGGCCTTGGCCAGCGCCACCTCCCACCCCCCACCCCAGCAGCTGGACCCTGAGAACACAGGCTTCATCGGTGCGGACACCTTCACTGGCTTGGTGCACAGCCATGAGCTACCCCTGGATCCAGCCAAGCTGGACATGCTGGTGGCCCTGGCCCAGAGCAACGAGCGGGGCCAGGTCTGCTACCAGGAGCTGGTGGACCTGGTCAGTGCTACAGTGGGTAGGCAGCAGGGGTGGGGGCCCAGGCCTTGGCCAGCATAGTGCCCTGGCTGGAGTTGGGTGGGCAGGTGGCTCCTCTTCCCTTCCCTTCCCACTGGGGCAGAGCCTCAGACCCTGTGAGGAGCTGGGCAGAGCAGGTGGGCAAAGAGGTCATGAGGATGGTACAATGTCCCCCGCCCCCCAGATCAGCAGCAAGCGCTCAAGCAGTTTCAAACGGGCCATTGCAAATGGACAGCGGGCACTGCCCCAGGATGGGATGCTAGATGAGCCAGGCCTGGGTGTCTATAAGCGGTTTGTGCGCTACGTGGCCTACGAGATCTTGCCCCGAGAGGTGGATCGCCATTGGTACTTCTACCGGCACCGAAGCTGCCCACCCCCTGTGTTTATGGCCTCTGTCACCCTGGCCCAGGTGAGCCTGCCCACCTGTCCACCACCCACATCCCTGGCTTGGCCCCATCCTAATGTCCTTTTCTCTTAGATCATCGTATTCCTGTGCTATGGAGCCCGCTTCAACAAGTGGGTGCTGCAGACCTACCACCCCGAGTACATGAAGAGCCCCCTTGTATACCACCCTGGCCACCGAGCCCGGGCCTGGCGCTTCCTCACCTACATGTTCATGCACGTCGGGTGAGTGAGGGCCCACTGCTGGCACCCTGACTTAAACGTGGCTGTGGCTGGGGGCCTGATGGCTGTTCCCACCCCTCATACCCATTTGCCCCCACATGGCCAGGCTGGAGCAGCTGGGGTTCAACGCGCTCCTACAGCTAATGATTGGGGTGCCCCTGGAGATGGTGCACGGCCTGCTCCGCATCAGCCTGCTCTACCTGGCTGGCGTGCTGGCAGGTGAGGCAGGCACATAGCCCCTGGCCACCTCACTGACAGGCCTCACCCTCATAGTTGTCCCCTTGCTTCACACAGGTTCCTTGACTGTCTCCATTACCGACATGCGGGCCCCTGTGGTGGGGGGCTCTGGTGGAGTCTACGCCCTGTGCTCTGCACACCTGGCCAATGTTGTCATGGTAATGGAACAGCCTGGGTGGGTGTGGGAGGGGCCCACAAGGCTTGCCTCATGGCCTGTCTCATGCTCCATTAGAACTGGGCTGGGATGAGGTGTCCCTACAAGCTGCTGAGAATGGTGCTGGCCCTAGTGTGCAGTAAGTAGGGGCAAAGGGTGCCGGGGTAGCGGGAGGGAGGGAGGGAGGGAGGGATGAGCCCAGGCCTAGGGCACCTCCCATGTGCCAACTCCCTCTGCAGTGAGCTCCGAGGTGGGCCGGGCTGTGTGGCTGCGCTTCTCCCCTCCACTGCCTGCCTCGGGCCCACAGCCCAGCTTCATGGCGCACCTGGCTGGTGCAGTGGTGGGGGTCAGCATGGGCCTGACCATCCTGCGCAGCTATGAGGAGCGCCTCCGGGACCAGTGCGGCTGGTGGGTGGTGCTGCTTGCCTATGGCACCTTCCTGCTCTTCGCCATCTTCTGGAATATCTTCGCCTACGACCTGCTGGGTGCCCACATCCCTCCACCACCCTGAGGGGCTCCTGGGGGCCACATGGGCTAGGGCATGGCCTGCATGTCCATCTTCTGTGAATGTACGTCTCAAGACTGCTTCTCCATGTGGGCAGGTGGCCCCTGTGGCCTGCTGAGTCCAGGCCAAGCCTTACACCAGCTCTGGCCCGCCTGCCAGGCCTGGGTGGCGGTTTGGACTGCTGGGCCAGGCTGGGCAGTGGACGTCCCAAGGGTGGCCTCAGAGGTGACCCCATCCTGGCCTTCCCCCCAGGACTTGCAGTCTGAGCCTTTTTGGAGAGTAAATAAATATTTTACACAGCACCAAGTGGCTGTACTGGGGGTCTGGAGGCTGGTCTGGCCTACCCCCTAACTCACTCAGCAGACTATGACGGCTCTTCTCTCCATGTGGGCAGCCTGGATTCCTCCTTGCTCCTCTGTACCTGTATGAGGTGTGTCTGTGTGGGAGATGGGAGAGCCTGGGGGTGGGCAGTGGACCTTATAGGTGAGTGAGTCCAGCAAGCGTTTATTGAGCTCCTACAGTCACATGGCAGGTGAGCAGGCCACAGCCAAGTTCAGTCAGTCTGGGTCCTGCACTTCTTGGCTGGCCTGGTATTCTCAGGGATGGCTGGGCTAGAGCTGAGGTCAGGGAGCAGGATGGGGTGCAGCCTCTGCCCCACAGCCCAGGTCCATAGTGCTGTCTCCATATGGTGAGGGGTCCACAACCCTAAGGCGCTGCCTAGGGAAGTGCTCAGGGAATCTGGGGCCCAGGGCACTGGCCACCTTCCCCTGTGGGACAGCTCTGCACGTCCCATCCTGATTGGATTCCTGGAGGCCTTCCTAGCCCACCAGCAGTCCCCTCACCTCAGCTCAGGGCTATGGCATGCTCCTGCGCCTGGTCCGGGTACAGCAGGTAGTACAGGAGAGTATACTGCAGGGCTGGCATGCTCAGCACGGCTGGCATGCTTAGCACTGCCTCATCAGACATGAAAGCTGCCACTTCAGAAGCTCCAACAGCCAGGACTGCTAGAAGGAGTGAAGGGCCAGCACTTACACCCCACCAGTATCAGAACAACCTCGGTGTGAGCTGCCGTTCCCAGTGACCCTCTGTGTCACAGACGTGATCATTGGTTCATATCACAGACACTAATGTCCCGTCCGCCACACCCATGTGATCAGCTCTCCCCACTGCAGCCCGTCTGCAGCAGAGTTGGGTTAGTTGGGGTGGTCACTGGTGGTGTACCTCGACAGGGGGGCCTGCCCCACAACGGGAGGAACCACCCCCCGGGGGAAAAGTCCCGCCCTATGGAGCAAGGGGCCGCCCCCAACACTGTGGGGCGGGCCAGCCTGCAGAGGTTCCACCCCCTTCGTGGAAGCCCCTCACCACCGGCTTCCGAGCTAGCAGTCAGTCGTTCCAGCTCATCTCGTGTTCACCTGCTTCCCTGCTCAGCCCTCGATGGCTTCCTGCAAATCCTCTCGATACCTGGGGAAGGGCAGGATACCTGGGGAAGGGCAGGATACCTGGGGAAGGGCGGTGATGGCAGGCTAAGCAACGGGGGTTGCCCACCCTAAGGATAAACCCACCGCCCGGGTTTCCAGTCGCCCCTGGGGGCCCACACCAGCCCCGCCAGCCCACAGCACTTGCCCGGGGGGCGCCAGGGTGGCGGCCCCACGGCCCAGTCCTCTCCGGAGGGGCCTGCTTCTGAAAGGACGCCTCCCTAACGCGAGGGGCGGAGCTGGTCAGCCCTGGATGCTTCTCCAGACTTCCGACTTTCGTTCGTGTTGCCCCAGCCCACGAGTCTGTCAGCCCCGCCCCGAAGAGCATCGGACGCAGGCGCGGTCTCGCCCACCTGCTCGTGTCGGTCCGTCTGGCTTACTCCGCCTCACGCGGCCGGAAGTTCCGGAGGCGGTCGCCGGACGGGCCCGAGCGGATCGCGGGCTCGGGCTGCGAGCTTGTGCTGCGGGCACAGGACGGGCCGGGAGCGGAGTCTGGGAGCGGAGCCCAGGCTGTGCCGCGCGGCGCCATGAAGGGCAAAGAGGAGAAGGAGGGCGGCGCGCGGCTGGGCGCCGCTGGCGGAAGCCCGGAGAAGAGCCCGAGTGCGCAGGAGCTCAAGGAGCAGGGCAACCGGCTCTTCGTGGGCCGCAAGTATCCGGAGGCGGCGGCCTGCTACGGCCGCGCCATCGTGAGTGTACCTGCTCCCGGGGAGGGAACCGATGTCAGGGCCAGGAGAGGGGTGGGGCCTGCCCCGACGCGCTCATCGGACCTTCGGAGGGTTTTGGCTTCAACGGGGGAGGGGCGCTTCGGCTCGAAGGACTCAATGATGGTCTCGCTCCAAGGGTGCTGGTTGCTGGACAACTATGACGGGTGGGAGCTTAAGGGCTCTTGAGGGTGGCAGGGCCAGGGACCCCAATACCAAACTTGGAGATCTCCACAGGTCTGGGAAACTTACATTTACAAAACTTAATGGAGTGGAGAGGGCTCCGGTAGGTATCAGGGCCAGGACACCACCCTCCACCCATCCTTAGGGCTCAGAGACTTTGAAGCTGTAAAGACTCCAGTGTCTTTGATTCCAACCATGGACCCCAAGCCAAGACCAGGGCCTGGGAGAGAGGTGGCAGGCTGAGTTCATTCCCTCATGCTGACTGGCCTGCCTTGGTGCCCAGACCCGGAATCCCCTGGTGGCAGTGTATTACACCAACCGGGCACTGTGCTACCTGAAGATGCAGCAGCATGAGCAGGCCCTGGCTGACTGCAGGCGTGCCCTGGAGCTGGATGGACAGTCTGTGAAGGCACACTTCTTCCTTGGGCAATGCCAGTTGGAGATGGAGAGCTACGACGAGGCGATTGCCAACCTGCAGCGAGGTAGGCCTACAAGCTGGTGGGTTATGGGGGTGCCTGGTACCAGATGGGTAGACTGGCCAGAAGGTGACCTGAAGCCTTTTTCCTCACAGCCTACAATCTAGCTAAAGAGCAGCGGCTCAACTTTGGGGATGACATCCCCAGTGCTCTGCGCATTGCCAAAAAGAAGCGCTGGAACAGCATTGAGGAGCGGCGTATCCACCAGGAGAACGAGCTGCACTCCTACCTCACGCGACTCATTGTGGCTGAGCGTGAGAGGTGGGTTGTGGTGACAGCCTCTAGGAACAAACCCTGCCCCCCCACCAAGTCACCACTTTAAGTCATGAACACTATTGTTTATTGAAGGCCAACCCCAGTGAACAGGAGACAGGGGAACAAGGCTTGAACAAGCTTGAGGTTGGGGTGGAGTCTGACCTTTCCTGGCCAGACCTGTCTCTGACCAGCTCCTTGTCAACCCACAGGGAACTGGAAGAGTGTCAGCGGAACCATGAGGGTGATGAAGACGATGGCCACATCCGGGCCCAGCAGGCCTGCATCGAGGCCAAGCACGTGAGGGTGCCCCAGCCCATGTGTGGGTCTGTGTGTGTGCGTGCACTAGATGTGAGGGTGTCCCTGGCTTCTCTCTGGTCTGTGTCTGGGGAAGGGAGACAGGATGTCTGGCCCATGCATGGCTGCTCGGTTCTTTGCAGGACAAGTACTTAGCAGACATGGATGAGCTCTTCTCCCAGGTGGATGAGAAGAGAAAGGTGAGTTGCCTGTCCTCTGGGGCCTGTAGGTAGAAGGCACTGGAGTGGTGCCTCCTTCCTGGTCTCTGACCTCACCCTGTATGATGCAGAAGCGAGATATCCCTGACTATCTGTGTGGCAAAATCAGCTTTGAGTTGATGCGGGAGCCGTGCATCACACCTAGTGGCATCACCTATGACCGAAAGGACATTGAGGAGCACCTGCAGGTGAGGGCCCATGGGCACTGGGGGCAGGGCCCTGGCCCACCAAGCACCTTCTGACCCTGTTGTCACTGCAGCGTGTGGGCCACTTTGACCCTGTGACCCGGAGCCCTCTGACCCAGGAACAGCTCATCCCCAACCTGGCCATGAAAGAGGTCATCGATGCGTTCATCTCTGAAAATGGCTGGGTGGAGGACTACTGAGGGCAAGTGGGAGGGCCAATCATCCCACATTGCCTGGCATCCTGGCCCCGGAGGGCCTTGGGACAGCAGCCCCCAGCCCCTGTACACAGTTTGTGTACTTGGATCCCTGCTCTGGTGTCCCCATCCCATCTTCCATCAGTTCTGCTGGTAGGCTATGAGCACCCCCACCCCCACTCTCCCTATCCCTCTTCTGGGCCAGAAATAGGCTAGGGTGGTTTGGGCTGAGGCTGCTGCTGCCATCACTGTCCCAGTAATAAAACCTGTGAGCAGTTTAGGGGTGTGTGCTGGTGTGCAATTGGGCTCGCCAGCTGCCCGCTCTGGCTAGCTGAGGAAGGTAGAGATGAAAACACTGGTGTCGAGGTTGAGTGTGGCATGCCACCATCGGTCAGGGAAATAGAGAACCTGGATGGGGTGGGGCACAGGGATTAGTGGGGGTCCTCAGTCCAACTCAGGCTGACTCCCTCTTACCAGCCACTGACCTCACCAGCCTGGATAGTGCACTCCAAGGGCCGTGTAGACAGTGTCAGGGCAGGGTAGGTATCCTGAAGCCAGGCCAGAGTTGTCTTGTTCGGGTGGAACTCAGGTGTCTTCTCAGGGGGATACAGGAACCAGCGCTAGGGGCAGGAGAGGCAAGGTTACTCTTTGGGTTGTGGTTAGTGAGCCCCAAGTCTCAGCCACCACTCTGTGCTGACCTTGCGTCCATAGATCACTTCTGAGAAGCCAGGCCCGTGCCAGTGGAAGGGCACCCCAGAGCCAGTTCCTATGGGGTCAGTTTTGAGCAGCTGGTAACCAAATCTAATGTGCAGTTCCCATCCCCCAAGTCCCTTTGACCTAAAAGCACCCACCTGCGATCCCAAAGCTGTAAGCAGGAGTGGTACCTGGCAGACCAAATGGGGGTGGGATATAGTGCTGAAAGAGTGATGCCCATTCAGTAAAGTTGTTGTCCCCGAAGAAGTACAGGGTGTCTGCCAGAAGAGACCACAGGAGGGTGAAGGGATGCTGGCACCCAAGCACTCTCAAGTGCCCCCTCTCCACCACACTGCCACCAACCCAAGTGCTCACCATTGCCCAGGGAAGTGGGATCCTGTGGGTACAGCAGCTGCTCCACGTACTCCTGGAAGAGTACGTCCACTGTAGGGAAAGGGCCAGTCAGGATTGATTGACGCTGCCTTCAGGACGCTGGCCAGCAGGATGGGCTGGGAGGTGGGGCAGCTCACCTTTCTGGTAGGAGTAGGTATTGGCAGTGCTCAGGCGTACCACGCTGTTCCCAAATGAGGCCAGCAGCCTTTCGCGGGAGCACAGAGTCCGGAACCTCTGCCAGGAAGCGGGGGGGAATGAGGCTTAAGGGCCTGGCCGCGCAGGGACAAAATTTGGCCAGTGGGGAACAAGCACTCACTGAGTTGTCTGTGAGTCCCAGCAGAATGACAGGTCTGGAGAAGGCGTAGCTGGAAGGGAGGGCAGAGTCACGGTTGGGTCGCACCCCGCACCCGCCCTCACCCATTCACTGGAGATCACGGGGAGGTGGTCCCCGGTGACCGGCATGCAAACAAAGGTGTGATAGCATCGATTCAGGGTGACGGAGCTCCTGAACGGGTTTTCGGGCATAGGAGGTGTGGTATGGGAGGTCTCACGTACTGCTGGATGAACTCGGCGTAGCTGAGGTCGGCACGGCGCTCTACTGTGCAATACTCTTCTTCCGCCACGGCCGCCGGCGCCCTGGATTCGCGCCACTGCCTGTAGGGACAGCCAGTCAACGACCCGGGCCGCCCGGCAGTGCTCCCCCTCCCTGGTTGCCCGGTTCCGCTCACCACCCTCCGTCATTCTCTTTTCCGGGGCCGGGCCAGGCCGGAGCAGTCAGAGTCCACAACACGAGCAGCAGGAGAGGATGCACCCTCCGCGCCATGAGCCCGTCGCCGCGGGGCACGACGGGAGCTCAGTGGTAGCAACAGCCCGGGCACTGGTACGGCTCCCGGAAGCGGGCTCTTTGGCCCGCCTACAAAGAGGCGGGGCTTCCGGAAAGCAGAGCGAGGAAAACAGACGTAATGGTGACTTCTGCCAGTTCCCATGGGTATACTTCCTTCCCGCCCCAACCGGCGTCGTCCAATGGTGAGAACCGGGCAACCTGCGGCGCTACCAACGAGGCGACAGGCAGCCTCATACTGCGGCTCCGCTTCCTTTATTTGGTTCACAAGCTCCAGCCTTTTCCCTCCCCCACGGGGCAAGTGGATCAGGAATACTCGCACAGGTGGCCACAGCCAGCAGGGCAGTGGGAGCTGCCCTCCAGCCACTTCATGATGTGCTGCAGGTGTCCCCCATGACTGCAGCCCTGGCACCACACGAACAAACCCTTAACCACGTGGTGGCAGACTGCACACATGCTGGCACAACGGTGGCACCTGTCACAGACCCAGCCACGGCTGCTCATGGGCCGTTTGCAGTGGCTGCAGTTGACGTGCAGGGTGGTGGAGGCCTGGTTAAGGCAGCTGATAGCGCGGCTGGTACTGAGCTTGACCACCTGGTTGGACACGTTCCAGAGGCAGAAGCGCTGCAGCAGGTCGATGTAGGACGTGTACCAGTGCTCCTGGTGGTATACAGGGAAGGGAGGAGGAAGACGGAGGCCAGGGTTGTGGGCACACTGAGAAGTTTCACGCCAGCGTGCTGGGTGCTAACACAGATGGGTGCACAGGGAGACCCTCCCCCTGCCTGCTCACCAACCTGGGTCTGCTCATCGATGTCCTTCCGTACACGTTCACCCAGCACGATGAGTACAGATACGGCCATCTGCACATCACCCTGCTCAGCATAGAAGCGTAGCATGTCACACACGAGCGCACTGAAGAAGTCAGGTGGCAGGCGGCTGTCGTAGAGTGCGTGTGAGACAGAGATGAGTGAGAAAGAGGAGTCCACAGGTGCCAGCGAGGCCACATCTGCCTCACTACCACTCACGTGGGGCGAGTCAGCCTTGTCCTGTAGATGTTCAGGGCCTGGTGGCGTGTCCACAATCTCATGGCGCAGCGGGAAGGCCTCCTGGGGCAGCACATACTCGGGCTCCTCGGCTGGGAGGCAGGGGCCAGGAAGGCAAGGTCTGAGCCTCTGGTCCTGCCTCCCAACTGTGCCCCTCCCAGCCCCCACTCACTGTGAGCATGTTCTGGATCCAACAGATACAACTCGTCTTCCTCGCCCTCCACATCACCCAGCAGGTAGTCAGCAGGCACATCACTGCCCTCAGTCTCCTCATTATCTGCCAGGGGAGGGAGGGATTTCTACTGCTGGCTTTCTTTGGGATGCCCCAGCCCCATTCCCAACAATGTCCTGTGCTGTCCTCCAGCCTACCCTCGTTGGTGATGAGTGTGGCTGAGGAATCGAGCAGTACTGTGTCGCTCCGTGTGTCACCCTTGCTGCGGTCCAGCCGGGTCTCACTACCCAGTCCTTGGGCCATATCCTTCAGGTTGAAGCTGGGGGCAGGGAGGGCTGATAGGTGGGTAGGCTCCAGCAGTCCCACCCTCAGAGAGCCGCCACCAGGGATCTACCTGTTCATGAGTGGCAGGCCACAGGAGCTGCCCTTGCCCACACTGTGGTTGAGATTGGTAGTGGACACCAGGCCAGGGCTACAGTAGATAATCCGTAGCATGGTCCATGTCTGCGCCACCTGGGGGGGGGCACCAGTCACTCACAGGGTCCTTGGTCCCTGGTGTCCCATGCCGACCCCCACCCTGGATAGAACCAAAACTCTCAGCATTCAGCTGCTCCAGGGACCCAACCCCAGGTAGGGAAACCGAGGCCCATGGGAAAGACAAAAAATCTCAGCCCCCATCCTGCAGGGCACAGAAAGAAGCAGATGTGGGAGCTGGCCTATGTGGAAATGAGCCTGGGATCCCAGGAAGATGATGAGAGGCAGTGTGGACCTTACAAAGTCCAAAGCAAGAATAGGGGGCTTAAGCCCTCTGATGCTCCACACCTGTACCCTGAGTATGGCATTGATGTCTGCCCTACTCCCGGGCTTTAAGCACCCTCAGTAATCAGTTATTGGGGTGGGCGAGGGTCAGTGGACTGAACTCAGGACAGGGTCTAGGTGCAGCAGTTGGAAGGACCCCTTGACCTTGCCCCAAGGTCATGGCCCCTGGGCCCGCCTCAGCCCAGCCTCACCTACCTGATTTCGGCCCAGCTCCCGAGCCACTTTTGAATTGTGGTCACAGAGCTCGGCCAGTGGCCGGCCAGCCAGGGCATAACGCTCAGCAGTGTCCACAAACCAGCTCATGCTGCCACTGCCAGGCTCCGTCTCAAAAACGCTGAGGGCACTGGAGGCGAGCCCTGCGAAGGGCTCAGCAGGGTCCAGTTTGCGCTTGAAGAAAATGGGGTGGCGCCGATCACCAGCATAGGGCTTGCGCCCTGACTCAGTGGCCACTAGGCTCTCCTTGGCAGCAAAGGCCAGGTCTCCAAAGAGACCATAGCAGAGGCCCTCAGGGTTGGCACGCTCAACGGGCTGGCTGGCATCACGGAATAGGTGCTGGCACAGTGTGCTGTCCTTGGAGCCAGAGAGCAGGAAGGAGGGGTCATGTGGATGGCGCCAGGCTATGCCTGTTGTGACGTCACGGTGCTCCTCAAACATGGCTGCTGGCACAAAGGGCCTGCGCACGTCCCACACGTAGATGTTGTGGTCTACCATCATGGAGCAGGTGGCCAAGTGGTGGCGGCACTCAGGCCGCCATTTGACTCTGGCCACTGAGGCAATGGTTTGTACACAGTGCACCTCCTTGGCGCGTTGCGTGGTCATGTCCCATACCTTCACCATCTTGTCACGCCCACCTGTGGCCAGCCAGCCCCTATGAAAGGCCCATGAAACCCTCAGTTTCCTCTCCTAGGATGGGAGGGTTCCCTAGCTCTCTGACTCATAGGACTTGAGGGCAGTGAGAGAGCCCCTCCGTGAGCACTGCCCATCCCGCCCTGCTGCCCGTGCCCTTAGCCCACCCCATACCTGTCCTCAGGGTGCCAGTCGCAGCAGAAGACAGGCCCATTGTGGGCTGTGAACATCCTCTCACAACGGTCAGGCCGCCGAATGTCCCAGAGCTGCACGTTGCCATTCTCAAAGGTGGAGGCAAAGGTGAAGTAGTCCCGAATGCTGAACTGGACATCCCGCACACTCTCAGATTGGCCTGTGGACAGGATGTCAAAGAAGGGAGAAGATCAGGACAGCTCACAGGGGACTCCAGGAGGGTGAGTGGCTGAGAAGGGAGCCCTTGGAGTGGCTGTGGACCCTTCAAGCCCTGCCTAGGTTAGATGGAGAGAGAAGAGGCCTCACAGACACAACAGCCTGGGCTGGGGAGCAGGACACCAGGCATAGGGTAGTTTTTTCTTTTTTAAAAAATATTTTTATTATTTATTTTTTATTACTTTATTTTATATTATTTTAGAGCGAGGGGAAAGGTGGGGGAGAGAAGCACAGAAATATCGATGTGACTGGCTGCCTTCTACAAGCACCCCAACCAGGGCCAGGGGATGGAGCATGGAGCCTGCAACCCAGGCATGTGTGCCCTGACCAGGAATCAAATCGGCAACTTCTCAGTTTGCAGGGCCACACTCAACCAACTGAGCTGCACCAGCCAGGGCCAGACATCTGGTAGTTTCTGACACAAACTCCCGGACCTTGTTTTTCCTTGGATCCTTCCTCTGATGTCAGTCCTTGCACATAGCTGTGGCCCAGCTTCAGGACTGGGTTATCAGAACACTGGGTGAACAGGAGCCTCACTGGGCGACCTGTCCACACTCCACAAGGAGTTTTGAGGACCCCAAAGGAGGCAGATGAGGGTACCCCAGCTTCGGCCCAGTCCCTCTACCTTGAGCTGGTGCTCTGGGTCATCTCTAAAGGACTGAAGGCTTTGAGACTCCATCTTCACCCCTATAAACTACCACACCAAGAGCCTCTGAGAGCAGTGTCCAGCTTTAACCCACCACAGGGTCTGTCTTAAGAGACCCCACCCTCAATTCTCCAAGGCCTCTTCCCTGTGCTTCACTTGCTTCCATCAAGGTGGACAAGGTAGAACTGGCTCAAGGCTACTGTCAGGGAGCTGGGCCTGCTAGGAAAAGAACCATGGCAGGGATCAGGCAGTGTACCCCACCTCCTCTGCATCCCTGGGCTGAGGACCTTGGAAATCCCAGTGGGCTTCCTGCAATGAGGCAGCCTGGAGCTCTGAGGTAAGGTAAGAGAAAGCAGTGAAACAACCATCTTCTCAACAACCCAGATCGGCTGCCCAGAGGGCTTGCTCCGACTCTGCCCTCCTCCTCATCCCATCCCCCTCCTCAACTCCTGTTGGCCCTTCGGGTGCATCAGAGCTGCAGCCACACTTCAGCTACTCTTCACACTTAAATCAGGTCAGACCCTGTCCCTCCCCTGCTGACCCCTGACCCATTCTTTCAGTCTCAGCTCAGCTGGTTCCTTCTCCAGAAGCCTCCTGGGAGCATGCCTAAGTGCCTTTGATGCTTGCAGCACTTCTTAACCTGCTTGCACAGGCCAGCCACCTTCAAAGACTCACACCTGCCCAAACTGCCTCTGAGGGCCTCACCTGAGAAGGTGCTGACAGAGTCCTTCCTGCGGAGGTCGAAGCACTTCATGAAACCATCCTGGGAGCCACTAAGCAGCACGTGGGCCTCAGAGGGGTGGAAGCAGACTTTGTTCACAGTGCGCTTATGTTCCGTGAACAGTTGGTCCTGCTTGTTGCGGGACGGCCGGCCCAGGTTCCACGTGACTACCACACCATTGGTGGCCGCTGTGGCCAGCAGGTTCTCGTCCATCTGGTGCCAGACAACATCAGCGCAGCTCAGATTGAGCGAAGGCTTGCGGCCCACACGCAGGTTCAACTTCTCTACAAATTGTTCCTCCTCAATGGCATAGATCTTGAAGATGCTGCGGCCTGCCACGACCACCTGAGCCGCATCGCGGCACACACTGATGGCATTGGCTGGTGCGTCCAGGTGGCAGTGCATAGTATGGCCTGTCAATGCACTGCTACCCAGGGCTGTAGTCACTCGGGACATCTTCTCCATGGCTGCACAGGTAGTGGAGACAGGGGGTCAGTGGAGTTGGCTGGCCTGGTCACCATAAGGACAGGGGGGCTGTCAGTTCAAACCCTTCACCCTGACTGGATACACCAAAACTGTTTAGATCTGGGCTAGTCAGTCAGTCTGGTAGGCAAGTTTCATCACCCTGGCTAGGCGGTCAGAAGGTGCCATAGCTGCCCTGAAGCTGGTCAGTCCCATGTCTGACTTGTAGGGAAGAACCTACCTGGTCAGTTCCAGCCCTGGCCACCTTTCCATCCCCCCAACAGTCAGATCTAGGCGGTCACTGGACTTTCAGTCAGTCAATCCCGACAGAGAAGTAAGGTAGTTACCACCATCCAAGCAGGCGGCTCTGGGGCCTTCGGGGACGAAGCTGAAGGATTAGGGAGGCCCGAAGGCCAGAGGCGCAGGGGACCCAGAGGGACTTCAAGACCGAGCTGTGTAAGGAGCCTGAGGGGTCTGGAGGTACGGGAGACAGGAGACGCCGGTGGCTCGAGGTTGCAGTGGCGTGTGGGAGCGGTGGCAGCGGTAACAGAGCCAGAGGAACAGAAGAACCCTCTTCCTCCGCGAGCACCCAAACCATTTAGTAAAATTGCCCGGCCGAGCCGGAATCGACGCACCGGAAATAGCCTGTCCCTTTCCCGCCCCTCATCGGAAGTGGTCCTCTTCTTGCCAGCTCCTCGCCGGAAGCGGGCTCCCACATAGCAAAAGTTCCGGATCTGGGACCAGGCCAAGTGAAAGCGGAGGTTTGGTGCGGGGCTGAGGTAGAGGGGCTTCCCCGGTTCCGCCTCAGTGGTTGGTTTTTTTAATCGCAGTATTTATAACCAGTGCTCATTCCCCCCTCCCCCCACCCCGATGGCTCTTCCGCAAGTCCATGCATCACTAAACGAGTCCTGAATCCCTCTAATAGTGTCTACCCGCTTCCTCAACTCCCCTGAACCCCAGGAGCAGGTTTTCCTAAAGGCTTTCCCGGGCCCCTGATCCCCGTGAACTGGACTCGGAGAGCAGCCAGATACTACTCTTTGACTGAGGTGCTTCACCGCTCCCCACCACGTCATGAATAAATCCCAAACCCCTGGCCTCTTCCTCTGCCCGCGTTCCCCCAGCCACAGCGCTTTCTATTACTTCTTCCAGCCAGCCAAGCTCTTTCTTGCCTCGTGGCCACCTGTGCTAGGCTGTCTCCTCTTCAGAACGCATCTTCCCACCCTGAGGGTTCAGCTTAAGTGTTCCATTCTCAAAGGCCTGCTCTGGCCACCTCGTCTAACGTGGCTTCTCCAATCACTGCCACCTCTACTTGTCACAACCCATTCCTTTGTTTACTGGTTATTGTCTGTTGCATAAGAATATGAGCTCCACCAGGAAGAGATCACATCTATCTTGGTCTCCACAAACTCCAGTGCCAGACTGTTCATGCAACCCTGCTTGAGACCACCCTTCTCTGTGAGCCTCTCTTTCTCTCCTGCGTGTGAGTTTTGGTCCGTCCCTGATGCACTGTGTGGTCTTTTAAGACATCCCTACTCTTCTCTTAACATTTATCTTGTCCATGAAACAGGACTCATTTTGCCTTTTGGAAAGGATGGGTTAGATCCTAGGTATTTTGGAGGGAATAGTTAAGTGTAATGACTTTAGTGTCTGTCTCTCTCCCCTTAAGCAGGGAGCTTAGGGACCTGTTGGTCACTGCTGGGTTTCCAGTCTGGCACTGTATCCCCCAGCCCCTACATGTTTGTTTAAAGAACCAAAAAATTTGATGAGTGAAGAGGTGCACTAGAATCCAGAGACTCAGACCCATCAGGGCAGATATACCTTCCCCACCATGGCCTGATGACCTGAAAACAACTCAGACACATGTTTTTACAACTTTTTTAATATATATTTTTATAAACAGGTCACATGATAAAATAGCACAAGAAACACTTACCAAATATAAGGTTATATCTTCCGCATATACAGGAGAATGAGGTCGTTATGTACAATAAGAAAATGATTTTAGGGGTTGGTTGGTTTTGATTTCCTCTTTCCCCTTATTTTTTTCTTCCTACAGTCGTTGGAAATATCACAGCTTCAGTTGCATTAATACTTTGGACAAATGGACAGCTGCCACCTCCCCACTACGGAGCTGTGGGAAGGGCTGAAGAAACTGGCTCCTGACCACTTCAGCCCAGGAGTCTCCTGTGGGCACTCCAGGGCAGAGAGATCTTTGGGCTGTTGAACTGTTTCTCTGCTTCAATAGCATCTCTCTCTCTCTCTCTCTCCCCCTCTCTCTCACGCTTGCTCTCGCACGCGCGCGCGCTTTCTCTCGCTCTCTCTCTCTCTCTAGAAACTGGTTACTTTCTTCCAACCAGATGGGGGCGTGGGTGTCCCAAGATTAGATGTGGGCACTGCATCTCCTGGGGTTCAAGGTTGGGATGGAAAGGGGTCCCAGCCCCCTCCTCAGCAATTGCCAAGATGTGCCAGCATCCCCTAGGACATCCAAGTCTTGGGATGGGGCAGAACATGGTCAGAGCCCATTTGGGCAAGCAGAAGTTTGGGAAGCTGGAGAGGGGGTGGGGAGTGGCTAGAGAGGAGCCCTCCCTCTTCTGAGTGCTAAGGATGTGCTGGCCACTGGAAGATTAACTCGCTGGCTGCTGCTGACCCTGAGCCTTGGTTGGGGCCCACTTCACACTACCTTCTGCCTGACAACTAACTGCCTAGGATGAAATACAGTATTGAGGGGCCTGGGCCCAGTTGGCTACAGCAGCTGCAATGTAGGATCCACCCAGGATTGCTCCCAAGGCCTGTGGGCCCTGAGTGTTGCTCTAGCTTGGGGTCTCTCAAGGTAGCCATATCACCTCTGCATTGAGACGCACTGGATCCGATGATTACGCCAAAGTTACTGTCACGCACTCTGCCCCTCTCCCAACCTGATTCAGCCCCAGTGTAGCCAGGGCCCAAGGAATGTAGGCCTGCGGATGGGGGTGGGGCGAGCAGGGGACTCTCACACAGTGGCAAGGAAGAGGGGAAATTGCTTGGGTCAGGCTGGCATGAGGTGGAAGGGCGGGTGGGACTTGGGCTCCTTGGTGGGCCATGGCTTTGGCGGAGGCCTGTTTCCCCTTGTACCCTCTGGAGGGCTCCAGGCGTCGTGCGGTGGAAGATAAGGGCAGCCCATGGGGCTCTCCCGGGCCCCTGTGTCCTGGGGGACCCAGCCCCCCTCAATCCCCCTGGGCCCTGCCCGAGACGGGGGAACAGCCAGAAGACAACGGGGTGCGGCAGGGAAGGCGGTTAAGGACGGCTGTCTGACGAGCTTGAAGCGCCCCCCCACGACCAAGCCCGGCCCCCCACCCCCTAGCGGGCGGGCGAATCATGGGAGGTGGCTGCGGCGGGGCGGGCGGGCGGGCGTGCAGGGCGGGCACGAGGGGCATGCACAAATCCCCCAGTGTGCGTGCGTGCGTGGGGCGGACACCGCCCGTCGCCCCTCCCTGCCTGGGCGCGGCCAGGAGAGGAGCGGGCGCAGAGCAGGGCTTTCCCTCGGTTCGCTCCGCCTCCCGCGCTGCACTGGGAGGTGCGGAGAAAAGGGGCTCAGTGGCGCCCTCGCGTCCCCGCCCAGAGCCTGGCAGGTTCCTGCGACGGGGGCGAGAAGACCCTGTGCTACTCGATGACGAGGCAGCGGGGCAGGTGCTGTGAGAAGTACTTGAAGAGTTCGGGGGTGGCCCCGGGGCAGTTAGTCAGCTCCAGTTCCTCCAGCTCCTGCAGCTGCACCAGGCCGGACAGGCCGGTTGTGGTCAGCAGTGGGCATCCTGGGGGACACGGAGTCGGCTGAATCGACGGGGACCCGGAAAGGGTGGGGCAGGGGCGGGGCCAGCCTGATGTAGGCGGGGCTAGAGCGTGGCCGCGTCTTGCTTTTTCTGACCGGGACCTGGGCCAAAGGGAGTCAGCCCCAGGTACGAAGCCGCACCAGGGACCTTGCAGGTTTGGCTGAGTCGGACTAAGTGTGCGCGTATGTCGGGGAGGGGTCGGGGGTGGGGATGGGGGGGATGTCACTGCCCAGCGGAGCGGCCAGCGGGGAGTCTCACCTGCCAGAGACAGGAGACGCAAACTCCTCATGGCCAGGAGGTGCTTCAGCCCGAAGTCCTGCACCTGGGCGGAAGGGCGGAGCGAGTTAACTATTTCCGCTCGCGCCCTGCAGGAGCCCCGCTCCTGGGGTCAGGCCGCTCGCTGGCCTGATCCTACTGGAAGGGCAGGGAGCGGGGTTCAAAACGGGGGCGGGTCCTCAGCTCCCAGGGAGCCAGGAGGCCGCTGGGGAGTGCCGTTGAGGGCCCTGGGGACTCCGCATGCTCCGCGTACGTCGGCCGCTGGGTGTGCAGGAATCCCAGACTTCCTTACCGGATCTGAGTGAGATCAGAGGACTGTCCGGGCGGGGGCATTCCCTGCGCCCCCCACCTCCCCTGCCTACTCCCCAATCTCGGGAGGCGTGAAGGGACGGTACCTGGCAGCACCATCGCAGGTAGAGGCTGCGGAGGGACGACATGGTGGATAAATAGCTGAGGCCAGTGTCCGTGATGCGTACACACCTGTGGTTGCAACAGAACAGGAATTGCCCACCTTCAAAACACCTCCTCGCTCCTCAGCTCCAACCCCTTACTCCTTTTCTTGGAGTGCCCCTGGTGTGAACTCACCCCCTGCTCCACTCATAATAGCTCCTTCCTCTCCATAGGCCCGCCTCACACACTAGGCCAGAGTTTTGAGGGCCTGCCCTTCAACCCACTCCCCACCCTCACTGCAGCCCCACTCTACTTACAGATCTATTCACTAACCTAGGCTGCCTACTTAAACCGTTCTGCTGGCCTCCTCCAACCCCTCTCTCCATGACCTAGGGGTGGGGGATGCACACACCTGTCCAGCACCAGCTCTTCCAGGCGGTGCAGGTCGCAGGCCACGTACTCCAGTGCCATGTCAGTGATGCGGGGGCACCATGAGAGGTCAAGGCTGCGAAGCTTGCGCAGGTTCTCAGCCACAAGCTCCACACCATCATCTGTGACCTTAGAGCAGCCAGAGAGGCTGAGCGCCGTAAGGTTGGGCAGGCTGTGTACCACGTTGACCACACCATGGTTGGTAATCTCCCAGCAGGAGAGCAGGCGCAGGGTGTGCGTGCTGTGGCCCTGGCGCGCAGTGAAGTAGGCCAGCGCCGTGTCCGTCACATGGTAGGCTTGCAAGCTCAGCTCAGCCAGGTTGGGAAGAAGCTGCGAGATGGCTGCAATGGCATCATCGGCCACATTGATGCAGTCACTCACACTCAGTGAGGTGATGCGCGCACTCAGGCTGGACCACAGCCCTGCCTCAGTGAAGTCGTTGCAGCCGGACAGCTCGAGGCGCACTACACCCTGCATCTGCTCCAGCATCACCTGTGGGCAGGTAGGTTCAGGGTCAGGAGACCTGACTTTCACACCCACCTAAATTCCTGGGTGTGCCCCTCTACAGGGTTTGGTGTGGAGAGTAGAAAGTAGGGTAGAAGGAACCCAGTGTGTAAACATACATGGAACCGTATTCTTGGGCAAGTGCACTTTATATAGTGTGTCTGTTATACCTCAACTATGCTCTACAAAGGAGGGAGGACACAGGGGGACTGGGGACCCTGGGCATGGCCAGAGCAGGTGCCAGAACAGTTGGTGTTAATGATTTAATGATTACAGTCCAGGTCCCGAGGAAGGGGCTGCCTGCACCTCTGCCTTTTGCCCCTGCTCCCCCCATTACCTGCATTATGCCCCCCATCGGCATGCAGGACCTGTGCTCAGAAGGGCCTCCCACTTAATGAACTTCTTTCCTGTCGCTGTATTAGAATTCTTAATCATTTTTGAACAAGGGACCTGCATTTTCATTTTGGGCTGCGTTTCTCAAATTATAAAACTAGTCCTGCTTCCCCCCTTCCCAGAGCCATGATCCCTCTCAGGGCATCAACTCAGCACTCAGTTATATTGCTTCCTGGGTGCCTGAGCTTCCCCTCAGCCCATCCCCCTACCTCCTCTTACCCTCATGCCTACTCCGTTGCTGCTTCCTAGTCCTGCCCCCCAATCCCTGTCCCTTCTGAGCCAGTGAGCCAGCAGCAGGACACACCTCCAGGCCAGCATCAGTGATGGTGGAGCGCTTGAGGCTCATGGCCTTCACACCCTTCTTGGACAGGGCATAGTTGTCAATGAACTCACAGATATCCAGGTCAGAGACTCCAACTAGACAGAAGCCTTCAAAGCCACGAGCAGCAAAACCCTGCAGGTTCACGAACTCCTTCTCACCACCAGGCAGCACGTTGTAGAGCTCCTTGGCATGCAGCACAGGCGTGAGGCCTGCCCAGAACTTCGGCTGGTAGAGCACGCGTCGCCAGGCCTTGCATACCTGGGCCAGCACACACTTCTCGCAGGCCGAGAAGTACCAGAAGAGGCCATTGAGGATCTTTTCATCTGTGGCCAGCGGCGGCCGCTCCACTGGGGGCCCAGGTGCTGGGGCTGAGGGTGGGCCACCAAGGGGGATCCCTGCTGTGGGGCACAGGCCCCCAGCCAGGGCCGCCCGGGGCAGTGGGGCAGCCAGGCTGGGTGGTGGGAGAGTGGGTGGGGGCAGTGGCTGGCAAGGGCGGTTCCTGGCAGCCGGCGTACCCTTGGTGATACTGGCTGCACCCAGGCCATTGGGCTGGCCCGGCAACTTCACCAGGCCATTTCGAGGCAAGCATGGGGGCTTGGGGTCGCCGTCGACTCCGGGACTGGACATCTTCCTCCGTCACTCTGCAGATAGGGGCCCGGAGTGAGGAGTGAGTTCCATACTCTCTTTGGGAGGGCAGAGCGGGGCCCCTTCCTGTCCCTGGATGTCCTCTCCCATGGCACTCCCAGAAGCACTCAACAAAAGAGATCTAAGTGTAAATTTCCCTCCCTGATGGAGCAGCAACAGGACAGGTCTGGTCACTGAGTGCCTAGTGTGTGTGCTGAGCTCAACCTGCACCCACTCACAGAGCTTTTGACACCTAGGTACAATGGTTCCCATTTTACAGATGAGAGAACAGAGGTGGAGAGAGGCAAGACTCATCTGTGTCTGCTCCCTTTGCTATCCTAATGCCCACCATCAGTGGCTGCCAGGCCTGCCTCCACTACATGGGGGCTACATAATTGAAGGAGAGGATTTGGGGCAGTCTCTGGCCCTTCCATTGTGGAGTGCCAGCATAGCTCTGGAGAAGTTCCAGTACTCTGAGATTCACATACCAGCCCCTGCGAATACCAGTGGCAACAGGAGGTTCTATGGCTAAGAATCTACCCAAGGAAAGGGCAGGTGATGCCAGCACAGTGAGCCCTAGAAACCTGTCTCTTTAATCCTCCACCTAGTTCTTTGAGGAGGATGCTGTGGTGACTGTAGCCATTAACCAGATGAGGAAACCAAGGCTGAGACAGTGTGAACTGCTTGCCCAAGGTCATAGTCAGTGGTGGAGCAGATGTCTGGACCAGAGCTGGCTATGGAAGGCTATGTGAAGGGAGGTCCCCCCCGAGGTGGGGCTGAGACCACCTTGGCTCCTCTTAGGCCTCCAAGGCTGTAAATGGGTGGCAGAGGGCACAGGCCACAGATGGCCCTTGAGAGAAGGGGCAGTGGGACCGTCACAGTGCTACCCTCTGCTCTACATTCCAGATATCCTGCCCAACCCCCACCAGACACCCAGTGAAGAGGCTGTCCACTGTGTGCACCCACATGGTCACATACCCTGGCTGTGTGGCCTTCCCTCATCCAAGCCTCACTTTCCTCACTTTGATGCCTCACAGTTGACATTATCCCTGTCACTGGACCACATGTGCAAAGGGTATAGTGCATGGCCTACAGTGAGCACTTTAGAAGTGACATGGACATTACTTCTGAGCCCCATGGCCTGCCAGCGTTGAAGGGGACATGAACCACCAGGAACAAGGGAGGTAAGTGGGCAGACCTACCCTGCTCTTTCCAGCACCACACCCTCCATTTTTTCCAAGCCCTGGACAGGACAACCTCTGCCAGCATTCCACATCTGGAGAGGGGGCACAGACCGGGGACATGTGGCTGTCATGACTGCCAACCCAACTTTGGGCCCCAGAGCCTTCCTGACCTGCCAGCCATGGGCCCCCAGACTAGTGGTCCACCCTGGGACCTCCCTCCCCAGAAGAGGCTCCCACACCTTGATTGGCCCCTCACTGTGGTTCACGACCTCACGGAAGCTGACACATGACATCCATAACATCTGCCGACTGCCCACTGGGATAATCATGGATCTCAACCTCACAGCAGCTTGGGGGTGGGGGCGGGGGTGGTCAGATTAGGAACCTGAGGCTCCAAGGAGTTACGGATTGCCCACGGTGGCAGGGGTGGTCTGAGAACTGCCCTTAATGACAGTACAGGAGGAGGGGACCATCGTGGCCAGCAGTACTTCATGGATTGACAGGAAGAAGCCCCCAACTGGCCCCTACTCCTATGTCCGGGGGAAGGGATGTCGCTGTAACTCCTTCTTTGGGGCTGCTGAGTGCAGAGAGGTATCCCCAGCCTGAGTACCTCCTGTGTTCACGGAACAGGGCTCCATGATTTCACGGCTGAGGTCGCCCTGCCCACCCGGTCTCTGCTGCTTCCCACAGACGAGGCGCGGCCGGCTCAGCCCTCAGTACGCAGCACCATGGACAGCGCCCCTGCAGTCGCTGTGCGTCTGCTCTGAGGTGAGGCCCGGCAGCTTCCACCGTGGACAGCGGCTGGCAGTGTGGTGTGTGGGGGATGGATCCGGCAAACCCTCCTTAGCAGGGAGGGGCCCTGGAGGTGGAAGGGTGGGGGAAAAGGAGAGGAAAGAGGCCGCCCCGCTCGTCTAAGATCCTAAGGAGGCAGCGGAGGCGGCACCAGAGGAGAAATAACTCAAGAGCAGATTTAGGTTGAAAACGCTCCTAGCCATGGGTGTTCACGTGGAGCGCCTGAGTTGGGGGGATGCACGTGGATGCCCTGGCAACCGTGAGGCAGCCTTCCTGTCCCCAACTGGAGCTCACATTTGTACACTCCCATCCACAGTCCATCTCCACCCTCCAGGGCTCAAGGCTGAGCTGGTGAAAATAAACTTGCTCTTGGGTGAAAGCCCATGGGAAGGAGTGGCCAGGCCCAGATGACCCTCAGCAGCCTGGGGGGAGTGTCTGAGGTGAGGCTGCTCCTCACCCCACACCCCCACCCCTGGCCAGAAGGTACGGCCCTGCCGGGCAGTCGGCCCTCTCAAACCCCTCTTCCCATGCCCTGGATTGGAGCTGCCTTCCTACAAAGGCAGCTTTGCTGCTCCTCAGCCTTGTCCATGGTCCTTCCTGCTGGGTTCTAACTGCTCCTCACAATCCAGCCTCACTGACCCAGCCTGAGACTCCCCTGCTCTGTAGCTCAAAATCGATAACAGCCACCCTTTGGCCCAGGGGTCAGAGTTTTGGGAGAAAGGTGAGCTCATGGTCAGAGGTGGGTCTTCCTGCCAGTTAGGCAAGAGCTTCCTGGGGGACTAGGATAAAGGCCCCTCTGCCTGGCCCAAGCCCCATCCACCTAGCCAGATGGGTTGCAGAGCACCTACCTTCCTGGTACCTGTGACTATACCCAGAGGGGCTTGGAGGATCTGCTTGGAGTTTCCTACCAGGAAGGGGTAGGGGCAGCTGCCAGTCTGCTGGCACCTGCCTCCCCCTTTAGGGATAAATACCAGGAGCTAATGCTGTGAAAAGAGGCTTTTTGAAAAGATGGCCACACTTGCACTATTCTTAGCCTCAGCCCTGGTGGGTTTTCCTCTCAGTTTGTAGTAGGATTCTCGGGGAGGTCCCAGGGGCTTAGGGCTCCTGGGCCCACCCGAGGGCAAGGAGGGAGATGGTGGCCACTACTTCAGTTGACTTGTCCCCGACAGCCTGAGCCAGAGCTGGATCAGGGTGCCACATGGGAGAGCCTCTGTGATCTCCCAGACAGACTTACGGTGAAGAATGGGGGCCAGTGGACTCAGGGAGCATGGTGGGGTCCTGGGGGCTCCTGGGAGGACTCCAGAACTTTGTGACTTCCAGGCTGACAGTCTTCAGATAGCCATGCTGGGGCCTCCTAAGGAGCTGCCTCTTTTGCAGGTCCTCAGACCCAGCAAGTCTACCTTATAGCCTCACCGAACACCTCTCCAGCCCTGCCTCCTGTCCTGCATTCCTCCTCCCCCTGCCCCATCTCTGCCTGGGCACATGCTAGTCCCCCTGCTTGCTCAGTAGGCCTCTGTGCCCCTTCACCCTGCAAGCTCCTTCTCCTCCATTCTTTGGTATAAGCACCACCCCTGCTTCCCGCCTTGGGACCCCCAGCACTGAGAAAGATCTCCAGGGTCTCAGTCATCAGCTGTGTTACCACCACTGTATACCTGTTGGCTTCTCCCCTTGGCTGGGGGCTCCTTGTGGACTGATGGCACCATGACTTTGGGACCTCTCAGTGCTTCATGAGTGAATTAATGAATGAATGAATGAATGAGGAATGGCAGACCAGTTAGTAGGGTCAGGCAGAAAGGTGTGTGGCTGCCTGAGGCCCATGAGGCGTGACGGAGGACAGGTTAGATTAAGAGGAGGGCAGTTAGTGGGGAAGCTGCAGCTCACTTCATTAACACTGGTTGCAACAGAGGCCAATGTCCACAGGGGAGGGAGGCCTCTGGGGTTGGGTTGGTGTCAGAGTCTTTGAGAAGGCCCCCAGGACCCTGGGGCTTAGGGTGGGCCTTGCAGTTATTCAGGCCCTTGAGGAGAGGACAACTCATGTCTCCTTTTTGGCCGAGACTCCCCTTGAGAGCTGCAGTGTTAAGGAAGCTGGCTGCCTGTCCCCCGTAATCTGGCCAGACCCAAGGAGAAGGGGACCGGTACCACCAGCAGGGAGGGAGGCTAGTGAGCCTTCTCTTCTCAGCACCACTCCCCTCACTGCTGGTCTGAGCCCTTCACACACTGCCTGACCACAGTGGGAAAAACAGGGCTCAGAGTAAATTTTTAGAAATTTCACAAAGCTTGGATTTGACCCCAAGATCTTCACCTGTCTGACTCCCAAAATGCAAGCCAGGCACATGGGTCCACAGGACAACCAGGGGTCCCTGGCTGGCCTGTCACAGGCCAGGTACACCCCCTGTGGCCTCCCTTCTCTGCCCTGTTCTGCTTCCACCCCTGTGCCTTCCCCGTTTGGGATCCTGGGGCTGGTGTTCTCTCCCCGCATTGTCCCTGTCACACCTCTGCTCTCCTTCCAGAGGCTGCAGGCTGCATGTCTACCACTGGGATACTCTTCTTGTGGACTGTTCATTCCAAACAAACAAACTCTTCATACCTCATGACCCCACCTCAAAGGACTCTTCCTCCATCCCTGATGCCCCCATCTGACGCAGCTGCCCTGGACACTATGTGACCTGGCCCCAGTAAAACCTGCACTGACTAGTTCCCCCTGCCTGCTGAGGGCCAAGAAGCCAGAAAAACTCACATACAGTGATCTGTGGTGGTAACCTCAGGTGCTGGGGTGACAACCAGAGCAGCTTGGGATTGGGAGCGTGGTGAAGGCTGACACACTCCATGACAAGCCCCGTGACTCAGGCATATTCACATCCCTGCCACTTTGCACATGTCCTGGCAGCAGCACTCCCCTCCCACCCCCAGCTTGGAGAGGCTTCTGGGGTGCAGGCTGCCCTACCCATGCACCGGGGACTCTGGGAAGGGAGAACATGGCCTCAAGAGAGACTGGAGTTCATGCCCCGATAGTCTTTCAGCCCAACTGAGGGTGGCTTGGCCATGTGAGACTGGGTGCTTTGGGGAGTGGACGTTAGGTTCCAGGCCTCATCTCAGCCCCCCTGTTCTGAAGGACCTAATCCCCTCAGGGCCCAGGCCTGGCATCCCGATGCTTGGGCATCTGCCTGAATCTCTCCCCTTCTTTCCTGCCAAGTAGGGGAAGGTGGTCCAAGCCCACCCTCTGGGCCTGGCCTGATTGAAGCTCTTAAAGTCCACTGGTGGGGAAGGTTCTGGGCCACCCTCTGACCCCACAGACCTTCCTTGACTGCCACCTCCACTCCTCCCCCATGCCAGCCTCTGAGACACATGTCACAAAACGGGCTGCGGGCAGTAGAGCAGGCAAGCCAAGAAGCTCCTTCCCCTACCTCGGGGTAAGATGTCTCCCTGGCTTTCAGCAGCGCAGTCCTTCCTGGGCCCAGCTCTTTTGAGGGCGCCAGGTGCCCCAACTCAGGTCCACTTGTTTTCTTTTCATCAGTGGGAGATAGGACTTGCTCAAGGGCCCTGGAAGTGGGTGTGAGCTGGAGGGTGGTGCCTGTCCCACGAACCTCCCCAGTGTTAGAGGTGCTCCTAGGCCTGGCCCAAGGTGAGGGGTGGTTGAGGAGGGGAGAGCAGGCACAGGGGCAGCGGAGTCCTTGCGTCCCCTGTGGCCTGAATAGCCTGCCCTGCACTGCCCGTGTTTACAGCCGGGGCATGACTCTTTCTCCTCTCCAGACAGCTCTGGTCCAGCCCTGTGGCCACCTCCTGTTGAGGCAGTGGGTCTCCATCAGGCTTCTGCCCTGGCCTGTGCGACCCCAGACCTCTCAGGGGCCCAACCCAGACCAGGCCTTCTGTGCCCAGACTGCTGTCCAGCAGCTTCCAAAAAAGTCTGGTGGAAGAAGGGGTCCTGTGCCCACCTGGCACCGGAGAGGCCTAAGCCGACTCTGGTCACTGGACCCTAGGAGGTGGCTGGTGTGGAGAGGGACCTGATGGAGGGGGCAGGTGAGGTGGCATCCACCATCTGCTCTCTCCCTGGAGGGAAGGCTTCCTATGCAGAGGAGGGGAGGGGCTGTAGGAGTGGCCACTGGTCCGTGGGCTCCCTAAGGCTCCAATAGCCAGGACTTCTCTCCTTCTAGGGTGTTTGATGTGCCATTTTCCCCACCCACTCAAACTCCAGGAATACAGGACCCCTCCCCAGCAAGTCTCAGGATACCCATTTTCCCTCGTGAGGCCCTCCAGCTTTGGCCATGGCTTGACCCCTCCTCCTGAACCAGGCATGTGCCCAGCCCCCTCCTCCCACCGTGGCAGCTCCATACAGGGCCAGGTGTGCAGGGGACAGACAGGTTCTCAGGTTAGGGCTCACCTGAGGTAATTGTGTCTAATACCTCTTTCATGAGTCCAGGGGCTCATGGTGCTGAGGCAGGGAGCGCAGGGCTCAGCGGTGGTTCAGGACCTCACCCAGCCAGGCCATCTGGGGGCCTGCAATTCCACTGCCACGGGACATGGTCAGATGGCACTGACCCATAGTCTAGGTTCAGTTGTCATGCGGAGTGGGCCTCGACCAGGCCTTCCATTGGGGTACGGGGGCTGCGGGAAGGCCTGGCAGGGCCTGACGCCCAGCCGTCATGGCCAGGGAAGGGGCTGCGGTTACGTAAGCCCTCGGGGGTGGCAGGAGCGCTGCCTCAACCCCCCTCCCCATCCTTTCATTGTGGTCACCTCCGTGGCATGGATGGCCTGGCCCCTCCCCACCCCGCAGCCTGTCCGGGAGCACACACCTTACCTCGGCCCGGGCTCCTGGCTCATGCCACGCTGTTTGCCGGGCGTCCTCCCGTCATGGGGAGCCCGGCATGGGCGCTGGCGAAGCGGGAAGGCGGCGGAGGTGCTGGCCTGGCCAGCAGGGCCCGGCGTGCCCCGCGCCCGGTGTCCCGGCCTAGGCGGCCACCTCGGCCGCACCCCGAGAGGAGCTCCCCGGTGGGAGAGGATCAGCCGCCCCAAGCCTCCCACCGGGGAGGCTGAGGCTATGCCCAGATAAATAAGGCCGCTTTGCAGGGAGCCAGGCGGGCGCCTTCTCCCTCCCCTCGCCCTCCTCCCCGCGCTCCTCCTTCACCCTCCTCCCTACGCTCCTCCGCGGTCGCGGGCGGCGCCTCGCGCGCCCCCCGCCTGGCCCTGCACGCCGCGCCCTCGCGCGCTCCCAGTGCCGAGAGCCAATCCGGGTTGGGGAGCCCGGGAGGAGCGCCGAAGATGCGGAGCCCCGCCCCGCCCTGCCGTGCGCACAGCGCGCTCCCGCCGCGGCGCCCACGGGCACGCGCCAGTTACAGCACGCACCCAGCCCCCACCTTCGCCGCGGGCGCCCTCACAATAACAAATCCGGGCACGCGGCTGCGCGGGGACTGGAGGGAAGGGCAAGAGGAGGGCAAGAGAGGAAGGGAGGCGAGGGGAGGGCAGGGCGCGCCGCCGGAGAGTGGACCTGGAGCTAGCCCTGCCTGCGCGGAGCGGTGGGGACCCCTAATCCTGAGGTGAAAAGAAGACTCGAGCCTTTCGGCACTGGCGGTTGGCTCGGTCCTTCGCGGCCCGTCCTATGGCGTTTGGGCCGGCCTGTGCGTCCTAACCCTTGGTTGCCACCTGCGGGGACAAGAAGGGTCCGACCCTTCCCCTTCCCGCACCTCCTGTAGAGTGGGCAGCCAGTCCTCTTTCAAGGCCCTCACAGCTGCGCACCTGCTGGGCATCAGGCCCAGGAACACCCTTTAGTAGGAGACACACCCGCAGAGCTCAGAAACCACTGATCAGCAGATCATTTCAGAGTGGCATTTTGAGTGCAACAAAAGTTGAAAGTTGAAGAGGGCCACGTGATGGTAGGGCTCCTAAGGACATGACCCTTGAGCTGAGACCCCAAGGGTGAAATAATGAAGTGGTCCAGGAACGGATGTGCACAGGTTATGAGGCCTGAAAGAACCTGGCAAGCTCCCCCCGGAGTAGACTGGAGGCTGAGGTGGCAGCTGCTTTGTAAGGACCAGGCTGGGAGAGAAGGCAGAGGAGGTGGGATGTGGCAGGTAGGTGTGAAGGGCTGTCTGGGCCATCTTGCCAGGCCTCCCGACAGACTGGGGGAGAACAGAAGCTAATAGCACCTATCCTGAGGTCTATTGGGAGCAGAGAGAGCTAAGGGACCAGATGTGGGGGGGGGGGGGGCAGAACAGGGTCTTTGCATCAGGGAAAGAGCCTCAGGGCTGGGAAAGAGGCTCCCTCAGAGAGCCTCTCCACAGAAACGAAGGCAGCTGGTGTTTGGTGTTTGCAGTGTCATAACCGGAATCAGGGCCCAGGGAAGATGGGGGGCGGCAGGAGGGGGAGCCAGGCTGGCTGGACCTTGGCTGGCTTGGGGACTGTGTGGAACACTGGCTTTGGTGAAGGCAACTCTGGTGTGGCAGGGACACGGAAGAGTCAGTCTTGTCCTCTGCTGACACGAATCAAAGAAGGAAGCTTAGTGTGGGCAGGCAGGATGGGCTGCGTGAAGGTATTTGGGGTGACTAAGAAAGTGTTGTCCAACCCATCTAGTCACTTCCAGCATGCAAGTCTGGCAGCTGGCCTTCCAGCTCAGCCTCTACCCCACGTGCATAGGCGCAGGCTGGCATGGACCCCGATGTGGATGTTGTCCTGACTGGCAGGCAGCGTTTCCTCTAATATTTAGGGAGGGGTGGCTCTTGCCCATCAGCAGGTGTCAGGGTCTTGGGCAGAGAGCAAGCTGTGCCCTCAAAGGGGCCTGAGAAGTTCTCCTTCTTGGAAGAATCTGAGCGAAGAGCAGCTACTTAGAGGGATATGAAATATGCTGCGGAAGGCCTGCCTCCTGAACACCTGTGGACGGCTTGCCTCTCTACCTCTGTCACCGCTCCCTGTGCCAGTTGTCTCTCTTCTCCATGGCCGATGGCAGCTACCTCATCGATGGTCTAACCCTGCTTCCCCTACCTGTTCTCCCCATGGTACAGATGGACCCCTTCCTCCCAGGGCTCTGCCCTGCAGCCTACCAAGCCCTGAGTCTCCAGAGCTGCCAGCCCCAGCCTTGCCCCTTATTCTTGGAGCTTCTGCCACACTGGCCCTCCTCCAGAGCCAGGAGGGTACTAAGTTCCGCACCTACAGCATTAACTCACCTGGAGCACCCTTCCCTTGTCCTGATGCCCGGGCATGAAGGAGTCTCCCCAGTATAGACTGCTGAGGGGTTCTACCTCTGGAATCATGGGAAATGAGGACTGAAGACTCTTTGGCCCATCCTGCCGTTAGACATTGGGACTAAGAGAGGGAGCCACTGTCGCACCAGGGAATGGGGATGCCCTTAATGGGGTTGTTTTTCATGGCTCTTGAGGCCTGGGGCAGTGGCTCTGAGACACCCTGAGGCTCCTCACAGGAAGTTACCAGGTCTTTCCTGTTGGTAGGGGGCGGGCTCTCGGGTGGTATGTGTGCCCTGGGGTCACCTGCCCAGGCCCACATATTCTTCCTGAATGGGGTCTCAGGAAAGTATTTTCCCCCCTGGGAAATGGGTCGGGGTCTCAGGGGTGCCCTGGCGATCCCAGCACAGCGCAGGTGGCGAGAGCGTCATGCCCGATGGTAATTAGGATGGCTCTGAAGCCTCCTACTATGGAGCCACAAGAATGAGAACCTCTCAGCCTGGGAGAGCCCTGGGGGCCCTGGCTGGACAACTGCAGGTGGTGGGTCTCTGCAGCTTTCTAGCTTCTGTTCCCTGCCTTCCTTCCCCCTCCTCCTGGGACCCAGGTCCCACCTACCCGGGAAGGGGGCGGAGTAGCCAGGGTTGAGGATGACTCAGGGCCTAGCTGTCACTAAGGCAACCCTGTCGCCTAGCAATGGCAGTCTCCTGGTAACAGATGTCTCCTAGCAATGGGATATTTTCCCAGTCCTGGCTGGAGTCTAACAGTTATTTTTAGCTCAGCTGCAAATCAATGGCAACTGCATTTTTGGCTCCGGGAGAAGATGCAAGGTGTGTGCGTGTGTGTATTTCTTGTCAGAGGGAGGAGAATATCCCAGCTACAGAAACTTGTCCCGTGTCCTGAGGTGCAGGCTCATAGGCTGCGAGGCCAGATTCTGCCTGGAGTGATGTGGAAGAGTAGGGTGCAGGTGAAGCGGAGCCAGCCAGAGGTTGCACAGGATGGCCAGAAGAGTTGGCAGATATGACCATCTCCCTGATGGGGTCTCTGGGACGGCTGATCATTTCAGCACCCTGGGGCTCCCTAGGCCAGGCTGGGCAGAGGTAATCCAAGCCTGTGCTCATGGCACCATCAGAGCACATCAGTGGGCAGCCCAGGTTCTGGTGGGCTCCTGGCACGCCCTGGCCCTCAGTTGTGGAAACTACCTGTTGTCTCTAGCTCCCAACCCCACCCAGGGGTGCAGGTGGTCCTGGTTGCATGGGTCTGGGTGGGCACAGGCTCAGCTGGTGACTTGGGTGGGGCTGGTCCCTGCTTGGCCCACATCTCTTCCTCTCTCCTGCTTTTGCTGCAGTGGGTGTCCAAGGGGGAGGTCTTGAACAAGTGGGAGGCTTGATCCTTCTGGGCTCTCTGTTTCCACAGGGGCTCTGTTTGCTCTCCTCTTAGGGCCAAGTCTAAACTCTCCCCTGGGTGATGGGCTTGGAGCTGGTCCAGCCTACGGCCACCTTTCTGGCTCCTGGTTTGCTCTGAGTTCTGCCCCGGCCTTGGGGCCCTTGCCATCTGCTCTCCGGACTTGGGGCACTCTGGCTTTTGCTTTGTTCCTCTCGGGCCCTGGCCAGACCAGACCCTGCCTTCCTCCTTGCCTGTGCCCCCAGCACTGCAGGCTTCCTGCCAGGTGCCCTTCAACCTGTGGGGTTGCCTCCCCTGCTGGAGGTCGGTGCCACCTGCCCCAGGCACTGCGCAGGGCAGAGCTCGCCTCAGACAGTGCTCCTTGTCCCAGTATCAGCTCCAGCCCCTTACCAGGACCTAGGTTTTGCATGGGAATGGAGAGAGGCCTTTTTTTTTTTTTTTTTTTGGAGGATCAGGGCACTGGTCTGGAGCTGGGATACATGAAGGAGCCCCCAGTCTGAGCATAGACATCAGCAGATTTACCTATGGCCTGGAATATCATTCATCCATTCACTCATTCACTCATTGGCATATCCACTCATTCTTCAGGTATTTACTGGGCACCTGCAGTGTGTCTGGTTCTGCACCCACAGCAATCGAGGGCAGACATGGCCTTCAGAGCTCCCTGTGTCATAGGCAGCAGACTTCCGATGGCTAATAACACCAAAGTGCTTTCCTGAGTGGGGCCAGGAGCTATGAGGACAGGTGGCCCCTGTTAGGTCGGGACTTCTGTAGGTTACAACATTATTGCTGGGCCCCTCGAAGAAGAGTCTGGGGCATAGGAAAGGAAGCCTCGTGAAGAGACAGCTCAGGGCCAGGTGAGTGTCCCTTCTGAACCAGATCACTGCCAGGAGCCTCTCCTTTACACCCACAGACAGTTACCCATTATCTGGGGGTAGGTTTGGGGTGGGGAGCCAGGGGCCCTTGGCTGGCTGGGGATGGGTCTGAGGCTGTTTCTTGACGCTGCCACTAGAGGGAGCATGGAGCCCACTCTTTGCCTCAGAGGCCTGGACAGGGGCTGCCAAGGCCTTAGTGATCAGCCATAAGTGGACTAGCTGCCTTGGCAAGGGCAGGCATAATAGCTGACCCATTGCTCTCTTCCTTCCTCCCAGTGCCTCTTTTGCTTCATAGTGCCCAGCCCCAGGTCCTGACTACTCCTCTTTATTTTTAATGGGCAAAATACACATAATGTACAACAACCATCTTAACCGTTTTTAGCTGTACAGTTTGGTAGTTTAAGTACATTTACATTGTTTGTAACATCACCACCATCCATCTCTGGAATGTTTCATCTTTCCAAATTAAAACTCTGCCCTATTAAGCACTGACTCCTCATGCCTCCTTCTCCCAGCCCCAGCACCTACAATTCTATGTCTCTATGAATTAGGAACCTCACAGAAGTAGAATTATACAGTATTTGTTATTTTGTGACTGGCTTATTTCTCGAGTGTAATGTTCTCAAGGTTTCTTCCATATTGTAGCATGTGTCAAATTTTCCCTCTTTTTAAGGCTAAATTACATATATTCTACTGTATTGATAGACCACGTTTTATTTATCTGTCCATCTCTTGATGAACACTGGGGTTGCGTCCACCTTTGGGCTGTTGTGACAGTGATAGCTGGTGGTTCTTACCCCGCCAGCGGAGCCATGTAGGTGTCTCGCCCTTCTTTAGCCTGGGACCCGGGGAGAGGGCAATGGTAGTTTCAGTCTGGCAGCTGCTCCAACCTCCCCTTCCCCTTGGGCCATTTGCTCTCATCTGTCAGCGTGCACTCAGGCCCAGGGGTAGCAAGAGGGCTGCGGTTTGGGGATAGTGGGGTGGAGAGCTCACACCCACAGAGGGCAGCGAGTCTATGCTGGTTCTTAGTGACCCCTAAGTGATTGGGCATGAGGTTGGACTTCTGGCTTTGTGGCTAAGGCCTCTGTGAGCTGACCCTGGGAGTTTCCTGGGCTGTTGAGGCCCCTGTCCACTTGGCCTCACCTCAGGCCTTTTGCACAGGTCTGGAATTTCTCCAGTCCTCACCGGCCAGCCACTACTTAGTCCCTACCCTCAGGGAAAATCCTGGCTGTGAGAAATCTCTGTGCTACCCCCCCCCCCCCCCCCCCCAACTCCTCTGGATTCATTTTGAAGAGTTGGCCCCATTTCAGGGTCCCATATCAGGACCTCCTTGGGCCTGATTCTGGGACACAGGACTGCCCCTTGGCTTGGCTGCCCCAGCACCTGGCCACTCCTCCCTCGGGTACCTGCAGCTTCCTGGGATTGGTTGGGCCCAGGTTGGGGCAGGATGGGGGCTGAGAGGCCCAGGTCCCCAAATCTTGGAAAGGGCCACCAGTGAGGAGCTTTCTCCCCTACCCCAAACTCCTCGCCCCCAGGTTCCCGTGGGAACCAAACTCACTGCCACCCTAGCTGAGGGCTCAGAGAACAGCAGGTCCATGGGGATGGCGTGCACAAGGCCCAGGCGACTCAGAGCACGCAGAGCTAGAAGCCCCCTAGCTGGCACCTCCTAAGTCGCGAGATTGTCTTCCCCGCCCCGAGAGCGCCGCTTCGATTGGCGGAAAGTTCCGGGGCCGCGCCGCGATTGGCCGGACCTCCTCAGGCAGCTTGAGCGCCCAGGGAGGGCCGCGGGCGGCCGAGGCGCGGGAAGTTGGCTGCGCTTGCCTGGGGTCCCTGACCGCGGCACTTCCCTCCGTCTCCGCATCATGCCGCTCCCTGCACTGTTCTGTGCGTTCTGCTGCTGCCTCCTCCCCACGGCTGCCTGCGCTGGCTTCTCGGAAGACCGCTGCAGCTGGAGGGGCAGGTACGACCCCCGTGGTCAGCCACTGGGGCCGCGCTCTCCTCTAGGATGAGCCTGCAGGATGGTATAGACCGCCCTTTGGGTTGGGGGTGAAGGAGGGCTCCTCAATGACAGTGAATTCCTGCCCTTCCTCTGGAGTGCAGAGGACTGTACTCCTGAGTTTCCTTCGCCACAGAGTGGACGCCGCTGTGTGGCTGAGGGGAGAGGCTGCCGGGGAGGGGCTGCTCCGGGCGGGGACGAGGGACGCCCGCCTCAACCCGCGCGTCTGCCCCAAGCAGCCTGACCCAGAAGGCCGGCAGCGTGGAGCAGATGGTCCTGGCCTGGGCGGAGGGCGGGCTCGAGTGGCTAAACAAGGCCGTGCGCTGCGCTTGACCCTTGGCAGCTCTGACTCCGGCACGCGGCTCGGCGTCGCCTGCTTGTGGCCAGCGAGGCGCTCTGCTGGAGTGCAAAGGCTTCGCTGAGAGGGCGGGCAGCGTTCTTGAGCTGCTGCTGGCCGAGAGCCCGGGCCCCGCTGGCAGCCGATGCGTGCGCTGGGGTCCCCGCGAGCTCCGGGTCCTTTTCCTGCAGGCCACCCCGCACCGCGACATAAGCCTCCGTGTGATTTCCTTCTGCTTCGAGCTGCGCGAGGACGGGTGTCCAGGGCTGCCTCCGCAGGCTCACGGTCTGGGCGCGGTTTGGTGAGTGAGGGTCTGGGTGGGGAGGAATGGGAGTCACTGAACTCCCACCCTACCCAGGAGGGATGGGAAATGCCTGTCGTCCGCACCACACAGGGAGGAAGGGGCGCTTTTCAGAGGCCACACGGCTAGTGAGTAGCAGCAGCCCCAGGACAAGTCAGAGGGAGGGTGGGCAATTCCCGGTGACTCATTTTACGGACAGAGCTGGCAGGGGGCAGAATGGGAGGAAGGAGAGGCCAGACTGAGCAACCCCGGGCTCTGGTCCTTAAGGGGCTGGATATGGAGAAGGAGATCAAAACCTCCGGCCAATGCTGTCCAGGACTCCCTGGCCCAGCCCCAGCGGCGACCGCCCACCCCTCCCCTAGCCCAATATAATACAAGTCCAGTGTGCGCCTGTCACCATGGAGACGCCCCTGCCTGCCTGCCTGCGGGCAGCATGCCCAATTCTTTGCTCTCCTAGAGCTTAGAGCCTGATCCCATAGAGGGTGAGGGGTCTGTCTCTCTGTTTTGCCTCTGGCTCCAGGCCAGAGGCTCCAGAGCCCACTATCCCCTCCTGCTGCTCCCCACCCCTCAGGCTGGTGTCTCTACGGAAGTTACCCGTCTGCGAGCCAGAGCATGCACAAGGACACTGAGCTTCAGGTGGGTGAGTCCTTGTGTGCTGGGCACAATCCTCAGGCCCATGTCTATTTCAAGTGTGTGTGGTGCGTACACGAGCCTACATGCATCACCCCAAATGCCACACCAGGATACTCCAAGCCAGGTGGAACTGACTCTCCTCACTGGGGCTCAGGTCTTGGGAGCAGGGCACCTCAGTTTCCTGCCACTCAGGAACACATGTCTTTCAGGACTGGTGGCACCTGGGACACAGTACAGGCAAGCACATGAAGTGCTCTTCCCTTGGGAGGTAGGGGCAAGGGTCTCGGGCATGGCCAGTGTCTGGAGGAGCCTGTGTCCCTACTGGGGTTCCTGACCGGGACTGTGGATGGCTGAGGAGCCAGGCCAGGTCCTGTGTGCAGACAAGCTCCTGACATTCATGGCCATTTGACCTCATGGTGGGCTGAAGAGGAGATTCTGGCTCTGCCATTTGATCTAGGGCTCTATCTGCCCCCTCCCCACTTGTCTCTCCCACTGCTAGGCTTTGTCAGGTCACCTCTGGGAACTTATTTTTTTGGTGTTGATGTTGTCTGGAGAAGTAACGTGATCTCCCCAACTCCTGGGGCTCTTTCTCCAGCCACGGCTAGCCCAGCCACCAAAAGCCCTGGCCCCTCACCCCCACTCTCCTCCCACCACGCTCACAGGGCCACCATCTGTCTTCTTGTGTCTGCTCAACCTTCTTCACATCAGCCCCCTCTTCCTTGCCCCAGAGCTGAGCTCCAGCTTCCCCCCCTCCCCCAGACACCAGCACATTCTCTGTTTCCTGCTCACTTGGGTTAATGGCCTTCAGTTGTGGGAGGGAGCCCAAAGGGTGTTTGTTGTCCCTTCAACTGCTCCTAGGCTTGGCTGGATATTGGGGTTTCCTGATGGGCAGAGCACCCACTAGTCTCCCAGAGATAGCTGTATAGGGCCTGGCTGTGGCTCAGGGTGGCCAGGCCTAGATGTCACCCACCCCCAGTGAGCCCATTTCCCACTGTCAACCTTAAAAATAAACTAGCCATTTTACCAGCAAAAAATGAGTTTATTTGGGAATGGCAGAGGAATTGCGATTTTGGGCTTGCACACTATGGTGAACCATAGGCAAGTCTAGAGAACAAAGGGGAATGCTGTTTTATAGAGAAAAAGAAGGAAGCTGGGAGAGGTAATTATAAGCAATAGAGCATTGGAGGAGAGCAAGGGTTCAGGGTGGTGGTGGCTTCTCATCGGTGGGGCCGTTTCAGGGTGAGGAGGAAATCTTCCTCCTGCTGGAGCAGTTAAGTAGGCTTCTTGTTGCCGTTGGCAGGGTGCAGTGTCTGCGGGGCAGCTTCCCATTCAAAGCTTCCTGGCTCGGTTTCATGAGGTTTCCTTTGTTCGTTTTCACATTTTCCACTTTGATCAAAGTCTTTCTCTGAAAGCATCACTGACCAATCAGTTTTTACACATTTAGTAGTTTAGTCCTTCTGTGTCAGGAAGGACCTTTCCTGGTTGTCATGTTCCATGTAGGAGGAAAAGTGTACAGAGACTGGAAATGTTGGAGGTCACATGTGAGTAACAAGGAAGGTTAGAAGGAAGGACGCTGAGGCATTCCCGTCGAACGTCTATCTTATCAGTGTCATAAGTGTTGCAGATCATCAAACATTGAGCCTGCATCGTTTAGTGCATCATTTCTGCAGAAGCTTGATAGGCAGCAGGTACCAAATTTGAAAATTATACAAAGCAAAATGAAGAGCAGAATAAAATCCAGTTTGTACAATGGTCCTAAATCAGGAGCTCATGCCTGAAGTAATCAGCTATGTAGACCCTGGAGAATCAGGTGAAATTTGTTGTAACCAGTGGGCTTGTTCCTAAATTTTGTGCAATTGGGTTTCTACTTCTGAAGAATTTATCCATGTGCAACAGATGATGTTTGCTATTGCAAACTAAAACATGGTTATTTTCAATGGACATAATTAGACTTATGCGATATTGTGGTATATCTTCTTTTATCAGCTATGTACCAAAAGAGGCAGGGGCTAGATGAATCAGGCATCCTGTGACCTATCTCAAAGGGTGAGAGATTATGAGTTCCAAAGGGGGTGGATCTGAGATTTAAAAATTTTTTTAAATTTATATTTAGAGAGAGGAGAAGGGAGGGAGAAAAGGAGGGAGAGAAACATCAATGGGTGGTTGTCTCTTATGTACCCTCTACTGGGGATCTGGCCTGGCATCCAGGCATGTGTCCTGACTGGGAATTGAACCAGCGACCCTTTGGTTCTCAGGCTGGCACTCAATCCGTTGAGCCACACTGGCCAGGGCTAGGGGGTGGATCTGAGATTTAGAAGGACCAATGGCAACATTTTGGCCAAGGTTTTGGAAGGTGTCCACAAATTTTGCTAATTGAGTTTTGATGATGCTGTTGGTTCAACTAGTCCTGAGGACTGAGGTTGATAAGCAAAAATGCTATAGAACTGGCCAAATAGCACAGTCTTGCCATAATATTTGACCAATAGAACTGGTTCCCTGGTCTCCATGGAGCTAAAGAGGAATTCTCCAGGGAGGGATGCTCCCCGCCCCCCTCAACCCCAAAAGAATTAGACACTGAAGAGGCATGTAGCTTGTCAACATGAAAAGGCTTTGACCCAATGGGAAACACAAATTATTACCACAGCATACCTGTATCCATGAGATGGGGGTAGATGAATAAAGTCCATTTGCCAACCCTTGAATGGGCAATTTAAAAATATCTGGGGGTGGCCCTGGCCTGTGTGGCATGGTTAGAGCGTTGTCTTATAGACTGAAAGGTTGTGGGTTTGATTCCCATTCAAGGGACATACCCAAGTTGTGGGTTTGGTCCCTGGTTGGGACACAGATAAGGGGCAACCAATTGATGTTTATTTCTCTGTGTCTCTTCCCTCTGCCCCTTTCTCTCCCTTCCCCTCTCTCTAAAAATGATTAAAAAAAAAAACTCAGGTGAGAATAAATAAATAAAATGTCCAGGAGTGGTGTGGACAGTTTTCCCTGGGTTGTTTTTGGGGCAGGCGGGGCAAGAAAAGTAGGTGCTTTTTGCAGCCTTCTCAATCAGTATTGGTTTGTAAAGGTTATATTATCAGTAGATCAATGATTCAATGCATATACAGTAGTCAATAGTGGGAATTTAGAATTTCTGGCAGGAGTGGATAAAAAGCCAGAGTTATTTTTTTTTTAAAGATTTTATTTATTTTTAGAGAGAGGGGAAAGGAGGGAGAAAAAGAGGGAAAGAAACATCAATGTGTGGTTGCCTCTCAAGCGCCTCCTACGGGGGGGGCTGGCCAATAACCCAGGCATGTGCCTGGGAATCACACCAGAGACCCTTTGGTTCACAGGCCGGCACTCAGTCCACTTAGCCACACCAGCCAGGTCAGAGTTATGTTTTTCAAACCAACAGTTATTAGAGTTCCAATATTTTTCCTTTTCTGGGGCCAATTTTAGAGCATCACTAGTCAGTTTTTTTTTTTTAAATTAAAAAAAATTTATTTTCGAGAAAGGGAGAGAGAAACATCGATTTATTGTGCCACTTACTTATGCATTCATTGGTTGATTCTTGTATATGCCCTGACTGGGGATTGAACTTGCAGTCTTGGTGAATTGGGACAATACTGTAAGCAATTGAGCTATCCGGCCAGGGTATTACTCGATTTTTCTAAATTATCTTTTGGGGGAACATCCCTTTGGACCATGACAGAGGTTTGGCTATTGGTTCCTTTGAGAACAGTGTACTTGGAGGAAATAGATCAGCAAGGTGTTTTCCTTTAGCTTCCAGGGAGTCAAGTTTGGAATGCTCAAGTATCTTAAGAGCAAGGTGGCTGGTACGAGTATGGCATCTAATAGGTTTTGGACTTCAGAGCTATTTTTAATTGTATCCCCATTAGAGGTAAGGAAATCTTGAGGTTTCCATAGTATTTCAAGGTCATGAGCTAGCCTAAAGGCATAGCGATTATTAGCGTATGTTTTGTGGTTTTGCCCTTGACTACAACACAAGCCAGAGTAAGTGTATAATTCATCCTGTTGGGCAGAGGTAGCCAGGGGCCAAGGTGTTGCCGTGATAACTTCAAAAGTAGTTATAATAGCATACCTAGCCGAATATTTACCATTTAAATGAGAACCAACAGTAAACCATGCAAAATCTACATTGGTCAGAACTTCCTGTAAGTTGTCATGGGGTGTCAAAAGGTCCTGAGGGGTTTTATCAGTGAAGGAAGGGATAATAGCCAGATCAAGACTAAGACAGCGATAAAGTTACAAGAGGACGAGTCAATGGAAGGATTTCATAGGTGAGACAACTGGCAGAAAAGTATTGAGTGTGATGAGAATGCAGGAGGGCCTCTAGTGCTCGGGTACAAGATGATGAGGGGGGGTGTGAGGAGGGGAATCCCATGACTATTTCTTCTAGTGGACTGGACTGAAAGGACAGTGGCAAGGCCCTGACTGGTGTGGCTCAGTTAGGGGACGTTCTGGAAAGCTAGAAAGGTAGCCAGTTCAGTTCCCATCAGGGCACATGTCTGGGTTGTGCATTCAGTATGTGGGAGAGGCACCTGGGAGAGGCACCTACGAGAGGCAGCGGATCAATGTCTCTCACATTAGTGTTTCTCTTTCTTGCTCCCTTCCCCTCTCTGTAAAAAATAAAATCTTAAAAAAAAAAAAAAATAAAAGGACACTGGCAGGAATGGTTCTGAGGCGAGGGGAGTTATCCTTGTGCCCACAGAGTCTTCGCTGCTGGCTAGAACCTTATAGGGTGATGGCGCTCTCCATGCTTTAGGGCAACGGTTTTCAATCTTTTTCATCTTACTGCTCACATAAATTACTTGCTAAAATTCTGTAGCACACCAAAAAATATATTTTTTGCCTGTCTTGACAAAAAGAATAGGTATAGTTTTGATTCATTCAACACAGCTATTGTGTTGGTTGTTGTCTTTTTTTTTTTTGACAATCTAAGGGAAAAGGGGTCCGTGTCTCGGACTAAAGAGTCAGGCACTGCAGCTTTTAAACATTCTTGCGGCACACCGGTTGAAAATCGCTTCTTTAAGGTGAGCACCAGAGCGGGATCCTGGGCCCCGGTGGAGCAGAATGCGTAGGGACCAGTCGCCAACGCCTCCGCCCCGCCCCGGCCCGCCCCGCCCCGGCCTCTGCCCAGCCACTTCCGGCCCCATGGCTGGCGGGTGTAGGGGTTCCCGTCCTCGGGAAGGATAACTCTGGGCAGCGTGTTCCGCAGCCATGGAGCAGGATGATCCGGCCGAGGCGCTGGCCGAGCTGCGTGAGCGGCGACTGGGTCCGTTTGAACTGCTACAGGTGGCGGCGGGCTCGGGCCTGGCCGCCTACGCTGTGTGGGCGCTGCTACTGCAGCCGGGTTTCCGCCGGGTGCCGCTGCGGCTGCAGGTGAGACGCAGGACTTACGGTGCTGGGCCTACGGAGGGTCGAAGTTCTGGGCAGATGGGCGGGAGCAGCTGCTGGGACCAGGCTCTTGCCAGTGGGCGGGATCAAGCCTGGGGGCGGGGCCTGAATTGAGGGGCTGAGCCCGGTTGTGGTGGAGCCGCGAGAGTTCTGCACTTAAGGACCAGCCTGGTTGTGAGTTGGAACCTGTTTCCAGTAGGGCAGAACAACTCATTCAAAGAAAGGAGTCCAAGAGGCAGTCTCTGTCCCGCGACCAGTGAGATTTAGGTTTGGGACCAGAGACTTGAAGAGCCTGAGTGGCTAATGGACTCTAGCCCTCCAAGCCACATGTCTCCATGCCCAGGTACCCTATGTTGGCGCAAGTGTGAGGCAGGTGGAGCATGCATTATCGCTGCTGCGAGGCCGTTCTGGAAAGCTGGTGGACCTGGGCTCTGGAGACGGCAGGATTGTAAGTAGGGGGTGGGGGCGGCTTCTCACAGCGCACCTCTCCACCTTCTGGCTCTGACACTTTTGGTGCCCACAGGTGCTGGCTGCCCACAGGTGCGGTTTCCGCCCAGCGGTGGGCTATGAGCTAAACCCGTGGCTGCTGGCGCTGGCGAGGCTGTATGCCTGGAGGGCTGGCTGTGCCGGCAGTGTCTGCTACCACCGCGAGGACCTCTGGAAGGTAATCTGGGGAGTCCTGTACCCCTTCAGGCACCACGCTTGATCTCCACTCTTCCAGTTCTGGCTTGGCTACCCTGCTGCCAGCCCCAGGTGCCTCAGCCTCCTGGGCGGGCTAGGGGCTGACACTCAGAAGTTGAGGTAACTCTATGCCTGCCAGAACTCTTTCAGGGCTGGAGTCCAGTCCCCTACTGGGGTGACCTTTTCTTCTCACAGGTGAGCCTGAGGGACTGCCACAATGTGTCTGTGTTCCTGGCCCCGAGTGTGGTAGGTCTGGGATTTGCTAACCCTTGGGAACGCCCAGGCCACCCCAGTGTATGTGCTGGGCCTGGAGGAGCTGGGAGGGGGCATTTGTGTTCCGCCCTGCCCACCCTGCTCTCCTGCTCTCTTCTACAGCTTCCACTGCTGGAGAAAAAGCTACAGGCAGAACTGCCTGAGGGGGCCCGTGTGGTGTCGGGACGCTTCCCCCTCCCCACCTGGCGGCCTGTGGCTGTGGTGGGTGAGGGCCTGGACCGTGTCTGGGCCTATGACATCCATAGTGGTGGGCCAGCTGGGCAGGCAGCCCCTACACCCAATTCTCCCTTGGTCCCTAGGGCCCCTGATCCTCAGGCTGGCTGACCATGTGGACACAATAAAGACTCAATGGGCTCCACCCTGACTTTTATTGTGTGGAGGGTTGGGTCAAATGATTCCCTAGAGGATTCCATGCGGGCTGGGAAGAGTTGTGCTCCAAGTTTATCTGATGACTGGCTAGTGGCTGCGGGTCCTTGGGCGCTGATGCTTGGCTGGAGGCATGGCCCCCACTTCCTGGGTGTCTCCTGAACCCAACAGCTTCCTTAGCCTTAGGATCTCCTTCTTGTACCTGCTTGGAGGGACTAGGTTTAGTCACCTGCCTGGCTGTGGACAAACCCTGCCTCTAGTGTTTGGGACCCATACCCATCCGACTTTGCCAGGAGCTTACCTGCCTAAGTGCTGGTCCACATACTCCTGAAGCTCAGAAAGTTGCTCCTCAGCCTTTGTGGCTCGGACTAGTAGTTGTGCCCGCTCCCATTCCAGCTCTGCCTGGCATGGAGAGGCAAAAGCCATGAGCCAGGACAGAGTACAAAGAAGAATCCCTGGCCAGGCCTTGCCCACACGCTACCTGGGTGCCACGGTAGAAGTTCTGGAGCTTTTGGTAGATCTGTGACCAGGATGCAGCTTCCAGGCTCCTGTGAGCCAAGAATGGGGTGCACATGAGGCTGGTGTTGTCCCAGGAGCTGACCGGTGACCCCGCTCAAGTAGAGGCACCTAGATCCTTGAGGTGCCTCCCAGGGGGTAGTTTAGGACAGCATGGGCCTGCCCTGCCAGTATGGGAACCATCTATGCATGGGGGGTAGGGCAGCCCAGGCCAGAAGGGCCCACTGGCTGTGTTCAGGGACAGTTAAGCCACATCCCAGCTTGGGAGGTGACCCCAGTGTTTGTAAGGATGCCAATGGTGAGGCCTTCCCCTGTGCTGGGGGATTGTTTCCTCAAACCCTGAGAGACGCGCCTGCATAAGCCCCTGTTCATTGCACCGCTGGAAGCATGGAGGCCCAGAGGCAAGGGCTGTGAAGGGCACCAGATAGCCTGCTCCTGCCCAGTCCTATGGGAACAACTGAAACATCTTTTCCTGGGCTTCCCCTAACCCATTCAAGGTCAGTACCTCTCCTGTCAAAGCCCCTCTTCACCCCACACACTTGGTTTTTCTGTTTAGTGTTTCCCATACAGACTGAGACCTGAGGGCACAGACCCACCTCCTTGTTCACTGCTGCAACTGGAACCCCACCCAGCAGTTAAAGAGTCGATAGAATAATTGAATGACCCCCTTGCAGGCTGCCCCGGCATCCACATCAGGGCACTCACTGTGGCTCTGATGTGCTCCCTGGGGAGGCTTCGTCAGGTCCGTTCTGTGGGAACAAGAGCAGCACCCTGAGCCCTCAGTAATAAGGCTGTGTGATAGAGATTCTCAGTCAGCTGAGCAAGGTGGGCTGCTCAGAGGTCCGGGGGTGGGGGCTTTGCTTAGCCCGTGATGGGCCCCAGTGTGAGTTCTGGGCTCTGTGCCCCAAGGCCAGCGTGGGGCAGCAAGGAGCGCTGACCTGGACTTGGTGCTTCTGGAGCTGTGTCTCCAGCCTTGCCTGATCCTTCTGAAGGTGGCCAAGCTCAGTCACCAGGTGCAGGGGCAGTGGCTCCAGGTCTGAGGTGACTGCATCAGAAGTAGCCTTGTGGATCCCAGGTGCCCCATTGGGGTCCGCCAGCACTTGCTGCACCCTAAGACACATGTGAGGTCACGTAGAGCCACCCCACCCCAAATTCGTATCTCAGGGGAGGGGCCTACCTGTGGGCACCTAGCAGCTCCTCATGCCTTCTGCTCAGATCTGCCAGGCGCTTGCGGTAGGTGCGAGCAGCCCGGGCCAGCTGTCGCTCACGGCTGTGGTGTGCTGCTCGGATGTCTTCCAGGGTGGTCTCCAGGAACGTCCGAAGGGCTCCTCCAGCTGTAGGTGCCTGGCTCGCACCATCTGCATACTCCTGGAGAAGGTGGGGTGGGGCCTGGGCTTGGTAGAACCCATACCCCTCTCCCCTACCTCTGTAGAGCAGGCCTGCAGTTCAGCAGTGGAGGCCCAGAGGGTCTCTGAAGCAGTCCAGCAAACCCAGGCCAGGCTTGGGCTTCCCAGGACCCGGGGGCCCCCCACCCACAATTAAACCATCCTGCCCAGGGCTCACCACCAGGGCTCGGGCACAGCACTGCAGCCGGACAGTGTACTCCTCATTCAGCTTTTTGAGTTGCAGCTGCAGCCGGGCATTCTCGGCTTCAGTCTGGCGGAGCTGGCCCTGGCAGGTGGACAGCACCTGGGGAATGGAGGCAGCCCTGAACCTATACTCCTTGAGGCAGATCTCTGCTAAGCTTCTAGGACACCTACCCCCCGAGATCTCAAAGTGGGTATGGCTGGGCCTCACCACAGCTTGTGCAGCCAGTCGCTGCCCAGCTGTCCTGGCCTCCTCTTGGGCTCCCTGCAGCTGCTGGCCCAGGGCTGACCTGCAGACGTGGGTGTGAGGCTCAGTCGGGCTCAGGGTAGGGGACTCCCTCTGCCCCTTGGGAACAGCTGCTCTGTGCACTCTTGACAGGTAAGGCAGCCACTCACACACGCATCTCCAGTGCTTGCTGCCTGGTTCTGTGCTGCTCCAGCACCCACTTCACTTCTTGCAGCTGCGGAGTACACAGGACTGGCTGGATGAGACTCTAAGCTCTGGGTCCCTAGCACTGGTCCACCCAACCCTGGGCTGAGAGAAACCTGGACAGCTCCCCGGGCTAGGTGGCTGCATACTCACGCCATTTCCCAGCTTCTGCAGCTCATTCTCAGGGGTCCGGAAGTCCTCAGGCTTTGCCTGTATGGGAGAGTGGGTCCTAACCTCATTGTACCCCTGCTGCATCCCTATTTGGCTCCCACCCAGCCAGGCTCTCCACATGCTCATGGTGACCTGGAGGATGTGGTGGTTGCCATCTCCCTGTCCCTTGGCCTTCTGATCAAGCTTCTGTGCAAATGCCTGGAGGTGCCCTGGACCAGTCTGTGCTGGGGCTGCATGGTCTCCATGCAGCTCCAGCTCCAGCACCCGGCTCTCCAGCCGCAGGACCTGTGGGCAACCAGGGTGAGCAGGTGCACCTGCCTGCTGGGCCAAATCAACATTCTCCTGGGCACATGTGGACATGCAGCACATGCACGACATTCAGGGACTCATACTGTGTGTGTTCCCTGTCACATGGGGCATACCTACACCCCCCACCTACAGCATTGGTCCTGTGTGTGCACCACCAAAAGCTCTCAGGCTGGCACATGTGGGTGCACCAGCACCTACCTCATTCTTCAGCTCAAAAATTTCAGCTTCGTGCTGCTCTTGCAGACGATGGGTTGTGATCTGCAGGTCGACCAGCTCCTTGGAGATCTGTGGGTGGCCAGGGTGAGAAGTGGTACCTGTGGGATCCTGTGGGCACCCTGCCTCCTAGCTCCTCAGGGCTCCCACACTCACCTGTAGCCGCAGCTCCTCACTCAGCTCTAGATCTGAGGGAAGCTCTGTATTAAGACTGGTAGCCCAGGCTGGGGCATCTCCAGGGACTCCTGGCAGCCAGTCTTTAGCCAGTGGTAGAACCTGAGGAGGAACCACCACCCATCCCCAGGTGGGTCTCAGGCCTTGGTTGTGGCCTCCACTCCCACGGAGCTATGAGCCATCCACTCACACACCCAGCTTAGCTGAGGTGGGGAAACCAGGCCCATAGCCAAGATCAGGTCCAGGACATGGGTACCTGCACCCCTCTTAGTCCCTGAGGGGTCAAGGAGGACCCTCAACCCCATGGCAGAAGCAGCAACATCCTGGGACTCACATTCTCAAGGGCCTGAGATGGGACTTCTGGCTTGGGACCTAGAGCTGCTGCACGCTCCATAGGCAAAAGGAACTGTGGCTGCAGGGAGCCCAGTGCAGCCTTGCTTACTGGCCTGTTACTGCGACGCGGTGTCTTGTGTTGCGAAGGACTCTGTTGGCTCCCAGAGTCTCCCGCCTAGCAACCCCCTTCAGAAACACACGCACGCGCAGGGCTGTTCAGTGACTGGGGAGGTGGGGGAACTCTCAGCTCCTTCCGTATATTGCAACCCATTTTTTTCTGGTTTCAGTTGCCTCACTTGGGAAATGCAGACCAGCACCCTTGCACTTATCCGGGGGCGCGGATGAAACCAGGGGTGCTTGAAAACCTCCCAGTCTGGGCAGGTGTGGAACAGCGCGCACAAAAAGGAGCTTCCTCTTGCTGTTCCCATAACCTACAATATGTAGGGCAGGGGGTCGCATACTCATCAGAAGCCTTTTGTATGCCTCCCATTAGTGGCTGAGCACTAGGACGGGCAGGTGGCAGACGAACAAACTGGACAGATCCCTGCAGCCTGAGGAAAGGGGATGCAGACGTCCCAATGGGGGGAGGGGGTGTGGCTCAGGAAGGCTCGGGAAGGCTTCCCGGAAGAGGTGCCACAGCGCAGGAAGTGCTTGCGGCCAACATCCGGCAAGCGTGCCCTCCCAGCGCTGGGCTGAGATCCCCGCCCAAGGCCAGGTGGTGTGGGAACCTTTCGCGGCGGCCGAGCTGAGCAGTACGCTCTGTCCAGGTCCTGAAGTCCACTTCTGTCCTTAATGACATCCTGAAGCCAGCTAACGCAGCCCGTGCGCGGGTAAGTAGGCGGAGGGGGGCGGAAAGGAGCTGTTGGGGGACCTGGATCCTGCAGCAGCGGGAGGCGGTTGGGGGCGGGGCCTATTGGAGGAGGCGTGGCTTGCCAGGTCTGAGACTTGGTCTGGGGCGGATCCCAGGAGAAGGCGTGGCAGAGAAACTGTTCTGGGGGCGTGGCTTAAGGGACGTGGGGCCTACTGTGAGACTTGGGGTGCCCAAAGGCAAGAGTCCGCAGCTGCCGGTCCGCTTGAGCCTGGTGCGAGGGATTCCACCCTGGCCGTCTGCTGAAACCCTAGAGCAGGGAACGGGTCTCCTTTTCTGACTCTCGGTGTGCGTGTGTTCGTGGAGCTGATCCCTCCTGCACACAGCCCTGCCTAAAGTTGGAAGAGGGAAGCCCCACCCTGAGGAAGGAACCAGGAAGGCTGTGAACCTATTTTGGAGGCTCTGCCATCCTGAACGTCAAGGTCATCCCTGTGCTTGAGGACAACTACATGTATCTATTCATTGAGGAGCACACGCTGAAGCCGGCGGCCATGGACATGGTGGTGCCCAAGAAGGTGAGGGCAGGACATGGGCCCAGGCATCTATGGCTGGAACTGGCCAGTCCCCCTTCAGAAAGGCTCTCTGTCCACCCACCCTGGTTGGAGCAGATCCTTCCTCTGCTCTCTAATCTCTGGTGGCTTTGCACTTAGGTTTCCTTGATTGTACCTTGGGTCTCCCCTGGGATTAAGACCATGCCTACCTTCTCTTTTCCCTTATTCTGTTACCTAACTGTTCCATACACTCTGGGAGCTTAGTAATTAATTGCTGGATTTCCCCTACCCTCATCCCACAACAGCCTGCCTGGGGGGCTGCGCATGCCAGACCTTGCTTGCCAGTATGAGGGAGGGCACCTGGAGCATTTGCAACTCCTTAACTCCCGCTTCTTTCAGCTGCTGGACATTGTGGGATGGAAGGAGGTATCGCTGACCACCGTATTAACCATTCACCATCACTGTTGAGTGTGGTTGGGGTGGGCCTTACTCCACCCTAGCCCCTGTGTGATTCTGCTCCCACCTGTCTGCAGAGACCAGGGGCAAGGAAACACGGAGCTGGTGTTATCTGTGGCCCCTGCAGGTGGTGCTGGGTGCCAATGAACACATCTGTGCACTGACCCACAGACTGGCACATGGTGATGTTTCCCATGAGTGTGTGCCTTGGAGGGCCAGAAGGGCTCCAGGTCTGCCCACCTAACACATCCACCTGCTCCTCTGCAGCAGTCTGGGCCATCCACATGTGCCTCCTGAGGCCCAGCCAACCAGCCACATGAGCTACTTCCTGTGGGAAGACAAGTGTCCATGATCTGCCTATCCTCTCCTCCAGTGCAGCCGCCCTGCACCCACCTGCTCCACCCTCTCTGACCCACCTTCCTCCAGCTGGCACCTGGAGGGCACGGTTCAGCAGGTGTACCAGAGCCTGGCAGAGACCCTGGGCACCCTGTCCCCGAGAGAGTGAGTGGCCTGTCCCTTCCCTTCCTTGGGTCCAGCCTCCTAGAACAACCCACAGGCTGTGCAGCTACTGTGTGCCAGGAGTGTGGAATGCTTGCCAGGCAGGAGGGCAGGGCAGGCAGGGTGTGGAGATGGGTGCACAGCAGGGTGCTGGGGTCTAGGGAGGGGCCTGGACAGGCCAGCCAAGGTGCGTGTTCCATATCTGCCTGTGGCGGTGCTGTGTACCTCATATACCTTTCTCCAGGAGATGTTATTTTTTAGAAAGTTTTTCCTTTTATTGATTCTAAAAAGAGGGAAAGGAGGAAGAAAGGAACATCAATCAGTTGCCTCTTGTGCACACCCCGACTGGAGACTGAATCCACAACCCAGGCACATGCTCTGAGAATCGAACCCATGACCTTTTGGTCTGCAGGATGCCACTCAACCAAGCCACACTGAGCAAACTCAAGTTTGTGGAGCCCTGCAATGTCCATGTGATGGCCAAGCTGCCAGAAACTAAGGTGCAGCCTCTCCCCTCTCAATGGTGAGGGCTGGAGGGTGGTGAGGACCAGGAGCAGCACTGCAGGGGCAGTCAGCTGTGACTGGCCCAGGGTGACCAGACCTAGTTTAGCCTGGGGTATCCTGGCCAGCTGACGCACCCATTGGTGGGGGGAGCGGTTGGTGTCCTTGGACAGGGAGAGGGGCAGCTTGTAGGACAGGCTCTTGAGTGGCTGCCCTCTCGGTCCAGGCTGGGGCTGAGTGGGGCCAAGTTGCCTGGGATTCTCAGACAAGGCCATGACAAAGACCTGTGGTTATTCCAGAAGAGGGGTGGGGATGACATGCCCACAGTGCCATCCACTCTGGGGGAGGAGCTCCTCTACAACCCTTTCCTGAGGATAGCGTCCAGGGCCTTCCTGTGGGGCAGGCTAGGAGCCTATGGCAGGCCTGAGCCAGTGCCTTGGGAGGGCCTGTGCTTTCCCCAGGGGCTGCACTTCAAAGCTGGCTGACTCAGCCCACCCACTGTTTGTGGGGACTCCCTGGCAGTCATTCGGACATGGAGGGAGGTGTCTGGGGACCCACATTAGTAGGTTGACTGGCAATGGGGAGAAGCTGCTCGTTAAGTATCTTCTGCCAGCACCTGCCCTGTAGTTCCCCTTTGAGCTCCCATGGCGCCCCCTCTTCTGGCAGAGAGGAGCCCGTGAGCAGATTCACTGGGAAGGTGGCCCTGGGTGAGGTCCCGGAGGTGCTCTGCAGGAAGCAGGCGAGCTTTGAGCATGAGGCTGGGCCATCGCAGTCGCACACAGTCCCAGGCCCTCTTGGCGATACAGTCGGGGGTCCTGAGCACACCTTCATCAGAGTGAGTCCCACATGGACCTGCTATGGAGTCCACAGGCAGTGTGTCCTAGTCCATCCAACTGGCTGCCCAGCCTCAGAGAGTGAGCACTCTGGTACTTCCTGGTGGTGGACATGTGGGTCCCTCTCTGGGGCACACTTGAGCCTTAAGACCTGAGTGTTTGAGAAAGAGCCTAGCAAAGTGCACAGGGCTTTCAACTTTAAAAGGCCTTTTTTTCCAATGTTGGCAGGTTTTAGAGAGCAGTTATTTTCAGAGGGAGGTCCCCTTATTACATGTGGAGCTCAGTAGGGACAGGCCTGGCAGGCAGAGCCCAGCCTAGTCTCTGCTTCCCTTCCCCACCAGGTAAGTGGGGATCCAGTGGTGAAGAACATAGGTTCTCTGGCCCTGGAGGCCACAACATCCTAAAAATAAACACTCAGTTCTAGGTGGAACCACCAGGTGAAATGGGCACCACCTCCCCAGTGTGGGGTGTCATAGGCTGAGTGCCCCTTTCCTGCCAGTGTCCTTTGCTGACAAGTGCAATAAAGTTCCCCATGCTGGGCTGAAAGCTTGACCAGCTAGGCAGGTCTGGCCTCTCTCTACCCCAGCTTCAGGAGTAACTCTAGAAATGGGGGAAAAGATCCCTACTTTTCGCATGGGACTGGCTGAAACCTTCACACACTTGGTTCACCACAACCAGGAAGAGAAAGGGTATTGTTCATGAACATGGGCCTGTGGAGAGTTTCCAGTACCCTATGGAAACTGGCCTGCACTGGGGAGTCCAGGTGAGTGCAGGCTGGAAGTCACCTTTACTGGCTGGGGGTCCTGAGGCCCTGGCACTGCCTACAGTGAGCACTACCACCTGATGCTGAGGCCAGAGCTGGCCTTCTCCACTGCATGGTAGCTCGTGTGCAATAGGCAGTCAGTCCGCTCTGAGCCCTCACCATGCAGCCAGTGCTGGTACAGCTCCCGGACCTCAGACACATCCTCTGGCGCCTCTGTCCTGACCATGCTGTACAGCCTCTCAACATGCTGGAGAAGCTCCTTGCTGGGCATCTCAGGGGCCTTGAGCTGGCCTCCGCCATTCAAGCAACCTGTGGCAGAACCGGATGGGCGAGGGCATGGTCATGGGAAGGGCATTTGCAGGCCGGGAGTCAGGGCCCCACCTATGCCCCCCTGCCCTTCAGGACATTCCCTGCAGCGCTGGTCCCAGAAGGGGCCCCTCTGCTGTCTGTGCAGAGTGAGCCTGCTATGAATACCTGAGGGGCAAGCCATGACCTCCACATAATGGTAAGGGCAGCGACCTCGCTTGAGCTTCTGCACCAGGTTCTGGATGTTGCGAAAGCCATAGGCTGCAGCAAAGTGGAGCAGGACACGGCCCTCGCTCTCTAGCGTCACTTCCTGGAAATCCTTGTTCCTGGAGGGCAGAGATGGCGCTCATCCCCACCCCCACCCCCACAGATGTGGCTGGCAACCTCACCAGCTCCTGGTGGTGAAGAGTGATGGAGTGGGAGGGCAGAAAGCTTAAGTCTGCAAGTCGGTAGGTGACCCCACCCCCAGCCTTGGTTTCCTGATTTGTAGAATGGGAACCCTACTTCCCAAGGATGGCTGTGTAGCATGGTTAGGTCAAAGCCCCCACCTCCCTCTGTGGGATGGGATGTCCCAATGGGAACTTCCTGTGCAGGGCACACCACCCTGCCACCACTAGCCTCTTGGGGCTCTGGGCTGCTGTGGTGTGGACAGGGGACACTGACCTCTACAATGAGAAGACCAAGGTCCAGAGAGCACTGGCCCATTCAGGTGAGCGGAGAGGAGGGCCTGCGCCTATCCAGTGCCTCAGGCGCTGCGCCAAGCCCATATCAACAAGGGGACCCAGGGCCAAGGTTGCCCCCAACTGCAGCCTTTCCCACTGACCTCAGGGGTTTGTAGGTGACCTTATCCACATGGATCCCAAAGAGCTCTTGGGCTGCATGCCGGAACACGTGCTCCAGGTAGCCCCCAGAACCGCCCCCTCTATGGCTGGAGGGCTCCTGGGGAGACATGCTGCCGTACCTGGGGAAGGGAGTAAGGCCTCAGGTGGCAGCAGGGCTGCTACTGCTGAGGCTTCCAGATGGCCTGTCTCTCATGGTTGACTGGGAATGAGCCATGGACCCCTGGAGGCTTTGTTGGTGTATCAGGAGGTGGGAGAGGACTGTCCTCCTCCATTGAGTCACCTGTATCTGGTGACCTCAGACCTGTATCAAGCTGGAGTCAGCTCTGATGATGACCACCTCTGTGGACACCGAGAGAGACCCCCAGGGCAGGCATGGAACGAACCAGGAGGAAGGCCTGGTGGGAAGAGGTAGGACCTTCCCAGCACGGACCTGAGAGGGACGTTATCCGTCACCATGTGCTGCTGCTGCCTGCCAGGACACCTGTGACCCCCAGCGTCGAGAGTGCCCTGACACCACATGTAGGTTCATCCCTTCCACGACACAGGTAGTGACTTACAGACTGTCCAGGGGTGCTGGCTCCAGGTCTGGTAATGAGACTCCTTCTTCTTCTAGCAGCTTAAAGACTTCTCCTATGATGGAATCACAGCACAGACACTCATCAGCTGGGATCTCAGTAAAAACAGAAAACATCAAAGAACATCCACGTCTTCTGCATCTCTAACAACCTGTAATTTGGCACTTGAGGCCCCGATGTCCAATCCCTGGCTTGCGGGTGGAGGACGAACCTGGCCACAGGGGTGAGGGAGAAGACTCCACTTTGGAAGACCCTCAGGAGAGCTGCCACGCTGTCCTGGGAATGCGCCTACCCTCACAGTGACTTAGTAGGGCTCAGACACACCTGTTCCCGGGTGCTCCCCCATCAGTGTGCCCATCACATCTGGGCACGTGCTCATGCAGGGAGACCTTCCTCTGATTCAGCTCTCCAGCATTTCTTTTTCTGTTTTTCTGACCATTTGGAGAGTCTGTGAGGCTGCTCAACGCAGAAATGGGGTAACCAATGTGAACCAGAAGGGCTGACAAAACTCTGCGCACCTCCTTGCACAGATTGGTGCTGAGAGACCCGTCTGCTTCAGGTCCCTGAGACGAGACAGCTGCAAATGCTGACCAGACTCTGAGGGGGGGCCCCTGCCTCACGCTAAGCCCCGAGGTGCTCGGCAGAGGGGATGGCAGCTCCAGCCAGAACCTGTGCCCTGGGCTTGGGGATCACACCTGAAGTTGCAGGGGCTCAGGGTGGAAGGACCCACACCTGTTGTGATGACACAATCCACATCTCGCGTCTGGTGTTCCTGGCTAAAAAAGTCAGGTCTGGATGCTTCCAGCTTTTTGTCATAGCAGGGCATCACTGTCACATGGTAGATCTTGTCAGGGGTCACACACTGCACAGAGAGATGTGGAAATGTGGAGTCACTGCTTGACGCCAGCAGTAAAGGGGCCCTAGTACGGTGATGCAGGTTCACATCGCAGGCACGGCGGGCAACAGCCAAGGAGTGACATGGGTCTGTCAATGGGTTCTTGGACACTGCGTGTCTTGGCTCATCTTTCAAGTCAATGACACTGAATCATTCATGGCTGGACTGTCCCTGTTACCTGCTGCTGGGCGAAGAAGTCCTTGACCAGGGAGCCCATGACCTGCTGCGGGGACCTGGCGGTGCTAATGTAGGGGATGATGGTGCTCCCATGGGTCTTCTCTGCATAGCAGATCCAGCCTGAAGCCGACATGGAACAAATGGGGGTGGCTCATAAGTCACCTCTCACCATTGGTTGTGACATGAAATTCTGTGGGTGGACCAATTTGTATGAGGAGTCCCCCATCCCATTAAAGATTACCACCACTCTATGATTTCTAGCATCCATGTGATTACTGTCTTGGGGAGCTGAAGTGACTACAGGTTACTCTCAGAGCGGCTCCTTCTGCTAAAGAAACCATCCTAGGCTGGCAGAACCCTCTCGCCCCCATCCAGCATTTCCAATACCCACATCCAGCTAATCTGGTGCTGGCAGTGTGAGCGTACCTGGGCAGGCAGAAGTCAGCACCGGTAAGGCATGCTTGCGGTCGGCCTGTCCTCGGAATCGCCGCACAAATTCTCGCTGGCTCTCCAGGAGACTGAAGTTCCTCGAGAAGGCGGTATCGAACACATAGTGTGCCCCTGGAAGGCGAGCACCCCTCTGAGCCCCATGAAGGGTGGCCAAAGCGAGAGGTGCTGCTGACCATACCGCCAGCAGCAGGGGGTCTGCCTTGCACAGTGGCCGCAGGAAGCATGCAGTTCTAGCATCACTGGACATGCTGATGCTGTGGACAGCCTGTGCTGCTGCTTCCTGGAAAACTTGTGTGTGACAACGGGCTTCCTTCATTTGCCTGGGACACTGATCTGCACCGGGATCACCCCACATCCTCTCTGCTCCTAGTGTACACATTAGATCTGAGCCGGACCCAGCATGGACCTGAGAAACATGCCTTGGTAATGATAATTCAGAAACAATACAAGAAGTGAGTGAATTTGAGCCCTGGCAGACTGCAAAGTCAGGACTCGGATGGCTTTTCCCTAAATAGTCTGCTTCCAAACATCCAGCAAAAACTTCAAGCTGAAGTCAAACTCAAAATAGAGTTTCTGACATGTTTAAGTTCAGTGACTTGAAGGCGTGAAGAGCCCTCCCCACTCCCCCGCCAACGCCTCCGTGTTCCGACCTGTGATGTTCACCCAAGGTTCCTCACCTACCTAGTTTTTTAAAGAATGCAGTTAACTTCTTGGCAGTGTCTGTAGGATTCAACTGAAATTTCACAGCGAGTGATGCCCTGGACTGGGGTGAGATTGAAATGACAACCAGCCTCTGCTGACCAGGTGCGGCTGTCTGCAAAGCAAAGGACACACTGCTCACTTTGCAAATTTTATACGGATTCCCAGTGGGCCAGAACTGGCAAGAGCAGCCCTAACTCCATCAGGGCGTGTCATTTTTACATACACAGGACCCAAAGTTTAGGGTCCAACACTTCACTGTCAAAATACTGACAAGTAGAAAAAAGAAAAAAAAAAACAAAACAACAAAAACAAAAAAAAACCCCAAAATACTGACAAGTAATTCTCTGAGATCCTATGGACTACAATTAAAAATGTTGGGGCAGGAGGGTCACGGGAAACACAGGAGAAATGGCACCAGGGGAGGGGCTGCTCTTGGAAGCACGAATGAAGGGTGCCGAGGCTCATGTCATGTTATAGTGGAGTCTTGAAGACTGCCCACCACTTACCTTGTTGGCATCTAGAATCTTCCGTAGCTCCTCATGGCTCTGCTGAGTGATGAGCACAGTCTCTGCCGAGGTGACACAGCCACTGCATGCCAGGCAGTCATCCAGTGAGATTTTGGCCTTCTCTAGCTTCCGTGTTCCTCCGTCCTGGAAGCATAAGAACCTGGTAAGTAAAGGGCCCCTCTGCACAAGGAAACAGAGCTCTCAAGATAACAGGACCTACAGGAAACTTGCTTCTCTTGTTCACAACACCAACAACCAACATGGTAGTTGGCCGGCTTTATGTGCTTCTAAAATGTTAAAGTTATTTATTATAGAAGTACTTATACACATTCTAGGTTTAAATAGCACCATCAAATTCTGACTTTGGTACAAACTCGGCTGGAGGCTTGTGACCCTCCACAGAGATCTGGAGGAGTCACTGGTCCCCAGGCTGCACTCCTGGGGCAGTTGAGGACAGAAAAGTGCCAACGGTCAAGCTCTGAAAGAGGAAGAGAAAGGCAAGGGAGAAGAGGAAGGAAGAAGGACAGAGGGCAGAGGGAAGAGATGGTGGATCTTGTGTCCATGGGCTTTACCCGCTTGCACCAGCACCTGGAGTCAAGGAGGAACACAATGGACAGCAACAAGTCAGACTCTGCCAAGCAGACACAGAACTTCATGTCTGAGTCGAGTCTCCAGGCTGAAACACTGGGACTTTTCTTAGAGATGATCCCAGATGAGCCCCTTCACTCTTGCAAAAGCAGGAATGATTTGAACTAAGGCCAGGTGAGCTACAGGGGCTGAAAATGTGATCAGAGGGCTGAGGAGACGGAAATTCCCAGCCACGCTCATTAGGCCTGCACTTTGCACAAAGCCACACAATTTGAGCTGATGATCTAACCAATATCCCTCCAAATCAAGCACTGCTGCTCTGGACAGCGGGGTACACTGGTACCCTCGCCTCAGTTGGGTCCCTTCTTTCATGAGGCCCCTCCTGAGGTATCTTTTCCCTAATAAGGACCCAGTACCCTGAGCTGTGACAGGCTTGGGCAGGAGCTCTGATGTGCTGCTGGCTCCCCCTCCTGCAACAAGTGAATAGCCAGCTTTCTCCCTGTAAAGCCTTGGTCCACACTGTCCGTCCCCACCTGGAGTCACCCTGGGGCTCCTCCCCCTGCTCGGAAGGGGTTCCTGGGCCAGGGGCAGTCCATGGGATGGCACAGATGTGCTTGAAAGTCCAAACGGCAGATAGGTGGGGTGAATTTTAACACCATTAGATCAGGGTTTTGTCAGTGTTAATTATACAGGAAGTAGGTGTTCACTAAGAACAAGGTGTATGAATTGGAAAATCTTATGCAATTATAGCTCAGAGACAGAGACAGGGGAAGACGGGAACCACCACCTATGCAAAAAGTGCCTCCTCTGCAGAACAAATCAAGCTCCATGTTTAGCTTCTATGTGTCTGATCCGTTCCAGCTTCCTGAAAGTCAGTGAATTTGACCTGTGAAAAAGGACTGGCAGATGTGGAAGATCTCATGGTCACTGCACTCGTGACTGGATCGAACAGTGAAATGACCTTCAGATCATCTGAGCTAGAACCTACCTGACTGACTTGGAAATAAGTCCCGTCATCTTCAATGTGGATCTTGGCCACGCCACTTCCCAGCTTTTTGTCTATCTTCATGGGCTTGATGCAGTCCTATACCAGGAAGAGACCCCAAACCAGGCCTGAGTGAGCAGAGTATGCTAAAGAAGAAGGGTGTCCTGCTTACACACTGGCACATATTCTAATACCCTGTTGGCATTAGGGGGTCACTCTGCAGGCCAGAGTCAGGTGAAGACTGTTACTGCCCTGGCTGGTATGGCTCAGTTGGTTGGGCATCGTCACACAAACCAAAAGATCGTAGGTTTAGTTGCTGGTCAGGATACATGCCTAGGTCGTGGGTTCGGTCCCCAGTAGGAGCCCATATGACAGGCAACCAATCGATGTTTCTCTCTTACATCAATGTTTCTCTTCCTCTCTTTCTCTCTTCCTTCCCCTCCTTCTAAAATCAATAAGCATGTCTTCAGGTGAGGGAAAAAAAAGAGAAAAAAAGACTGGTGCTAATTGGGCCTGCATGCTTAGCTGTCAGCAGACAACTGCCAAGTTTGACCTGTACCCCTCTCAGTGTAAACAGGAGGTGTGGCCACCCCCCAGAGAGCCAGTGGCCAGTGTTACACTGGCTAGTGAGAGGAAGCCTAGGAGTTGGCAAGAATGCTTTGCTTGGACATCGCCTCCCTGCCTAGTGCCCCAGCAAAAAAGTTCATTTCTTTTCTCACTTTCCTGTTTGACTCATCATCACTAGGAGAACCTCATTGACCATGGCCTTCCTAAACATGACCAGCCCCAGGAAGGGCGGGCAGAAGGCCTGTCCGAGCTCATCCCTGCTCAGGGGTGTTCCCCTCCCCCTCCTCCTGGAACTCAACTATGGCCCTCGCAGCTCTGGGCCTGCACAGCTGGAGGCAACTGATAGGCAGTTGCCTGTCTCCTTTAGGGGCAAACTCTGTCCTCCACAAGGGCAACAACGCCATTGACCACACACCCTGACATCTACTGGGTAATCATGTGCGAGATTCCAGCAGACCAGCTTCCCTGCTCTGGCAACTGGGGTAGGATGTCTCGCCTGTTTACACAGGAGAAACTGGCTCAGAGAAGCTAGGCCGGGTCTTCCCGACCCCCATCCAGAGCCCGCCACTTCCCAGCTGACTGGCAGCAACTGCCTGGCACCCTCCGGCTTCCGTATACCTGTGAAGGGGACACCGCACTCGTCTAACCTGGTCGTCCTGAGGGCAATTTAACTGGCTCCTTCTTGTCCCATTGGGCTGTGCAGGACAGGAAACCTCCGATCCCAAACCCGCGAACTTGGCCTAGACCACAAGAACCCAGTGGGGGTACCGCCCTCCCTGGATTCAGTTTCCCAGTCGACAGGAAGACGGCCAGAGTGCCGGAAGCCCCGAGGACACAGGCCGGGGTCTCAGGGTCCCGATGCCATTTCTCAGGGAGAGAAACTGAAACGGGAGAAGGCTACCACTTCCCCCAAACCCCTACGCACGTACGCCGACCACCCGGGCCGCCCCACCTGAGACGGCCCGATGAAGTCATCCAGGTCCGTCAACTGTAGCGCCCCGCTGAAGGGCGACGCCATGGCGGTCACACTACCGCCCCGCACTGCGTGCAGGGGTCGCCAAACAACGCAAAACGTGGGGTGGTTCCGCCACACTGCCGGAAAGCGCCCCACGCAGCGCATGCGCGTCTAGCCCCGGGTGGAAGCCCGGCGCCGGAGGGGAAAGTCGGGTGTCTGGAGGGCGCGCGTCCCCTGCTGGCGGACTCAGTCCTGCTGTGGAGCCGATTTCCTGCTCTGCACCTTACCCGTCTACGGAGCACGGGCTGAGGGGCCGCGTAGACACGAATGACATCTCCCTCACTCACCCAGGGCTCACCCGCCGGCCAGGTGTGCGGCCACGGGGTCCCCAACCCCCCGGGAGCTCGTGGAGGCACGCCTCTGGTGTGCCTGCTCTCACATGTTACTGCAGCCCAAGAACTCAGAGGGGCGCCTGGCACCCAAGGGCGCCGGTTACTGGAGAAAATGGAAGTGACAGCGATAGGGAGCGGTTCTTCACAGCTCTGCGGCTTACGGAGCTCCTCTGACGGCTTCCACACTGTCTTCTGTTATTTTTGGAGAACAGCCTGAGAAAACTCCACTTTCCTGTAGGATTTTAAAACCCAAAAGAGCGGCTGGTTGGGCTCAATTCTTAAACCACTTACTAAACGTGTTAAGTACAGTTATACATTTAATTAACACTATTTGTTACAGCTTTTCAGAAAACTCCAGTGGTCGAGTCTGGCCCATCCCTGGGCCCCAGCTGGGCCCAGCCCTGTAGGTGCCCTGACAGGTTCGTCCCCAGAGTATTGGTGGTAATATGGAATTTCTGAGGCGCGGCCCAGCCGGAGCCCCTGCTCTTGGGGTTCTTGCCCTGACATCGGCACTGCCTGGTGACCCCCTCACCTGCCTCTGGGTTTACCGCCTGGTCCAGGGACCCAAGCCCACCTGCTGGAGCGACCTCGTCAAGCCCTGCAGCCACTCCTCTTGGCTCCCAGGACAGAACTTTCCCCAGCAGTTGCCCCAGGTAGGCATCCAGGCCACACCCATCCCCCTGTCTTGGTTATACTTGAGCACGGTCTGAGATGTGATTTCTGAAATCTGAACAATCACTAATTATTATAACTAGCAGAGCACAAGATAAACTTAGTTTCACTGAAATGCCCCAGAGTAGGTTTGCAAGAACATTTGTGGCAGTAACAAGTGCTGTTAGGATTGGGGGCAGGATAAGAATCAGTTAGGCTGGTGCGGTGGAAAAGATTTATAGTGGAGGGCTCTTCAGCTTTGGCTAGGGGACAAAGATGGTCTCTATTTGGGGGTAGGGAGATAGTTCCCCCAACACGGGAAGGGGGGAATTTGATACGCAGGCATGCGCGATAGGTTTCAGTATTTAAATAGGCAAATTGTTTAATATGTGAACTGATATCTCAGTAAAACTCTTTTAAAAATGAGGCGGCTAGAGGCTGCTGCTCAACGGGGCTGCCCCCAGGTGGCCCCAAGAGGCCAGGGATTAAGTACATCCTGGTCTGTCCTGGCTTGAACCATTGGTCCCGCCATCCCCATAGGAGTGCCTGGGTGACTGTGTCCCTAGAGACCCTCAGGCTCTAGTGCCAACATCATGCCCCACCTCTGGTGTGCCTGCTCTCACATTTTGCAAATTGTTTCATCATCATCATTAGTCAGTATTTTCGGTGCACTTCTTTCCATGTGCAACACCAGAGTTTGCACATGTGGTGGGGGGAAGGAGCTCAAGGGCCAGCTGAGGCTGTGTGGAGGGGCCGTGGCTCCTGTGGCCAGGCCAGCTGGCTGGCCTGTGCAGCTGCTGTGACTCAGTGACTGTGTGTGCATACCCATTCACCTGAGCTGGAACAAGTGCAAAGCTTGGCTTCTGCTCTGGATGTGCCCACGGGTTTTCCCAAAGCCAACCAGTTGACCATTGGGTGGGAGCAGGTGCAGTTTCCACCAAGTAGGTAGAGCTCTCTGTGCCCCACTGTGGGTTGGTGTCAGTTTTACCCTCCAAAGGATTAGCCGTGTGTTAGTTTCCTGGAGTTGCTGTAACAAAGGATCACGATTGAGGGGAGGGGAGATTAACACAACAGAAATTTATTCTCCCAGTTCTGGGGACCAGAAGTCTGAAATCAAGGTGTGGGCAGATTTGTGCCCCCTCCAAAGGCTTCAGGGGAGGATCCTTCTGTGTCCACCTTCTGGAGACTCCAGGTGGTCCTGGGCTTGGGGAGTATCACTCTAGCCTCTGCCTTCATGGTGACAAAGCTCCTGTGTGTATTCTGTCATCTCTTATAAGGACATTTGTCATTGGATTTAGGGCCCACCATGATCCTGGATGACCTCATCTAGAGATTTTTAATTACATCTACAAAAAGCTTTTTTTCCAAATGAGGTCCCTTTCATAGGTTCTGGTTGGACCTATCATTTGATGGGCCACATTCAGTCCACCACAGCCACATGTCTAGGTTTTTACAGGATCCTCAGGAGTTGGAGAACAGCTATATAATGGGATGCATCTCACCAGGCTGTAGCCCACCTCCCAAGTGGGCTGGGCCAGCCCTCAGAGGCCTGGTGGGAAGGAAGGGACACAGCTCAGGCCATCCCAGCAGGCTTTGAGCCCCATGGGCTGTGCTGCAAGAGCCAGGGCTTGGCTAGCAGGTGTCTTTCTGGGGCAGTTAACCTGTGTAAAATGACCCAGGGTGGGGACAAGTAAAAGATATTTTGTCTTTCCCAAAATAAGTCCAAATTTTTCCTAAACATGAGATTTCAAAACATTTATTTTATTCTCCAGTGTTACGGTGTTGTGGGTCAAGGCTCCCAAAAGAATTGGACAGAGGTGGGGTTTGCTCCTCTCCTGCTCTGCGTGTCTGAACTGTAGGAGGAGGACATGCAACCCGGGTGAGGCTCCCAGAATCCACTGAGATGCCCCTCCACCAGGCACAGGCTGTGGACAGGTGGCCAGGGACCATGGGGGAGGCGGCTTCCTTCTGCTGTCCTCAGCACTGCAGGATAAGCTACTGAGAGCTGCCCATATTGTTTTGGGGCTCAGGTACAGCCACGTGGGAGGAGGGGGGAGGGGGCTGGATCCATAAGCTCCTGCCCGTGGGAACACAGCCCCATGGAAGAGACGACTGGTTTCCCAGAGGCCTGGCTCAGGGAACCCTTCGAGTACAGGGCTGGCCTCCTACTCAGCTAAGTGGCTCTTGCTTTCTAAACCCACCCCCATAAACCAGGGACTATTTAGTTTGTTGGTGTGGGTGGCCATCTAGCGGTCTCCTTACGGTAAGGGGGCCTTCATGCTCAGGTGTTCTGGGTAGGTCAGCACTGATCCCTGCCTGTCATTGGTGCCCCTCCCTGTCTGCGTGGATGTAGCGGTACAGCCTCCCGGCCTGTCTCTGCAAACCCTTCCCCACATCTCTGGGGGTTCTCCAGGCCCTGAGTGCTGGGTGCAGGGAGAGGTGAGAAAGCCATCTCCCCCACCCCCGCCAGCCCCGTGTCTGTGAGTCCCTGTGCCTGCCACTCTTAGAATCTGAGATAAAAAGCAGCCTTTCTAGGAAATCATGTAGGCACGGGTGATGATTTGGCCTGAGCCTGAGCTACCACCATCTACCCCCTCGCCCCCAGCTTTACAAACAAGATTTGCATCCCAGACACAATGTTTTATCTGGGGAATTACTGAGGGCGAAGAGCACATCATTAGTGCCGTAATCAACACATAGCACCTTCCCACTGGGGCCGCCACATCTTGTCAACAGGTGTGATCGGGACGACAGCCCTGGGAGGCCCGGCACAGCACGCAATTAGCAGCTAATGAGGAGCCTAGCACCGGGCCAGGAGTGGGAGAGAAGGAGGCTCAGAGAGAGCTCCGGTGGCCCTTCAGTGACCCTTCAGTGACCCTTCAGTGGCCCTTCAGCAGTCCTCCCGCTGCTCCCGCCCAGGGCTACAGGAAGCAGCAGAAAGAGCAGGTCATGGAGAGGGCCTCATCGTGCGGTGGGGATGTTCAAGATTTTGGGGAGGACAGGTGCACTGCACACGTGTCCGTAGGCGTGTGAGGTTGGCTCTGCTCCAGCCCCTCGAGGCCCAAGCAGGGGACACAGATCACAACTCTGTGGGTACAGTGGGCCGAGCAGTACCAGCGAGCGGGCTGAGAGCAGAAGCCTCCTTCTTTACCTAACTGTGTGCTGGAGGGAGAAGGCCAGGTGGGTCTGGGGGCGCAGCAGTTCCACCCTCTCTTGACGGGCCTCTGGGTTGCAGGCTGGGGATGGCCAGGCCGCCTGGTTTGCTCTTTCAGGAGAGCGGGCACGAAGCAGGTGAGGGCTGAGTCCCAGACACAAATCAGCAGGCTTGTGCAGAGCAACTCTCCAGGGGCCTTACTCGACTTGCCTGTCTGGGGTGAGTGGCAGCAGGCTGACTGATTGGGGGCGTTCCCCCAGCCTGCTGTGTGAAAACATGGTCACAGCCCCCGTGTTAGAGCATCAAGGCTGGGCTCGCCAGTGGTCCCTGAGGTGCCTCTGCACCGACACTTTGTACTCAGCCCTTCATGTCATCTGGGCATCCGAGGAAGCACGTGCCTTGTGACAGAGTTGTGGGGTGGCTGTCTGGGACGGGGAACCCCATGGAAGCCCCCAGCTCTAGGGCCTCCACCCAGGCCCAGGAACCTGGGAGGCCCTTGGTCACTGGCAGCCTGGCTGGTCTTCTCTATGTGACATTTCTACTGGTTTGTGAAGGTCAGGCATGGCCTGCCACCAGTGAGAGGGTCAACCTGGAAATTGTGCATTTAGGTCCCCAGCAGCCCAGCCTCAGGAGATCCCAGCTTGTGCGATCATAGGCCCCCCGCAGCGGACCCCACCCCAGGCTTCCTTCTCCCTACCCCCAGCGGCCTCCTTTGTGGCTGCCCCCCAATTCACCCTGTTCAGTTGCAGAAGCTGGGAGTAAGCTGGGGGTCTCCTGTACTCTGTGGAAGAGGTTGTCGTTCTTGTGCTGGGGGCTCTGGAAACTGTAGGGGAGGGAGCCAGCTGTCTTGGTTTGGGTCCGTGTGGTGGTTAGGAAGCCACTCTGTGTGCCTGGCATGATGTCCTCCTGCTGCTTTGCCCCAAATTCCACTGAGTTCCTGGCTCTCTCCAGCTCTGGTCTCTGTTTTCCTTCCATGGGAGGTGTGGAGCTGGTGACCTGGGGCCACCTCCTGTCCTGGGCAGTCCTCACGCACCTCCTGGGTCGGCCCCTGAACTCCAGTCCTGACCTTCCCCGGAGAACTTGGCGCCCCAATCTACACGCCTGCTCCTAGAGGCCATCCTGACCGCAGACAGTGGGCAAGGCAGTGAGGCAGGCATGTTTGTGAGTGTGTCTGGCATGCATGCTCTTGGAGGTGAGAGCATGCCAAGAGCCAGAGGACACTGGGGAAGCAAAGTCATCCTCCAATGACCGGCTGCGGCCAGCACCTGGTAATATACTTTCTGAAGCTGTCCTGAAGCTAAATCAGGTTATCATAGGCATCAAGGGGGCTTAAGAAAGCCCAGCCGCATGGGGTTGGCAGGGCCAGGGGGGCTACAGGCCAGGCCTGGGAGCAAGGTGGGAGGGACTGGGTGAGCCACTCAAGTGCCCTGGCTGAAGTGGCCTCAGACTACCCACAAGACATCTGCCATGTTGAGGCCAGGGGCCAGTCCTGAGGCCCACCATGGGAGCTCCATGGGGAGCGAGTCCAGGACCTGGCCATGTACAGCTCCCAGTGAGGGGGCCGGAGGCTGTGGGGGCGGCGACCAGCGGGCAGGCACATGTCTACCCAGAGCCTGGGCCTGTGGCAGGTGCTGCCCCATCACCGTGGCCAGACCCCAACCCTGACACCCAGAGTCTGTCCTCCTGGCAGTCAGTGAGCCGCCCGTCCTACCCCAAGGCACCACCCTGGCCGAGTACCCCTCCCCTCACCCTCTCTTCCCCCAGCTGTCCCCTCCCTTGGCTCACATCACTGGACCTCAGGTTCCAGTGCAGCAGGTGGCTGGCTGTTGAAGACACTCTTTCCCAGGTGCTCCTAAAACCCCAGTAGGGAGTTTTTGCTACTGGGCGAGGGGACATGTGTGAGTGTGAGGATCCTTGGGGGTCCCTTCTTAGCCCAGTGTGGTTCAGATGTATGGGGGGAGGCAGCCCGCAAGTCTAGGCCCTGGAGCAGGACCTTTGGGGTCCAAGCCTGACTTCTGATCCCAGCCAGGACTGCCCCTGAGAGCCTTGCCCCTCTGCTGCCCCCAGCAACTGCCCTGGGTCCAGACTGTGGTGGGGTGGGGGCTCAGAGGGTTAGGGTGGCCCTTCTCATCTGCCCTCACCCGTAGATGCCTTGTGGGTCAGGGAGTTTCTGTAGCCTCTCACTCTGGGGTCCAGGGCATATGAGTGGGGTCATTACCCAGACCCCCAGACCCAGCACCAGGATCACACATCCCCACGCAACCCCTCACTTCTACACCTGCTGGAGGGTATCACAAGGGATGTCCCCTGGGATCTGGGCCAGGACAGCACTGCCCACAGCAGGAAGGGCCATATGCAAGCCTGGAACCGGAGCTCGATGTCCTGGCTGCGCCGCCTGGGAGGCAGGGCCCAGAGTGTGAAGGAGCGGTACAGCCCGTGGCAGCTGGGGCAGTTTTGGGAGCTGGGCCTGTGGAACAGGGGTCAACTGGGCAAACGGCAGCCCTCCCTCCCTATATGCCACGACTCAGGATGGCCACTCATGTACATCCCCACATCTGAGAAACTGGCCCGGGTGCTGAGGAGTGCCTGGGTGGGCTGCTCCTCCTGGGCCAGCACACTGGGTTCACAGCCAGGGCGGCCAGCTGGGTTGGGGTGGGACGGAGTCTCAGGGGATCTCCATTGCAGGGAAAACAGTGTTAGTCAGGCTGATGGAGTCTCAGATATGGCACCCACCTGCCAGCTCTGTGGCTCTGTAGGGGGAGGGCTCAGAAAAGAGACAATGGCCTCTGCCTGCCTTTCTGTTTGGGAGAAAGCTGTCCCCCAGTTCTTGCCTTGATGCCAGACACTTCAGGTCCTCCCTGTGTGCCACTGGTGCCTTTCAAGCTGCTACCCTGGTGCTGGGGGTCAGAGGGAGTGAGTCTGATTAGTCCATGGGTGGGTTCTTTAAGGGGTATTGCTTGGGACTCCAGAAGTTTCTTCCACTGACTCAATGCCCACTTGTTTTTGCAGCCAGTTATGAGGATTTATCTTCTTGACACTGGAACCCTGGGCTGGGGGGCCTGTTGTTGGGCTGGGACTCCTTGCTCCCAAGATATCCCACTGAATTTTTATCCGCCTCACGTGGATGTGCGACCAGCCCATTCTGCGGCTCCTCCTACCAGTCTGATGGGTGTGGTTTCTTTAATTCTGTAGTTTTCAGACTTTCATTTAACTCGATTTCTGATGTTCTGAGAGATGGTTCTATATTTTATTTGTAATTTTGATGTGGTTGTGTGAGGAGGTGAGCCATGTTTACCTATGCTGCCATCTTTACTGGAAGTCTTATAAGCTTATTTTTGCTTCCAGTGTTTTATCACCATTCCTAATCACAGTATCTTTGAGTAAGTATTATTTTTTTAAAAATTACTTGGTTTTTTTTGGGGGGTATACTAAACTCAAACATACCACTCATTTTCTTTGTAACTGTGATCACTCTTTTGGTGATGATTTCTGGCCTGATTGAAAGAAATTTGAGATCCTTGCATTTAAATATTTTAAATAGTTTTGATAGGTTTGAAAGTTGCTTTTCTGTAAGGCATTTATAAAGTTATTCAGGGTTGTCTGAGACTGTACGGAAGAAAGAACCACACCGTGCTTCTGCTTCCCTCGTATTTGTCAGTGGCAGCTCTGTGACTGTGGCAGCCGTTGGAATATTTTTCACGTTAGAGCTGAAATCTGTATCATACACTACAACTGGCTAATGTGACTAGAAAAGGAGAAGAAATGAAATAACTGTTTAATAAGTTTTTTATTCCCATAAGATGTCTAATATTAAGAAAACTTTAAATAAACATGACAAGTACAGTGGATGACTTACAGTCTATTATATGACATTTGAAGACACTGCATACTAAATAGCCTAATAAGTTTCAGGAAAGGAGGAAAGTAGTCAATTCTTCTTGCCTTTGCCAGGTATAATCTGTACAGTAATAATATAATGTGATTTGTTTTTAAAATGGGTGCGTCTCAGAAAGCTTCCTTTCTGTTTAAGCACTTTCCTGTTAAGTGAAGTGCTTAAGGCTGGCTGTGTTGGGGGCAGGTTCAATTACTGACATTTGAATGCTATTTACTTATTTAATCTATTTTTTCTTTGAAGAAATATATTTGAGTATTTTGTTTCCTTCTGACTTTGAAAAAAAACATTTAATGAATTATTGGTTTACTCCAAGGGAAAAGGAGGAAAACAAGAAACAATCAAGGATCTTTTTCTTACCTTATTATCTCTTTCTTGTTTGATAATGGGATGGATTGGGATGGAGGAGAGCATCAATATACGTGAAATTTTGAACTGTATATTTTGAACAAAGTAAAATGCTGCATTGTTTTGGTCAGTTTAAAATAAAATGAATACAAATGGCATTTTAAAAAATCTACATGACCTATGTGGTTATGGAATTTTTTCCTAACAAGGCATTGCAGATGATTCATGGGGGCTAGACGATATTTTGTTTTCAATGGAAGGACTTATCCTCCTAAACCTGTCTAACTTTTCACTGTACTGATCTGAGAATTCCTTGTATGAATTGAATACTTCTCTATATCATTAAAAAAATAGAAAGACACACACAGACTGAAAATAAGTGGATGAAAAAAGATTTTTCATGCAAATGGAAACAAACAAACAAAAGGCTGGGATAGCAATACTTACATCAGACAAAATAGACTTTAAAACAAAGATTATATAAAAAGAGAAAAAGGACATTACATAATGATAAAGGGACCAATCCTATGAGAGGATATAACCCTTGTAAATATTTATGTACCCAGTATAGGAGCACCTAAATATATAAAGCAAATACTGATGGACATAGAGAGAGAGAGAGCAACAATAATACAGTCTTAGTAGGGAAATTTGACACCCCATTATATCAATGGATAGATCTTCCAGGCAGAAAATCAACAAGGAAACAGTGGCCTTAAATGACACACTAAACCAGATGGATTTAGATGGATTTAAATGCTATTTTCAGAGCATTTCACCCCAAATATGGCAGAGCATATATTCTTTTTAAGTGCGAACATTTCCCAGGATAGACCACAGATAAGGCCACAAAACAAGTCTCAATAAATTTAAGAAGTATGAAGTTATATCAAGCATCTTTTTAAACCACAATGGTTTGAAACTAGAAATCAATTACAACAACAACAAAAACCTGGAAAAACACACAAACACATGGAGGCTAAACAACAAATGAGTTGTTAATGAGATCAAGGACCAAATCAAAAGATACCTTGAGACAAATTAAAATGAAAAAACAACCACTTCAAATCCACGGGACACAGCAAAAGCAGGGAAATTCGTAGCAGTACAGGCCTACCTCAAGAAACAAGAAAAATGTCAATAAACAATCTTACCTCACATCTAAAGAAACTAGAAAAAGAACAACAAAGTCCAAAGTGAGCAGAAGGAAGGAAATAACAAAATCAGAGTGGATATAAACAAAATAGAGTAAAAAATAAAATAAAAAAACAATGCGCATACCTGGTAGGGGAATCCATGGTCGTGAAGGTGGTTTTCCCAGGGCGAGGCTCCTCCCTGCACCCTGGGTGCGCTGACCCCCACAATTTCCCCAAATGTGGGAGGCTCAATCGTGTAATTTGTGGTAGTGGGGGAGTGTGTTCTTGCTCTCCCCTGAGACTAATAAAAAAGTACAAAAGATCAATGAAGCCAAGAGGCGTTTCTTTGAAAAGATAAACAAGATTGGTAAACTTTTTAAAAAATATATATTTTATTGATTATGCTATTACAGTTGTCCCATTTTTTTCTTCCCTTTATCCCCTCCACCCTGCACTGCCCCTCCCTCCAGCATTCCTGCCCCCCTTAGTTCATGTCATTGGGTCGTACATATAAGCTCTTTGGCTTCTGCATTTCCTATATTGTTCTTAACCTCCCCCTGTCTATTTTGTACCTACTATTTATGCTGCTTATTCCCTGTACCTTTTTCCCCATTCTTCCCCTTCCCCTCTGATCTCCATTTCTATGATTCTGTTCCAATTCTAGTTGTTTGCTCAGTTTTTTTTTTAGGTTAAATTTTTGATAGTTGTGAGTTTGTTGTCATTTTCCTGTTCATAATCTTTGATCTTCTTTTTCTTAGACATTTCATATAAGAAGGGCTTGGTGATGATGAACTGCTTTAACTTCACCTTCTCTGGGAAGCACTTTATCTGCCCTTCCGTTCTAAATGAGAGCTTTGCTGGATAGAGAAATCTTGGGTGTAGGTCCTTGCATTTCATGACTTTGAAAACTTCTTTCCAGCCTCTTCTTGCCTGCAAGGTTTATTTTGAGAAATCAGCTGACAGTCTTATGGGAACTCCTTTGTGGGGAACTGTCTCCTTTTCTCTTGCTGCTTTTAAGATTCTCTCCTTATCTTTAATCTTGGGTAACGCAATTACAATGTGCTTTGGTGTGTGCTTCTGTGGGTCCAACTTCTTAGGGGCCCTCTGAACTTCCTGGATCTCCTGGAAGTCTATTTCCTTGGCCAGACTGGGGAAATTCTCCATCATTATTTTTTCAAATAAGTGTTCATTCTCTTGCTCTTGTTCTTCTCTTTCTGGCACTGCTATGATTCGGATAGTGGGACATTTCAAGTTGTCCCAGAGGTTCCTAAGCCTCTCTTCACTTTTTTAAATTCTTGTTTCTTTATTCTGTTCTGGTTGAGTGTTTATCTCTTCCTTCTCCCAATTGTTGATTTGAGTCCCAGTTTTCTTCCCTTTACTGTTGGTTCCCTATATATTTTTCTTTATTGAACTTTGTGTAACCTTCACTTTTTCCTCCATTTTGTGACCATACTCAACCAATTCAGCAAGCATCCAGATTACCAGTACTTTGAACTGTGCATCTGACAAGTTGGCTATCTGTTCATGACTTAGTTCTATTTTTGGAGCTTTGATCTGTTCTTTCATTTGGGCCATATTTCTTTGTCTCAGCACTCCTGTTTCTTTGGGAGGGGCAGAGCCTAAGGTATTCGCCAGGGCGGGGCAACCCAGGTCACTGTGCTGTGATATTCTGTGTGGGGGAGGGGTCTGAGAGGGAACAATGCTGCTTGGTTCTCAGTGGCTTTCAGTCTCTCCCCCCACTACTCACAAGTGAATTGGGCCCTTCTCGTGCTGATTCCCGGGTGGGTGGGTTTGTGTACATTCTAGGACCCTGTGGTTCCTCCAACGGACTCTCCTGTGAGGCTAGGAGTTTCTCCTGCCAACGCAACCCCCGCAGGTTTTTACTTGCAGAGGTTTTGAGGCTTTCTTTTCCTGTGCTGGAACCCTGTATTGCGTGGTCACTCCCCATCTGTTGCTCATGGCTTATCTGCATGCAAATGTGGTACCGCCTAGTCTGCCAGCTGCCTCCTTGCTGCTTATCCTCTCCATCCTGGTTGCCCGTCTCCACTCCTCCTACTGGTCTGGATGAATGTTTCTTCTTTAGCTTCTTGGTTGTTGGACTTCTATACAGTTTGATTTTCTGGCAGTTCTGGTTCTTTTTTTGTTTTTAAATTTGTTGTTGTGCTTCTTTTGATTGTGCGAGGAGGCAAAGTGTATCTACCTATGCCTCCATCTTGGCCAGATGTTCCCAAGATTGTTCAGCTTTTAACCAGACTTCATCAAGAAAAAAAGAGAGAGGATCCAAATAAATAAAATCTGAAATAAAAGAGTAGAAGTAACAACTGTCACCACAGAAATACAAAGGATATAAGAATATATTACAAACAACTGTATGCCAACAAATCAGACAATCTGGAAGAAATTGGTAACTTCCTAGAAACATATAATCTTCCAAGACTGAATCAAGGAAAAACAGAAAATTTGAACAGACCGATTACAACCAACAAAATTGAAGCAGTAATAAAAACACCTCTTAACAAAAGTCCTGGACCAGATGGTTATGCACCTGAGAATTTTACCAAACATTCAAACACTTATCCTTCTCAAACTATTCCAAAACATTCAAGATGAGGGAAAACTTCCAAGATCACTTTATGATGCCAGCCTTATCCTAATTCTAAAACCAGATAAAGACACTAGAAAGAAAGAAAATTATAGGCCAATATTCCTGATCAACATAGATGCAAAAATCCTCAACAAAATATTAGCAACCCAAGTTCAGTAACACATTAAAAATATCGTACACCACAATTAAGTGGGATTTATTTCTGGGATGCAAGTTTCATACAATATCTGCAATCAATTAATGTGATACACCACATGAACAAAATGAAGACTAAAAATCATATGATCATATCAATAATACCGAAAAAGCATTTGACAAAATCCAGCACCCATTTGTGATGAAACTTTCAGCAAAGTGGGAATAGAGGAAACATACCTCAACATAATAAAGGTCATCCACATATGACAGACCCACAGACAACATCATACTCAACAGAGAAAAACTAAAAGCATTTCCCTTAAGATCAGGAACAAGGAATGAGACAGGAATGTCCACTTTCACCACTCTTTTTTTAAAAAATTGATTTTAGAGAGAGGAAGGAAGGGTTGCAGGGGAAGAAAGATTTATTGTTTTACCTATTTATGCATTCATTGGTTGCTTCTTATATGTGCCCTGACTTGAGATCAGACCCTCAGCCTTGGTGTATTTGGAACAACACTCCAACCAACTGAGCTTCCTGGCCAGGGCACTTTCACCACTCATTCAACATGGTACGGGAAGTCCCAGCCATGGCAACCAGACAAAAAGAAGAAATAGAAGACATCCGAATTGGAAACAAAGAAGTAAACCATCATTATTTGCAGATGACATGATACTACCTATAGAGAACCCTAAAGATTCCACCAAAAAACTACTAGAACTGATAAATGAATTCAGTAAAATACCAGGATACAAAATTGATACTCAGAAATTTGTTGCATTTTTATACACCAATAATGAACTATCAGAAATTGAAACTAAGGAAATAATCTCACTTATAATTGCATCAAAAAGAATACCTAGGCCCTGGCTGGGTGGCTCAGTTGGTTGGAGCATGGTCACATACACCAAAAGTTTGCATGTTTAATCCCTGGTCAGGGCACATAGTTAGGTTGTGGGTTCAATCCCTGGTCAGGGTAGGTATGGAAGGAAACTGATCAATGTTTCTCTCTCATACTGATGTTTCTCTGTCTCTCTCCCTTCCTCTTGCTCTAAAATCAATAAAGCATATCTTTGGGTGAGGGTTTAAAAAAGACCTAGAGATAAATTTAACCAAGGAGGTAAAAAAACCCTGTACTCAGAAACTTATAAGACACTGAAGAAAGAAATTCAAGAAGATACAGATAAATGGAAACATTTATCATGGTCATAGATAGGAAGAATTAACATTATTAAGCTGTCCACACTAACCAAATCAACCTGTAGATTCAAGGCAATTGCTACCAAAATACCAATAGCATTTCCACAGAACTAGAACAAATAAGCTGAAAATTTTTATGGAAACACAAAAGACCCTGCAATTTCCTTTAAGAAAACTGCAATGAAACGTGCAGGCATTGCAAGTCCAGTTTGTACTAAGATTGTTTTGTATCAAGAGAGTTTTCTTAGCAAACACTTTAAGGAGTTTGCAGGCCAAGTACACACAATCAGGTCAATGTGCTAACCTGTTTTTGAAAAGAATAAGCAACTTCCACATGTTTGCTGTAAAGTTTTCCTTCTAAGAAGAAAACTTACGCAATCTAGAAGGTGCCTGGAGAGGTACTACGTGAGTTGCACACTACAAACAAAGGTTTCTGTCAATCATAGTGCATATACAAAAAAGGGTTCACTGTATTTTCTCAAAGTTCATTTCCTCCAAGAAAACACCAGTGAAAGTTGTGAACACTGCAAGAACTCTCTGTCCTAAGATTAATTTGTACCCCGCAGGTTTTTTTTAGCAAACACTTTTAAGGCATTTCTAGACCAAATACACATAGTCAGTACATTGAGGGAGTCTGTTTTTAAAAAGAACAATATTGCTGAATAGCCACAATAATCTTCAGAAACAAGAACGAAGTCAAAGGTATCATGCTACCTGATATCAAACTATATTACAAGGGTATAGTCATCAAAACAGCACAGTAATGGCATAAAAATAGACACAAAAATCAATGAAACAGAATAGGGAGCCCAGAAATAAACCCACACTTATATGTGGTCAATTAGTATATGACAAAGGAGGCAAGATCATACAAGTGGGTAAAGAAACTTTATTTAATAAATGGTGCTGAAGAATTGGACAGATACATGCAAAAAAAAAAAAAAAAAAAAAAAAAAGAAACCAGATCCCTTTCTTACACCATATAAAAGAATGAACTCAAAATGGATTAAAGACTTAAATGGAAGATTCGAAACCATAAAACTTCTAGAAGGAAACATAGGCAGTTAACCCTTTGACATTGCCTCTCTCTCTCTCTCTCTCAAATGTATTTTTTTTTGGATATGTCTCCTCAGGCAAGGGAAACAAAAGAAAAAATAAATGGGACTACATCAGACTAAAAAGTTTTTGCATAGCATAGGAAACCATCAACAAAATGAAAAGACAACCTACTGAATGGGAGAAGGTATTGGCCAATGATACATCTGATTAGGGATTAATATCCAAAATGTATAAAGAACTTAGACAACAAACTAAAAAACAACCCCCAAAAACCAATCCAATTAAAAATAGCAGAGTACCTGAATGGACACTTCTCCAAAGAGAACATGCAGATGGCCAATAAGCATATGAAAAGATGCTCAATGTCACTAATCATCAAAGAAATGCAAATTAAAACCACAGTGAGCTATCACCTTACACCTCTTAGAAAGGCTGTCAATAAATTAACAAACAGTGAGTGTTGGCAAAGACATGTAGAAGAGGAAACCCTTGTGCACTGTTGGTGGGAATGCAAATTGGCACAGCCACTATGGAAAACAGTGTGGGCGTTCCTCAAAAATTAAAAATGGAACTGCTGGGTATGTATCTGAAGAAACCCAAAGCACTAATTCAAAAGAATAATGTATGTCTACATTCATTGCAGTGTTATTTACAATAGTTAAGAAATGGAAGCAAACCCAAGTTCCCATTAATAGATGAATAGATAAAAAAGTTATGGCACATATACACAATGGAATATTACTAGGCCATAAAAAGAATGACATCTTACCATTTGTGACAGCATAGATGGACCTAGAGGCTATTATGCTAAGTGAAATAAGTCAGACAGAGAAAGATAAATACCATGCGATTTCACTTTATGTGAAAACTAAAGAGCAAAATAAACAAACACACAGAATAGAAACCAGCTCATGACACAGAGATCAGACTGATGGTTGCCAGAGGAGATGGGGCTTAGAAGGCTGGGTGAAAAAGGCGAAAGGATTAAGAAGGACAAATTGGAAGACACAAAATAGTCACAGGGCTCTAAAATACAGCATAGAGAATATAATCAATAATATTATAATAACGACATATGGTGCCAGGCGGGTACTTGAAATATGGGGAGAGGGGACCACTTTGTAAAGTGCATGATTGTTTAACCACTATGCTGTACACCTGAAACTAATACAAAATAATATTGAATGTAAACTATAATTAAAACAATAAAAAAGAAAAAAATGCCAAACAAAAGTGATTATATTAATTTGTACCTCCACCAGCTGTACTTGAGAGTTCCAGTTGTTCCATGTTCATGCCAACATTTGTCATGGTCAGTCCTTTTAAATTTAGTCATTCTGGTGGGTGTATGGTGGTATTTTCCCATGGATTTGATTTGCATTTCCCTAATAAGTAATGATGATGTTGGGCATATTTCCATGCGTGATTGGCCATTCACACATCTTTTGTGAAATGTCTGTTCAAATCGTCAACCTGTGTTTTAAAAACGGCTTACTGAGATATTCACATACCATACAACCCACCCTCTTAAAGTGTACAACTCCCTCTGACTGGTGTAGCTCAGTGGATTGAGTGCAGGCCTATGAGCTAGAAGGTCACAGGTTCAATTCCTCACCTAGGCATGTGCTTGGGTTGTGGCCCCCAAGGTCCTCAGGACAGGGTATTTGAGAGGCAATCAATCAATGTTTCTCTCCTGCTCTTCCCCTCTTTCTAAAAATAAATAATTTTTAAAAAAGATTTTATTTATTTATTTTTAGAGAAAGAGAGGAGAAAGAGAGGGAGAGAAATATCAATATGTGGTTGTCTCTCGCACACTTCCTACTGGGGACCTGGCCTGCAATGCAGGCATGTGCCCTGACCAGGAATCGAACCGGGTTTGCAGGCCAGCACTCAATCCACTGAGCCACACCAGCCAGGGCTAAAAATAAATAATTTTTTTTAAAAAAGTATACAATTCAATGCTTGTCAGTATATTTACAGAGAAGACCCTCCTTTAGCCTGACTTATTGAACACTGAATATCTTTGGAATTTAACGTTTACTTCAGGCTTGATAATGTTTCTTAATGAAGACAACCTAAAATTACAAAGGAAAATAGCACTTACTTACAAAATGTGTAATGGATTACCATCATAGTAACAACTAATGTTACATGAATCACAAGTAATGTGCTTTACATAATTTTTGAGCTGTCAGAGTTAAAACATGAAGTGAACTCTTCATTCCCACGCATGTCTGCAGTGGCTGTATCTTTTGAGCTCAAACTATTGTTCTCGATACAAACACAAAAGAAATTTCCACATTTTAAAATCCATTTAACTGTGCAGTTGAGAAGCTCCCACTTAACCCTCAATTGGAAGTGATTAATCCTGCTATTAAACCCATCCAATGAATTTTTAAAATTCCAGAGTTTGAGTTTTTCATTTCTAAAATTTCCTATTTTGTTCTTTTAAAAAATATTTTCCCACCTCTCTATTCATGAGAAGCTATTTTCCATGACCTCGTTGGGTGTAGCTGCAATAGCCCATTTAAATCCCTGTCTGATAATTCTAATAACTGATACTCAACTTGGCATTGGCCTCAGCTGATCCTTTTCACTTCAGGATGGGTCACAATTTCCTGGCTTTTCCTATGCTGAATATTTTTGGATTTCCTCATGAACATAGTGACTGTTACATTGTATAGACACTGCATTGTTATATTCCTATGAAAACTGTTTGTTCTTTTGTTTTGGTGGACCAGGAACTTGGTTAGACTATAACTGTGAATTCTGCCACTCCTGAGGTGGGCAGAGGTCAGCCTCCGCCCGTTTTTCATCTTTGGCTGGGCTGTTTCCAGCTGCCCTGCACGCACTTGACTCTGGGGGCAGCAAGAGACCCAGGTGGAGTCTGAGCGCTCCTATCGCCGTGGCCACGCCTCTGGCTGTCTTCGGGGCAAAGCCACGCACACACAGAACCACTCCATGCTGGCATCTGTACCCAAATATCAATTCCCCTCTAAGATCTGACTTTTGTTCACCCAAAAGGGCCCCAGGGGAATGGGCTTTTCACATTTTGTGCAGAACTTTTCAGTTGTCTGTGGACAGGACTTTTTGTTTCATAGGCCGGTGCTCTATCCACTGAGCCACTCCAGCCCGGGTGTGGACAGGACTTTTTAAAGGCCTCTCTTGGCTCCTCTACTGACTTCCATAAGCTGATTCTTGTACCCAGCAGCCTTGCTGAATTTCATGCAGGCACACCTTGGAGATATTGCGGGTTCAGTTTCAGACCACTGCAATAAAGCAAGTCATAATGTTTTTGCTGGTGAAGGGGTCTTGCCTTCAATTTGTAAAAAAAGCAGTATCTGTGAAACAAAATAAAACAAAGCATATGTGTCTAATTAGCATTTGGTTTAACGGCATAACTGCATGTAGCAGAAAACCCAGCCCACAGAAAAGGTCAGAGATGGGGCAGCTGTACATACCCAGCTCAGCAAACAGAAACTTCTGCAGGTATGAAAATCACGGAAGGTCCACACAGGGAATTCCTGTGCACAAAATCATCAGAGGGGTTGCAGGGGAAGTGAGGGAGTTTCCAGGGACTTTGGCTTCAAGGTCACACCACGAAAGCTGTGGTCTAAAGTCAGGAATTGGTGAGCAGGTGCTGGGGTCTCGCCACCACAGAGGTGCATGTTGTCCACACCCAACAGCCAGCAGCCGCAGCACTGGGGAGGTGGCCCCCTCCTCCTGCCTGGCAGACAGCCACTGCCGGGGCTGGGGGGCTCCCACTGGCCCCACCATTACGGAGGGCAGTGCTGTGCGCTGGCTGTGGCTAGCTGGCTGGATTTGTCTCCGCAACCCCTGGACTCTTGTGGTCCCCCACCCAGCCACTTCACCCCGTGGTGATGTCCACACTCTACTACTATGAGGCCAGAACTCACCTGAAAGAAGCCATACTGCAGCTGATACTCTGAGTGGCCACGACAGAGAATGGCTTGGTGGGGTGGCCTGTGGAGACTCTACCAGGGTACCACTGGGAGACCTCACCCTGGCTGTGCTGTGTGGTTTTGGTCATTCACTGAACCTCAGTTTCTCCACCTGAGAAACAGGAGAGTAAGAGCGCATGAAGCAAGGACTTGGCTCCATCACATGCCTGGTACACGATGGTCAGCCCGGAGCTTCCACGCCCACCGAGGGAAGGGCTGAGGCACCTCTCCTCCCTGGGCGGCCCCTCCACAGGGCCCCCACCCATACATTCCTGGAGCATGAGCAGTGCCGCTCTCAGCTGTACCAGCGAGGACTCATTTCTTTCCCTGATAGACCGGAGAGGCTGCCGGCCTCTTGACAACCTATTTACCAATTGAGGAAACCAAGGCAGAGGAGGTTCAGGTTTGGTCCATCACCCTGGAACATTAGAGCCACCGTAGGCAGGCCCTACCTGGACCCTGGGGAGGGACCTGGGGACACCAGGGTTTTTTCGAGGGGTCTCCCGGTACCCAGCTCCATGTTGAGGCTCACAGAGAGCTGACCACAGCCTCGTCCGTGGGGGCTGGGGTGTGGATAGCGGCCCGATCGGGGTCTGGGTCATGTGTGTGGTCAGGCCTGGGGAGATGAGGGCCAGGAAAACTCCGTCAACGCCTTCGGGAACTTCCAGCCAAGCAGCTCTGGGTGGGAGCAAGGATTAGGCTGAGGCTGGTGCTGGGACCAACCCAGGAGGGGCCCCTGACCAGCCCCAAACAAGCAAGTTGGGGGGAGGTGGGGCAGCCATTGCCTCTGCACCTGTGGAATCCCCCCTCCCTAGTCCCCATTGCACCTGGGGAGCAGTGCAGACCCCACTCCACCTCTCATGCTCTACTCAGAGGTTGGTACTTTGAGCCTCAGTTCTGTCCTAGTACCAGCTGCTCCTGACATGCTAGGAGACCCTGGGCTACGCACAGCATCCCATGTATCTGAGACCTGTCCTACGCCCATAATCTGCTCCCCTGCCCACTCTCCAGAGAGGCCTCCAGGTTGGCAGGGAATGTGGTCTGACCTCATATTCCATCACTTGAGGGCCAGACCCTGGGGACTGACGCTGGGGTGGGGTGGGAGATTCTGCAGGTGCGTGGGACAGGAGGGACAGGAGGGACAGGGGACAGCCTCTGCCAGTGCCCTGCAGCCAAGCACCTGCCAGGCACTGTGAGCTCGTGACTCTCTGGATGGGGGCAGGAATCGGCCATTCCTCCATCACAGTGAGCTTTATCTCATGCTCTGCTCTGAGGAGCTTATGGGCCACTCAGACCCCAGATGGCTGTAGCAGGGGCAAGGGCAGGGACAGTAGGGCAAGGTCAGGGCCAGCCCTCTCTGTGGCCAGGCCCCACATCCAGGGTCCTGGCCGGAGACTGAATCTTTTCTACTCTAGCGCCAGCGTGTGAGCGGGGCTCAGCATGCAGGAGGTGCTGAGTGAGTGTGCAGGTGGCTCGTGGGTAACAGTTGACCAGGTCGATGCTGGATTTAGAAGACTCAGGGCCAGAAATGGGACCGTGCTAGGTCTTACCCTGTCTTGCCCCGACTGGGACCCACTGAACTGTCTGGAATTGTTTCCGTGTCAGACATAAGTACCGTGCCCTGAACTGGCTGAAACACCGTGACTCCTGCTCGTGGCACTCCGGCCAGTTTGGAAGTTGCAGCCTTAAAACAGCCGAGGTGTCTTTGTGGCCCCAACCTGGCCTTGGGTGGGGAGGGAAGGATGCTGATTCTAGGGCCCATGTGGCTTGCAGAGAGGCTCCCCGTGGGCCCCACTTGGGGTGCTGGGGGCTGCTGGTTACGTGGGCTGGGTGGGGGCTGCGGGGAAAAGCAGGGGGAGGTGCAGCTCTTGCCTGGTTCCACTCACTGCCAATTTTCTGGTCTGGAGTCTCGTTTTCTCCCACCTCCCCTGGGGCCTTTAGGGAGGGGCGAGGGATTCTCTGGGGCCTTGCCAGCTCCCCAGGACATTCCCTGCAGGCTGGCTATTTGCACAGCTGAAAGGGGTTGCTGAAGCATGAATTGCCCCCCCCACCCCCCCGCCCCGCGCTTCCTGCACCATTTCTGAGCCAGGGGTGGGGCTGACACAGGCCTGGGCAAAGTTTTGGGGGAGGGTGGGCTCTGCTCCACCGGGCCACAGCAGCCTCCAGCTCTGAGCCTCCCTGGGAGGGGCAAGTGTAGAGGTGGCCTGGTCTCTTTCAGACCCAGCCCTACCTGGGACAGCCCATCCTACCCAGCTCCCCACTGTAAAAAGTGCAAGGGGATCTCTCACCCCCACAGGAACGCCTATCCACTCACTGTCTCACCCAAGGGGCTGGCAAGTGGGAGGCAGCTTCGCCCTCTGGCACCCACCCAAGCCTCTGTTTTGAGAGGGACTTCAGCTGGGAAACCAGGAGGTGGGCCCCACCCAGCTTTGTCCACCTATCAGGGTGCTGGGTGTGTAAAAAGGCCAGCGCCTGCAGCTGTGAGTGTAGATGGCCGTGCCCTGGGTTGGAGGGGGATGCTCAGCAGGACTCCCAGCCCCGAACTGCTTAGTTCCCCAGGTGCCAATGGGGAAACTGAGGCCAGCCTGAGCCAGAGGCACCCCTGCCACCTTCTGCCTTCTCTGCCCTGCCAGGAGAGGGGATGGGGCCAGCCGTCTGCCTGCCCATCCCCCCCACAGATGGGGGCAGGGTTGACTCAGACTCCACACGCCCTGGCAGCAGTTTCCCAGACAGGGTAGGCCAGGTCGGCTGTTTGGTTCCCAGAGCAGGGCTAGAGGCAGTACAGGCACTGCTGCAGGGGCCTGAGAAGGTTTGACCTGGAGCCCCTCTGGGGCTCAGAGACCCCTTCACTGGCGGTGGGCAGGCCGTGGGGGAGGTGAGTGCTGGGAACAACAGAGTGGCTGTCCTCCACAGACCATGGCCTTGCAGAGTGCGAGACGCACCGTGGGGTCCTTCAGAACCCCCACCCACAGCAGCCTCCTGCTTCTGCTTCTCAGCCTCAGTGAGTAATGGGAGTGGGCTGCTGCAAAGGGTGGGTGGTGAGGGCACGGGGGGCGGGGGGAGGGCAGCCAAGGATTCTTAGGGGGTAGGGACCTTAGGCAAGGCTCCACCTGCCCCATGCCTCCTCCCCAGTCTGTGAACAGAGCCCCTTGTCCTTGGGGAGTGGCTCGAGTTCTGACTGGTGTCACAGATCTCAGCAGGTGCCAGAGTTTCGGGCAGGTGGTCAGCCATGCCTCTTCCTGCTCTGCTCCATAGGGTTAAAGGCTGCGTTAGGGCAGCGACGCGATGGGGCTCAGGCCAAAGCGAGGGTGTTTGTGGGATAGGCGTCTGACTGCCCTGAGCCGTGGGGTCCTAGGAAAAGGACGTGGGAGGCCTGGGCTCCCTGGTGGGGTGCAGGCCCTGGCCTGGGGCGGGGCATGGTGGGCTGTGACATCCCAGGGTACAGGAGCCTAGCCCTGTGTTTCCACACCTGTGGGCTGCGTGCAGGGCTGGGGGCCTGGGAGAGGCTGGCTTTGCCTCCTTCCTCTCCATGGCAGGGCCTGCAGCAGGCACACCCAGAAGCCCCCAGCCGCCCCCTTGAACCTTGTGTTCCTCCCTGCAGGTTGGGTGCTACCTTCCAGGGCTCAGACTGCAGACGGGGGATGGGTAAGGACCTTCTGGGAAGACAGGGGAGAGTTTTCGGGCCCTTGGTGGACGTCCTTGGACGTTGGGTCACACATGGCTCAGCCGCAACCCTTACGTGTCCTCAGGGTGTCATGACCCCATGGCAGGAACACACCTTCCAGAATCTGTCCGGGCAGCCGCCTGAGCTGACCGTCATCCTCCGGAGGGCCCCACGGGGCACAGAGAGTGAGTGCAGCACCCGCCTCGTTGAGTGTGAGACCTGAGGGTGGGGGCTGGCGTTGTGAGGTCTCACCTGCTAGTGTTGTGGCCCTTTCTGGCTACTCAGTTCATTCAATTGTGAAAACCTTGGAGAGTGGGCAGAATCTCCCCATTTTGCCAATGGCTAAACTAAGGCCTGGAGAGGGTCATGATTTGTCCAGGGTCTCAGCGTGGGTGTGGAAAGAAGAGGAGGTTGTCTGGAAAAGCCCAGCCCCCTAACCCCTGCCTGCCCCTGTAGATAAGACCTGCCCCCTGGGGAAGGAGGTCCACGTGGTGGATGAAAACCTTTTCTTCTATGAGAACTGGGAGCTGGAGGCCTGTGTGAACGGGGCCTTGCTGGCTGAGCAAATGGACCGGGTGAATGCAGTTCCCTTCACCTACCAGCAGCTTGACATTTTAAAGCACAAACTGGACCAGGTAGTTCATGGCTTGGGCTTCTGTCTGCTCAAGGTGCCAAGGCCTCCCCCAGCTAACTGGGAAGTGGCTGTGGCCCTCACTGTCAATTTCCCTGGCAGTTCTACCCACAGGGGTACCCGGAGTCCCTGATCCGGAACCTGAGTTACTTCTTCCTTGAGGTCACCCCAGAGGACATCCACAAGTGGAATGTGACATCCTTGGAGACAGTGAAATCTCTGCTTAAAGTCAGCAAAGGGCAAAACATGGATCCTCAGGTGACCACCTGTTGGCGGGGGGCGGGGGGCACACCGTGTGAGGTTGTGCAGGCCTGCGGGGATACATCTCTCCCTGCCCCAAGGCACCTCACTGGGCTCCTCCCACAGGTGGCTGCCCTGATTGCCCGCTATCTGGTGGGAGGGGGCCAGCTGGACAACGTCACTCTGGACATGCTGGCCAGATTTCATCCTGCCTACCTCTGCTCCCTCAGTCCCGAGGAGCTGGGCTTTCTGCAACAAGATGTTGTTTGGTGAGTCCCAGGCGTCTGCTGGTGTGGTGGGTGTGCTGCACTCCAGGCTCACTCCCAGCACTGTACTGCCTCTCCAGGGGGGTCAGGCCCCAGGACCTGGAGGCATGCCGCCCGCTGCAGATGGATGTTCTCTACCACAAGGCCCGCGTCGCTTTCCAGAACATGAGCGGGTCCATGTACTTTGTGAGAATCAAGCCGTTCCTGGGTGAGCCAGGAGGACGTGGGGTAGTGGGTTGCCTGAGGTCCCCATAGGTGCTGGCAGCTTCCCAACTCCTGGCCTTCGCTCTGGTGTTCTGACCAGGGATCAGGGTGCCCTCCATCCTTCGAAGTGTGTATAAGCTGAGGTCCCGTGAGTTCTGACCCCTGCTTAGGCACTTGACCACTCCCAGCCTCTCCCCAGACTGGGAGAGCCACACGGTCACCAGGTGAACCAGGGTCCCGGGATTCCTTAGGAAAAGGGACTCTGGGTAAAGGAAGTGGGCTTCCTAGAGCTTGTGTTCAGAGGGTGAGAGTTGGGGTAGCATTGCGAGGTCTCATGCCTAGGGCCCCTCTCCCTGGGCACAGGTGCGGCCTCCACGGAGGACTTGCGGGCTCTCATTCCACAGAATGTAAGCATGGACATGGCCACGTTCAAGAAGCTACGGAAGGAAGCCTTGCTGGTATGACCACCAGAGGGGCGGGGCCACTGGAAGGCGAAACCAACCGTGGGAAGGGAGGCCCACCCACGGAGAAGGGCTTGTCCGTGGATGGGCGGGGACACTGAGAGGGCGGGGTCTTGGGAGGAGAAGCTCTTGAGCCCGGACCAGCTCCAAAGTAGAGGTGCTGAGTCAGGGTCTGTGGGCTAGAGAAGTATCGGGGGCTTGGACAGGGCAGAGTCCAGCAGCCTTCTGGGCAGAGGCAGGGAGACCCTGACAGCTGCCTGGGTGCTCTGGCAGCCGCTGACCATTGCTGAGGTGCAAAACCTTCTGGGTCCAAACCTGGAAGGCCTGAAGGCAGAGGAGGGAAACAGCCCTGTGTGGGACTGGGTTGTCCGACAACGGCAGAACGATCTGGACAGCCTGGGGCTGGGACTCCGTGGTGGCATCCCCAACGGCTATGTGGTCCTAGACCTCAACTCTCGAGGTAGGCTGGGGTGGCCGGCTGGGTGGAGCGGGGGCAGAGTGAGGTGGAGGGTCTGAGTTACCCCTTCTCTGTGCAGAGGCCCTCTCAGGGGGACCCCACCTCCTTGGACCTGGACCTGTGTTCATTATGATCCCACCTCTTCTCCTGGCCTCAATCCTGCACGGAACAGGGTGCTCTGGATGCTGAACTGGGCCCTGCTGTGGAGACTCCCACCCAGGGGAGCAGGCCTGGTGGTCCCTGCCTCACCCTGGGGGGCTGGAGCTCAATAAAAGAGAACACGTTCCTCCTCTGAAGAGGTGACGTGTGGAGATCTGGGGACAGGGCAGGAGGTCCTTATGACTAAGGTGTTCTGAGGGGCAGGGTGGGGGTTGACAGCTCTGGGGTTCTGGGCCCTGATTGGCTGCGGTATTCTGAGAGGTGGGGGGCCTGAGGGCTGTAACCCTGTGGACATGACTCCCTGAGTTGCGGCCCCTCCAGTTTGTACTTGGAAAGAGGGGCAGGGCGGGGACTCCAGGCAGGGGTTGGGGGAGCGCTGCGGCCCTCGGATGCTGTTCCATTGCCCCCGTCTCTCCTGAGGCGAGGCCATCACACCGAGGGTGGCCTTGGTGACTCTCCAGGAGATGGCGGGTGAGAGACCTTTTTCCAGACTAAAAGGGTCTCTGTGCCCTTCGGATCCAGAGCAACAGGACACACCCAGGAAGACCACCTTGTCCTTTATTAAAATCAGTGAAGTGCCGTGGCGTCCCCCTTCCCAACCCCGTTTCTTTATCCTGAAGGAGACCAGAGGGCCAGGGCAGCATCTACCTCAGCTGGCCCAGGTGACCCGGTAGTCACAGCTCTGCCCAGGTCCTCAGTCCAGCTTCAGGTCCTAGGAGCTGGCTGTGGGTAGGGACCCGCCCTGCAGGCTCCTAGGCTGTGGGATATGGCCAGGTTCCCTGGGCCTGGGGCCTGCATCTTGGCCTGGGCTGGCGTCCAGCTCCACCTACCAGCCCCAATTTTCCTGCATGTGCTGCCAGCACATTGCTGTCTTTGGAAGCCATTGTGCAGGTGCCCGGTGAGCAGTCCCAAAAGGGCCCCACCAATAGAGACAAAGGGTGTCCCAATACAGCAGCCACAGGAGGCTGTAGGGCAAGGCCATGGCAAGTGGCAGATACCTCAGGTGGGCTGGTGGGCTGCCTGTAGGTGGAACATGGAGGAAACACCCATCAGTCCCGGCCAGAAGCCACACCAAGGACTGTCCCGGCAGCTCTTGGGCAACCCCTCCTTCTGGGCTCCAGGCTCATGCTAGCCCTGTGGGCAGCCAAGGCCATGTGTGGCCACTCTCTGGGCCCCAACAAAGATCTCAAAGCTTTCCCCTCCCTGGGGCTTGGCCCCTACTTTATGCTGTCCGTGGGTTTGGGAGGAGGCGACTGTGTTCTTCAGTAACTCAATGGATGACACAGGGTGAAGCATGTCACTCAAAGGTCACCCGAGAGGCAAGTGGATAAAGTTGGCCAATGGAGTATGACATTGGGCACAAGCAGCAGTTTGGGGTCCACAGAGGCTCTGGGCAGACAAGGTGAAGCAGAGGCAGGGCCTGGGTGTGAGGCTGTACCTGAGGTGGGGGCGTCGTTTCCAGACCCGCTGGATGTGGAGACTGGAGGGGACACCCAGGGAGTTGTGTTGTGAGTCCCAGTGGTCGAGGGGGTGGGGCCGGTGGGGCCAGCGGGGTCCGTGTCCAGGCCCAGCTTGCCCAGAGCCAACCTGTTCAGGCTGCGGAGCCAGGAGCTGATGGTCGGGTGGCTGCGCGCTTTCTGCAGGTCCCCCACGTTCTGGCCGAGCAGCATCGTCACATCGTCGACGCTTAGGCTCTTCAAGGGAAGTGAGGGGGCCATGTGGGAAGGGACAGAGAGTCATGAAGGGGCCCGGCTTTGGGGCCAAGGGGAGACTCAGGAGTGCTCACCCAAGGAGTGAGCACCAGGGTGAGACCTGGCAAAATCAGCCTGGAGAAGTGACCTGGGGCCCACTTTGGGGTCCCTGTGGACCCATGGCCTGGGGCTCCCCTGTCTTGGCCAGCCTGCCCTGCTCCCCCCGGGGCAGCCCCCAGAGCACACCTGCAGCACGCGGGGGTTCAGGTTGGTAAAGGTGTGGATGTCCATGGAGACGTTGGCCTGGGCCAGGTGCTGCAGATCCTCCAAGGGGGCACCACCTGAGGGGCGGAAGTGGTGGGAGGGGGCAGGGTGGGGGCTTCTAGAGGAAAGGTGTCTGCACACAGGGCGGGGTCTCACCAAGGTAGGGGCGTATGAAGTGGTAGTAGGCAGCCATGGTCCTGGCGCTGCTGAAGACCTCTCGGGCCTTGGAATAGAGCACGTCCTTCCGGCTCTGGGGGCAGGAGGAGATGTCCAGGGCACCGGCCAGCCTGGGGAGGGGGCGAGGCTGAGGGGCAGGCTGGGAGCCCCTTGTTCTCTGGTTGGCTGGGTCTGGCCCTCTCTCCCTACACTACGGCGGTCCTCTTGTCCTCTTGTATTGGGCTGATAGTGTTTCCCCAAAATTTATCGTCCACCCAAAACCTCAGAATGTGACCTTATTTGGAAATAGGGTCTTTCCTATTTATAGATGTAATCAAAGTAAGGCAAGGTCCTAACAAATTTGGTTAAAATCTCACCTAACCCTTAAAATCTAACGCCCGGTATCAGAGGAGAAGGAAACTTAGGCCCAGGCCCAGGCTGGAGGGGAGACAGCCATGTGGTGGCGATAGAGGCAGAGATGGGGTGACAAGGCCAGGAGCCAAGAAAGGCCAAGCATTGCCGGCAACACAAGTTGGAAGAGGCAGGAAGAAACCTCTGCTACAAGTTTCAGGGGGAGCCCGGCCCTGCTGACGCCTTAATCCCAGACTTCTGGCCTCCAGGCTGCGTGAGAATACACCTCTGTTCTTCTAAAACTCAGTTTGAGGTACTTTGTTTTGGCAGCTGTAGGAAACTAACACACCTGCGGTGGCCTGGCCCGGACCGCTCCTGAGCCTCAGCCTCCCCTCTAATTCTCCTTGGTGAGCAGTGGAGCTGACCCCAAGGCGCAGGGAGCGTGCCGCTGGTTGGGCTCACCGGAACTCTGAGGGCTGGATAGCCTGGATCTGCAGGGGGCTCATCCAGCAGAGGCGGGAGCCCCCAATAGCCACGAGCAGTGCACTGGTGATATTGCCTTTGTGGTCCAGGAACTTCTGCAGGATGGCCTGGGGACAGGACCGGAGTTGGTGGGGCTGGGGTTGTTGGGACCAGGGTCAGTGGGCTCCCCTACCCCCCATCTTGCCACCTGCCCCACCCCTACCGCTCTCACCTCTGTCTGGTTCTCCAGGGCCACGTCTGAGGCCAGCAGGGCCATGACTGTTTCCCTAGATGTGATGTTCCACTGGCCGATCTCCGTGTGAGAGTACAGGTAGACCAGTGAGGTGATGAGCCGAAGCTGCTCTTCTGGGATGCTGCTCGGGTAGATCTGATGCGGGCAAGAAGGTCAGGCCCCACCCCCAGTGTCCCCCACCCGCCTGCCTCCACCCGGTGCTCGGCACACCTGAGCCAGCTTGGCCTTGATGATTTGCTGGCACTCAGCAGGCAGCGGGTGCTGGAGCAGGGGGTCCAGGTTGGCCTCGAGCACTTGGCTGCCCAGGCAGGACTCCAGCTCTGAGCAGTCATAGCGCACCAGGAAGAGGTCATCCTGCAGCGTGGCTGCTGTGATGTTGCCTTGAATGCAGGGTCTCACTGTGGCTGGGGGTGGGCTGGGGTTGATGACCTGGCTGCTCAGCGACGGCCTGAGCCAGCCACTGCTGCTGACTTAGGGCTCTTCCTTCTTCCTAACCCTGACCCACTCTTGACTCTCTCCCGAAGCTTGACCTCTAGCCTAGAACCTGGCTCTGGGTAGACCGAGTCAAGCCTGACATTGACCTCAACTCCTAGCCAGGCCCTGGCCCGGAAGCCCAACCCCACAGCCCATGACTGCCCGTGCTGGACACAGATGCCTGGGCCAAGCTCGGGAGGTACAGTAGCAGGTAGGGCCGTGCACTGGGTGCTCCCACCCCCGAGTCAGGAGTACAAACTGGTGCCCCCAGGCCACAGTGACCGCCACACTGACCTGTGCCCCTCTTGGGCCGTGAGGACGTTGACTTGGCCTTGGCCTCAGCCTCAAGGAAGCTGGTGACAAAGCGCCTGGCGTCACGCTGGCTGAGCCGCCTTGCCCGGCACGCGGCCACCATGCTGCCAAAGAAGTCCAGGCCCACAGCCTGGCAGGGGGTGCTGGAGACTCCACGCCCTGGAGCCACCTGGTTTCTCCCCTCCCCCCCCCCCCCCCAGATAAAAACCCTGTGACAGGTGACTGGGGACACCACTTGGGCATTAGAGTGGCTGTGTGGTGAGCAACCCTCAGGCCTGAACAGGCTGGTGAATGGTCGCCTGGACCCTCCTCACTACAAGTAGGGCTCGTTTAGTCCCCCCTCCTTACCCCAGGGCGCTATCCTACCTCCTGCACCTGCACCCACAGGCTGGGGCTGATGTAGGTGGCCAGCAGTCCCAGAGCCTGCAGCCCCTCCAGGTTCCAGGAGACGGGGGGCCTGGAGTGTGGAAAGAGGGGGTTGTGTTTGGGTCTGGAGCAGGAACTCAGCCCCTGGAGGCCACCTGCCTTTCCCTGAGTGCAAATTCCCCGGGCTTGACATGGTGGGACACCTTGTCTACCCAGGACAGGCTCTACCCCCCAGGCTTCGGGGCAGGGGGATTGAAAGGCCCAGTGGATGTTGGTAGCAGCCCACACCTATGTGCCTCAAAGGCTATAAGGTCAGAGAAGGGCTGTGAGCTGCATCAGAAACTGGAGGTCAGCAGGGCTCTGGAATTAGGGGAACTCCTGAGCCCAAACCCCAGACTGCCTCTCGTCTCATCTCCGGGAGGGGAGGCCTGGGCAGAGGGGATTAGGGCCCCCACTCACCCAAGCGTGGTCCTCCCACTGGCCAGTAGTGTGTTGAGAGCAGCCTGCTGGGCAGCGGTCAGCCAGGGGCAGCGCTGCAGGTTCTGCAGCACATGGGGGTCCGAGGCCAGGATGCTGGACGCATCCATGTCACACACGAGGATCCCAAGGAGAAGCAGGTCTGAGGCACTGAGCTGTCGGTGGGGCCCACCCTGCAGAATAGCAGGTTAGCGAGAGCCAGGCCCCCGACCCTTCCACCCGTCCTGCCCTGCCCCAGAGCCTACCAGGCAGGCTAAGGCTGCACGCTGCAGGGCGGCCCTCTGGTCAGGTAGGTTGGCCAGCAGCTCAGTGTCCCCCAGGGCGGCACGGCGAGTGAAGGCCCGACAGTCGGCTTCCCTTACCTGCCCCAGGCTGCAGGCAGGTGGGGGACTGTTGGGAGGGTGGGGCCAGCCAGGGGTCCTCTGGGGTGGCCCAGGTGCCCCTGAGGGGCTGGGGTTCCAGGGACCCAGAGAAACATGCTTATTCTGCTGGACGTTGGGTGGGATGGTGCGGGACACTCACTTGTAGAAGAGCAACAGGTCAGGCGGGTGGAGCAAAAAGTCACCCTGGAGGCCATGCAGGGCGGCCAGGTTGGCCAGGCAGCAGAGCTGGATAGGGTGTATGATGCATCACTCGCTTGCCCAGCCCTCTCCTCTCTGCCATGGTACCCGCCCCCTACTCCTGTCCCCACATCCACCCAGTTTCCTCCTCCCGCCTGCCTGCTCTGTGTCACCTGAACTTGATGTCTTCCTCTGCCTGCCTCAGTCTCCACATCAGAATGGCCTCAGAATGGGTCAAACCCAGCCTGAACGTTACCACCCCTGCACGCCCACCCCAGCCCAGGCCAGCATGCAGGCCCTCTGCTTATCCCCAGCCCCGCGGCACCATGGAACCTCATCCCAATGCCACCTGCCCAAAATTCTTGTCCCATCTGGCCTACTTGAGGGTTACTTAAAATTTATTACTAGTTTTGCCCTGGCCAAGTGGCTCAGTTGGTTGGAGCATTGTCCTGTTCACCAAAAGGTTGCGGGTTCGATTCTTAGTCAGGGCACATACCTAGCTTGTGGGTTTGAGCCCTGGTTGGGGTGCATGTGGGAGGCAACTGATTGATGTTTCTCTTTCACATCAATGTTTCTCACCCTCCCCTCTGCGTCCTCTCTCTCTGAAATCAATGAAAAGCATATCCTCAGATGAGGATAAAAAAAATTATTACTAGTTTTTTTTTCTTTCTTTTTTTCTGTTTCTTCTTTTTTGTGTGTAAGTGTCTTCCTTTTGTTACTAGTCTTATACTAACTTTATAATGAGACAGACTGACTTTCTTCCTCCTTCCCTTCCTCCCTTCCTTCTTTCCTTCCAGCTCAGGGCAGGCTACACTTAGGTCAGCTGTGAGTCGAGGTGAGCTCAGCTGGCCCCTTTCATGGCCCAACCTGGGGAAAGGCCGGCAGGCTGGAAGATCTACCTCAGGGGCCCGAGGGCCTCAGGAGGGCACCATGTGGCAGATGGAGGCAGGAGGGGGCCAGCACAGGCCAGGTGGCCAAGCCCTCACCCAACCAAGAACAGGAGGCTGGGGTCTGTGGGCGACTGGCTAAGGAGTCCTAGATATGATCCAAAGAGGGGCGTACAGGAAACCACCCAAGGGGGCTGGCAGGCTCTCTCATCTCGGAGTCAGCCTAAGAGACCTCTTAGGTGGCTGTGAAATTGGCAGTTTGGCTCAGAGACAACCGTGTACAGCGTCTCCAGTACGGCTCTAGTACTGCCGGTGAGCATACTGTGTCCTGGCTGAATGGTCCCGGCCCTTACTGGCCTGTGTCTTCTGCTGGGGACACTCTCCCTTCCTACCCATCTCCAGGCCCTTTTTCCTGGGAGCCTGTTCTTGCCCTTGACACCCCAACCTGCTCATGCCAACCAGGGCTTCTTACCTGCCAGGCTTTGAGGGGCACCTGCTGCAACGTCATCCTCCTGATCAGAGCTGAGAGCTGGTCCCGGGACAGCTGGCTGGCTGGCTGGCACCAGAAGCCTTTCAGGAGGGAGGCGTTAGCACTGAGCAGAAGGAAGCAGGTGGTGAGGGGTGGAGGTGGGGGCAGAAGGGGCCGTCCAGACTGCAGCATGCAGAATGGAGGTCAGACTCCCAACACTGAAGGAATGAGACACAGAAAGTGTGGCAGGCAAGGCCTTGACAGAGGCAAGACTCCTGCTTCACTTTCTCCCTCCCTCCCTCCTGTAAGTACCCAGTTCAGGCTCTGAGCTATGAGCAGGAGTGTCCCCTGCCCAGATGCTGGGTCTTTGCTTCTTCCCGAGCCGGTCCCGGCAATGGCTGAGGGTTTGAAGATGTGGCCTGGGTATCTGCTGGGCCACGGCAGCCAGTTGCATCTCTTTGCTGAGCCTTCCTCATGGTGTGAGTCTAATATAATTTGTGCACGAGGAGGGGGTCTCTTGGGATTTTAACTTGGGCCCAGCTGGTCCAACTTGGGCCTCAACCTTGCCATGTCAGTCAACTGATTGATGAATTGATTGATGGCTGATCAGTGACCTCCAGCCCCCCAGGGAAGGAGAGGACAGCTGAGCCTAAGCATGAAACCCCCGGAAAGTGCGCAGAAATGGTGCGGAGTCTGTTCGGGGATTGAGAGGGCAGCAAGGTCTTGGGGTATAAGGAAGTATGAGGGCTCCGGATGAGCAGGGATTGCCTGCCAGGCCACGGGGAGCAGTGTGAGCACTGGGGGGCTCGGGAGGGACCCTCGCCTTAGCCAGCTGTGATGACCTGGGCACCCGCTGACAGCCATGCAGACATGATTCTGATGCGGGACGCCAAACTCTGAGCCACCTCAGGACAAGGTGGGTGAATGACCTGGGCAGGCAGGGCCAGGTTCCTCAGTTCAGAGGCAGGAGTCAGCGGTCGTGCCACAGCCGCGCCTGGGCCGTCGTGCGCAGATCCTTGAGGTAGTCCCTCCTTTTCACCCCCCTCGCCCAGGCCTGCCAGGGAATCAGCTGCAGAAAACACGGTTTGTGGATGCAGAGCCTGCGGGAGGGGCCGGCACTTACTTGGCCCACAGGTTGGCGCTGCTGGCTTCCAGCCCTTCCTGGGAGAAGCCCTCAGCCTGGGGACGAGAGCAGTAGACAGTGAGCCACACGGACAGGATGAGACCCAGGCTCACCAGGGTACCTGGAACAGAATAGGCTGTAAACAGCCACCAGCCCTTGAGAGGCTGAGTCCTGCCTGAGGGGGAGCACATGTGCAGGATCCCTGTGTCCCGGGTGGGTCTGTGACTGCCCCAAAGTGGAGACCTCGAAAGCTGTGTGGCTTTGGTCACCTGTGTGTAGCAGTCTAGGCCTGAGCAGTGGTATGTGTGTCTGACCAGGTGATCATGCGTGTGACAGTATGTACACCATCTGGCTATCTATGTGTCTGGCACGATATGTGTGTGTTCCTAATAGTATGCACATGTGATGCGCACACATGTGTGGTGGCATGTACATGCCTGTCATGGCAGGCTTGCCTGATATGCCTAATATAGCACACCTACATGTCTGATGGAATGGCAGTGTACATGTGTGATGTGCACCCATGTATAGCTGGTGGTATGTGCCTTTTTGTGTGCTTGAAAGCATGTGCACGCATATGTGATTGTCTGTACCTGTGCCTGCCAGTGTCCACACATTGTGTGATGCTGTACGTGTGTGATGTACAGAGTGTACCCATGTACTTGTACCTTCTATCTTCATGGCTCTGTCCTCACAGTCTGAGCCACAAGACCTCTAAGCAGAGGGACTAGGGGTCAACTACCACTTCCTCCTGAGCCCCTTCTAGCCATGACCTCTCTTGTTCCTGCTTTGTCCCCTCCTGGACACCCAGGCCCAGTGCCCTGCCTGCCTTTCTTCTTTTCTTCCCCCGCCCCTCAGCTGGCCAGAGCGGGGCACCCCTGGGTTAGGACCCCTGACTGCGGGTTCAGGAGGACATGGTGGCTGGAGCGTGAGCACCCTCCTCATCCGCCATCATGCTGCCCCGGGGAGCCCCTTCTGTGAGGGGAGTCGTCCTACCTGCTCTGGGGCCCATGGCCGTGCAATGTGCACAGGTCGTTCTGGCTTGAAGGCGCGGGGGTCACGAGCAGCAGGTCTGGAACAAGCTGGAGAGGAGACAGGAAGCGACGAGGCCAGCCCCACTGTCTCCCCCAGCCAGCCTTGGCCGAGGGGCACAGACTGGGAGCGTGCCGTCCAGGGCCACGCAGGGTATGCGCCTTACAGGGCAGGCAACCTGAGCTGGGCTACAGCTGCGCCTCTCCGTCTTTGGGGAGGGGCACAATCCCATAAATAACACATCCTTGGAACAAAAGGGAGCTGCCTGAGGGGGACCTAGGTCTTTCTTATCACTGGTTGGGGCTCAGGGGACCCACAGGCTCTGACTTGGGGTGTGGTGTCTTCAATGAACAGATCTCTTGAGTTACAGGGAAGGAAGCGGCGGTCCCAGTGAGTCCCCACAGGCAGCTGCAGGAGAGACCTGGTGGCTACCCAACCTGCCCTGGAGTGGCCGTGGCGTCACCCCGACATCTGGGCGGCTCAAGCAGCTCTCTGTCCCTCTCCGGGGTCAAGACCTGGCCCCAGACACAACCCATGGTGCAGCACCCTGGGCAGCCCTGGCTGTGGCAGGGAACAAAGCTGCGAGGCTTGGGGACACAGTTTCTGGGAGGTGAGAGGCCTCGGGGAGCCTGGCCCACACTGCCCACTGCTGGGCACAGCCTTGCACAGTCTCACTGCTTGGGGTACCTGTGGGCCTCTGAATGCCACTTGGCCCAGGAGAAAGACAGGGAGGTTACTACCCCATTCGGGGGACAAAATGGAGGCTCAGAGGGGCTCAGCTACGTGCCCAGGGCTGCAGAGACCAGACTAGAAGCCTGACCTTGTGTGTCCAGCTAGTAATGGCCCCCACCCTGGCCCCTTCCCCTCACCTGAGTACAAAGACTTTCTGTGGTAGAGGGTGGTGTTCCGGGACCAGGTGGCGGCCGTTGGATGCAGAGGGTTGTAACCAAGTGCCAGACACTTCAGACACGAGCAGTCCCAGCCCTCTGAGCGCGTCAGTCCCTGCAGCTGAGCCTCGGGGCACAAGGGTGGTGCAGGGTGAGGGCACGAGGGTCCCTGATCATCTCCCTTCTTGTGCAGCCACCCACTCCTGCAGTGACGTCCACCAGGCTGATGCATCGGGGAGGGGCTGAGGCTGTGCCAGGCAACGCTACTATGTCAGCCCCTGGGGCCCCGGCACAGCGGGCACCTGTTCCCCTGCCCCAGGAGAGTGGGAGTTTGAGCACATGGTTGGCAGCTACCCAGCGTAACCCCTTCCCACTGAGACGTTGTGCCTAACGGACTGTGTGTGCATTCATACTCACGCACCCCTGCCTTCATTATGTGTGCTGTGCGTGTGCTCACAGGTGCCTATACAGTACGCCTGGGAGCTCACACATCTATGTGCATGTGTGTCCCCTGCAGGGCCATTAGGCATACATGGACTCAGTGGGGTGCCCAGGTTTATTGACGTGTGTGGTGGTGTTTCTTCTCTGCGGGTGCTCGTGGCCATACACCTGTGTACCAGCAGCAGGGAGGGCATGTGGGCACCAGGCGGGCAGCCTTGATGGTGGAAAGAGTGCCTCACATACCCTGGGGCCACCCCACCAGCCAGGCCTCTGAAGCTCAGCAGGAGGGGCGCCTGCAGGAGGAACTCCCCGACCTGCCCACGGCTCAGGCTTAGCTGCTGGATGACTGCCATCTGCACCACAGGGTCATATGTGCCTGAAAAGCCAGCCTCATGGCCAAGCAGAGCCTGGGGGCCGAGAGCTGAAGGGCCAGTTGCGGATCACTCCTGGGCCCTGCATAGGCCCCATCAAAGTCCAGGTTTTTGCTGAGGGCTTGCTAGGGCTCGACACACAGGGATTTGGGGGGAGCAGATGTCATGTGGTAGTGGGGTCTCCACCCACTCCAGGGCTGGAGAATCCCACAGTTCAGAGACAGGCACAGGAAGCAGGCAGTGAGCACAGGAGGCCACCCACTGGCCTGCCCGCTGCAGGGCAGCCCCAGGCCCAGTTCCGACAAATGACTATGGCACCAGAGCAATGGCTGGGCTGTAGAGTCACATCCTGCCCTGGCTCTTCCACGCACTGCCTCTTGACACAATGCCTCACTGAGTCAGCCTTGGCCCATAGCACAGCTTCTATGCCCACTTCAAAGATGAGGAAACCCAGAGAGGATGAGCAACTTCCCTGTGGCCAAATAGCAGTGAGTGGGGAGCACGGCCAGACCCTGTGGCCGGGCTGGGCACCTGAGTGGGGAGTGGGGGTGGGGCATGGGTGTGGGGACAGGGCAGAGGGTGGATAGGGAGAGGTGTGTAGGTCTCAGCAAGGAGCTGATGTGTCTGGATGTGGAAGGCTCAGCAAATGTGAAAAAGTGTGAAAACTGGAAAAAGCAGGGTGTGCTAGGATGGGGACTGGTGATGCTATCCCATTGCGCCTGGCCCGTCACGCTGGGTACGCCACAGTAGCCATCTGGGCTACCGATACAGGCATCCCATGGAACCCTCCCATTACAGGTGAGGTAACAGAGGCACGGAGCAGGAGCTGGGACCTGGGTCTCTGCAGAGGCCCTATGGTTCCATCTTCTGGCTCCATCCCAGCTGAGTTCCTGCTGTGTCCCAAGGTAGGTACAGCTCAGGAGCCTCAAAGCAGGACCTGTGTCAACTGGCAAGGGGGATCCTGCCCAGCCAGGTGCAGGGACATGGCACGTGATCTCAGGCTGGCTGAGGGCCCAGGGGGAAGCCATCCCACGGCATTCTGACACAGTGGAAGGCCCTAGGGCCAGTATAATAGTGGTCAGGGCAGTGGCTCTGTGAGGGATCCTGGTGAGACTAGGTGGATGCTCCAATGTTTTGGGCTGGGAGAGCCAGGGATCCTCCAGCTTTTCCCCAACCAGGGCAGGCGAGCGCTTCCTGTGTGGGGGTATAGCCAGGCGGCCAGTCCTGGCTCTTGCAGGGGAGTTTAAGGCAAAGGTCTGCCTGGTGCAGGGAAGGGGGCAGAAGTCTGAGCTCCCCCGAAACCCCCACATTAGAATTATTCATGACTGTTCACAAGGTTAGTCACTGAGCTTTTATTCTATGTCCTGGAGCCCACTTTTGGCTGGAGCGATATGGGCATGTTGTAGGGAGCAGCAGAGGTGGAAGTGGGGCTGCCCTTGCTCCTAGGCCAAGATCGAACAACCTGTGGCTGCGTGGGAGGACCCCATAGAGCAGCACTTATGTCAGGCCAGAAGGGACAGACCAGACTATCCCCCATGTGTGATGATCAGGATGCGGGTGGAGGCAGGACGCCCATGGGCAGAGCTCAGCAGAAGCCAAGGCACAAAGCAAGACTGGCCAGGCAGGGGACAAGTCAGGGTTTGCAGGTGGAGGTGGCTCAGCAGAGCTGGGGTGATACAACAGAGGGTCTGAGCAGAACGAGGAACAGGGTGCTCGAACAGTGGACTAGGAGCCCAGGAGGAGCCTGCCCAGGCAAGGGCTGGCCCAGGTCCTTTTCAGGGTGACCCCTGGGTGATCTACAAAACAGGTCCTGGGGATGAAGCTTCGGAGCCAGCCAGAAAGGCATTTTGGGAGGACAGACAGGCCTAGGTTTCCGCTGGGGGCTGGTACTGCCACCCTGTGCCCGTCATCTTCCATAACCACGGCTGTCAGGCTCTTCCTGCTGGCCCTGCCTGTCCTTCTTCAGGATTGGCTGCTGCAGTTGGGGTGGAGCCTCAGTCCTCAGTGGCTGGGACACCTCTGGCTCGGGACAGGCTTAGGGTTCCAACCCACAGATCCCTTCCACCTGGAAGTTCCCACCTGCACCCCAACACTAGGCCCGCACTCTCAGTTGTCCGGTTCCAGTGTCCACTCTGACAGCCACTGAAGGCATGAGGCCCGCTGCGCCTCTGTCTCAGGGGGAGTGGCAGGGGGTGGTGGGGGCCGGCCTGGCCCTGGCAGGCACGCGGAAGGGCTGCAGGGCCCAGGGTCCCCTTCTGTGGGCTTAGGGTCGTGGGCAGCCTGTAGGACCTGGACAAGCTGGTCCAGCGGCTGTACCAGGGTGTGGGGGCTCCAGCAGGCATCGAGGGTAGGCACGAAGGGGTCCGGTGTGCAGGCTTCCACACACTCAGCCTGTGTGGGGATCCGCAGGTAGAAGGCATGCAACATCATGCGGAATGGCTGCTCCTCCCGGCCCGAGGCCTGCCCATAGGTCAGGTCCCCCACAATGGGGTGGCTGAGGGCACTGCAGTGCACGCGCAGCTGGTGTGTCCGGCCTGTGTGGGGAGAGAGGGCCAGTGAGACAGGGGTGCCACTTCATGATCACCACCCACCACAGTTCATGTCACATGCGGCACTGATCCCAGCTGCCAATTCAGTGTCTCAGGCAATGTCTGGGGACAGCAACCCTCCCTGCTTCCTGCTTACAAACAAGAATGTAAGGGCTCAAAATGGGAGGAAACTTTTGGGATCACCTCCGGTGAAGACAGAGCTAGGCTGGTACCCAGTACACTGAAGAACTCAGGTTAGACTTCTCATCCAGACCAGCAAGACCACTCGTAGGGTACGGGCTGCACGTTGCAGGGTTAAGTGTGCGGGAGGGGATTGGCTTTGCTAGCAATGGTTGGGGTGGCTCCAGTCCCCACTTTCCTTTCCTATGTGCCTCTATGCCTCACTTTCCTTTCCTATGTATCAAGGATGCTGTAGTGCACTGCTCGAAAAAATGCTGACACCAAGCATCCACCACGCTAGGGGCAGGACACTGTCGACAGTCATTGAGGGACCTGGGAAGCTTCCTGGCCCCTGCTCGCGAACATACCTGTGAGGGGTTGCAGCAGCACTTTGGAGACGGGGTCACCAGCATACAGCCCGTGTTCTAGGACCACCAGCTCTGTGAGGCTTGGTTTTGGGTTCTCACAGCCTGGGGAAGAGAAAGGGAGGATGTGAGGGTTGGGCCCGCTCTGGGGCCCCAGTCCATGCCAGCACAAGTCCACTGCCTGGGGCTGGCCTTACTCACTGAAGGTCCCCCTAGATGAAACATGCCCCGTGGCCCCTGCCCCCTTGCCCACTGTACCCTGGGTGCCCTCGATGCACATGGTGTGGGCCCGACCCTCTGTGTTGTTTCTGCCAATGGCGTAATTGATGGTCATCCGGCTCTCCTGGATATGCCCCCGAACCTGCAAGGCAGGGGAGTACCCCTGAGACTCAGGGCCTGCAAAAGTGGGCTGAGCACTGGAGTCCTCATGCCAAAGGACTGGCCAGGCCTTACCAGAGCCAAGTAAGCCTTTGTGACACGCCGCTCCTTGAAGCACTTGTAAGCACTGCCTGCAGCTGCCTTGTTTAGGGCCACACAGAGTGCTCCGCTGGTGGAGAAGTCCAGCTGGTGGCAGAACCTGGCATGGAACAAAGGAATGGAAGTGGCTGGGTTGGGGGTGGCCACTTCCCTCCAATGGAAGCTGCCTTGAGCTACGCATGTGGCACTCCATATACCTGAAGCCATAGTAGGTGTCTGGGTCAGCCAGCTCAGGGAAGCGGTGCCGCAGCTGCTTCTGGAGGGTCAACGTCTCCCTCCACGTCTTGCTATCGATGCGCACGTCCCAATGCTTATTCACCACCAGAAAATCACGACTCTGATACAGGATGGACAGGTTCTCCATGCTGCCTGGTTCCATGGCAGTGGCCTGCAATGCAGGACAAGCGTGTAAAGGGGTGCTTCATGGGGTGGCCAGCCCATGTAAAAGTTCTGCACAACTGGGATAGACAATTCCTACTTTCCATAGCCCTAGGTCTGAAGTCACAGAGGCTGTATGTTAGACAAGCATGTGCACCTACCATGTGCCTACGTCCATTGAGCTCCTCACTAGTGTCACCCCGAACCACATACGAGAGTCAGATGGGATAGCAGTGTGGCCAGGGTGAGGGGAGCCAGTGTTGCTATGACTGTGGGGCAGCCCCGCAGTCCCGCCCAGACCCAGGCCTTGGGGAAGCAGTCTTGCTCTAGAGCCCGCTCCCACCGATCCTTCCTAAAAGATCAGGAGCGCGCAATGGGGACCTTTTTCTGACTGAGGATAAAGTCACAGAAAAGGACTGCTACGCACCCCACCCCTCACGGCCGGGAGTGGCACAGGTCAGGAGGGTGCAAGGGTGGGGGGCGCTGGGTGCAGTCTACCTTAGCTCACCTACACCCTACTACGCATACACCCATCCCCTACCTGCTCTCCGCAGAAGCCCCAAAATCCTGCCTGTGTGGTCCCGAGCCGAGGGGTTGTGGGTGGACCCCAACTGCGAGCCCTTCCCGCGACCCCGCCCACTCCGGAACCGACCTGCAGTCGGGCCGCGCCGTGGGGCCCCCGATGCCGCTGACCTGCCCTGGATCCAGCCCCCGCGCTCCGGCGCCTTGCGACTCAAGACCCCCGAACCTGTCGTTCGGACCAAGGAGCCGCGTTTCTCCAGCTCCAGTCGGCCCGCGCAGCCCCGCCCAAGCCTCCAGACGGGCGACCGTGCGGGCCAATGGCGATCTCCCGGGACCAGCAGCTGCGATTCTAAGCATTGATAAGGCCCCACTCGACCTGCGCGCGCAACCACGCCTACGCCCCGACCCGCCCGCTGACCAATGGTGTGTACCGCTGGGCACGCCGGCCGTTGATTGGCGGCGCCGGGACGCTGCAGGCG